CTTGTTGGTTTTTAGTTTAATCTCCAATGATAAAAATCACATAATTAAAATTACTTTGTATCAACCAATAAAAAGTATGAAATCTTATCATTTGAAGCAAAATTGGAGGGAACAAGAAGACATCATGTTAAATTAAGTAGGCCAGACAGAAGGACAAACAGCACATGTTTTCCCTCATATGTGGAAGCTAAAATCAAAAACCTAATCTGAACATAGAATGCTGATTATGATTGACTAGGAGATAGAAGTATAGAAATATAAAGGGAGTTTGTATTTAAAAAATTAGGGGAGGCTAAGTGTAGTTCATTAACTGTGACCAATATACTAAAATATCTTAACAGGGAAAGCTGCGTAAATGGGGGGTATTCTTGGTACAACTTCACAACTTTGTTTCATAAATTTAAAACAATTTTAAAATAAAAAGTTTTTTTTCAAAAAAATTACTTAGTATTCTTTTCTCTCCATGTTAACACACTGATCCAAATCAATCAAAAGTTAAGAAAATATTTTAGTCTAAGGGATTAATTTGGTATTATGTACAAAAATAATACTAGTTTATTAAATTCATTCTATAACTTCAATAAAGTCAAACTGGTATACCCAGCAACAGTTTTTGCATTTTAGCTTAATATTTCACAGATGAAATTTTGTATCCTACTTATATTATAAAGTATTTCACTTTAAGGAACACTGGAATATTTCTAGACTTCCTGAAAATAAATGTTAAAACGCTTTTTGATGCAAGTGGGATCTCAAGGGAATTAAGGTGGTACTACTTAAAACTGTTCTCTGTTCCTTCTTAATTTTTAATTTCATTCAATAGACAAGTAATTTTTCTGTTTTCCAGGAGGTTAACAAGTGTAAGTCTCAATCTAGTAAAATACTAAGAGGCAGAAAAGAATAAGTAAAAGAGGACACTAATAATTTCGAAAGTTGTATTTTCTTGTAATTTAAACATTTAAAGGCTACACTGTTTAATTATTAATTTTTTGGTGCAAGAAATTTTAATGTAAAGATTTAAGATTCACATCATGAAAATTAAGATTTATGAATTCCCCCAGAGATGCAGCTTTGGAACTACTACCTTGTCATCTTTCTCAAGCTTTCCCGTCACCTTTCCTGGTCTATTGTCACACAGACGAGTCCCCTCCCACCAGTGGCATAAAAAGTTTACTAATTTACAGGGTAGCAATTATTAATTTTTAATCTTAAAAAAATCAAAGAGAGGCCAGCACTGTGGGTAAAGCCGTAGCGGGTAAAGCCACCGCCTGCAGTGCCAGCATCCCATATGGACGCCGGTTTGAGTTCCAGCTGCTCCACTTCCTATCCAGCTCTCTGCTATGGCCTGGGATAGCAGTAGGAGATGGCCCAGTTCCTTGGGTCCCTGCACCTGCGTGGGAGACCTGGAAGAGGCTCTGGCTCCTGGCTTCAGATTGGTACAGCTCTGGTCATTGTGGCCATCTAGGGAGTGAACCAATAGATGGAAGACCTCCCTCTCTCTCTCTCTGCCTCTGCCTCTCTGTAACTCTGCCTTTCAAATAAATAAACAAACAAACAAAAAATCTTTGTAAAAAAAAAAAGTCAAAGAATGACAAACAAATTATTTAAATCCGAACTTTTTCAATTTGGATGCCTGTGATATTTAGTTGCTTTAAACTAAAATAAACAGGTGATTTTTTTTTCTTCTGAAAATATAATGATGTTCAATAAATAGAAATACATTAGCAATAAATACAAGTAAATTTCTTAGAATTCATGCTCTTAAAGCTAAGATGTTCATTTTCCATTTTATTTGAGACAGGGAGTGAGAGACTGACAGAGATAAAGACATTTAGAGATCTTTCATCCACTGGTTTACCACCCCCCACCACCACCACGCTACCATCCCCAACAGACCTACAACATCCAGGGCTTGGCCAAGCGTAAGCCCAGAACACAATCCAGGTCTCCTACACGGGCGGCAGGGGTCCAAGCACTTAAGCCATTACCTGCTGCCTCCCAGTATGCACATTAGCAAAAAGTTGGTCTAGACAATAGAGTTGGTATTCAAACCAACTACAGTATGGGGCAAGGATGTGCCAAGTGGTATCTTAACCACTATGCCAACCACTCACACCCCTCTTAAAGCTAAGGGCCTCTGGACATAGTAAAATCTCTCTTGTACATTTCTAATACTTTTTCACTGTGATTTTTTTTTTTTTTTTTAGATTTATTTGGAAGTCAGAGTTACACAGAGAAAGGAGAGACAGAGAGCGAGCGAGTGAGAGAGCGAGAGGTTTTCTATCCGCTGGTTCACTCCCCAGATGGCCGCAACGGCCAGAGCTGCGCTGATCTGAGAGAGAGAGAGAGAGAGGTTTTCTATCCGCTGATTCACTCCCCAGATAGCCGCAATGCCAGAGCTGCACTGATCCGAGAGAGATAGACAGAGAGAGACAGAGAGAGACAGAGAGAGGTTTTCCATCCACTGATTCACTCTCCAGATGGCCGCAACAGCCAGAGCTACGCTGATTCAAAGCCAGGAACCAGAAGCCAGGAGCTTCTTCCCAGTCTCCCATGTGGGTGCAGGGTCCCAAGGACTTGGGCCATCTTCTACTGCTTTCCTAGGCCATAGCAGAGAGCTGGTTTGGAAGTGGAGCAGCCAGGTCTCGAACCAGCGCTTCAGGCCAGAACGTTAACCCATTATTAACCAGCACCAGCCCCACTTTGATTCTTAAAATTGCAAGGCAATCTTCTAGATCAAACTTATTTTCTACAGAGAAGATAGAATAATTTGATTGTCAAAGAGTGAGTCATTTATTTTCACACAGCTTATTCACTTAACAAAAACACCAGCCCAGGCCCCTACAGTCATATTCTTAGCAAATAAACAAAGCAGTAAACCTTGATTATCGAAAATGGCCAGGATAATTTGAAAAGATGGATACTTTGGTGGGATACATGCTATAGATGATATCCTAACACATAAAACACCTCTTCAAATAGGAACAGAAATTCTGTAAATAAACTGAAAAATATATAAATCCATGAAGTTTCTCACAAGAAAGCTTCCTTTCTCTTTTATAAATTAATTAATTAGTTAATTTTAGAGACCGAGACAAAGAGTTCTCATTCACTGTTTCACTCCCCAGATGCCCACAACAGCTGGGCCTGGGCCAAGTCAAAGCCAGAAGCCAAAAGTTCAACCTGTTTCTCCCACATGGGTGGCAGGAATCCAACCACCTGAACCATTGTGGATGCCTCCAAAGGTCTGCTTAGCAAGAAGCTGGAGTAAGGAGCCAGATCCAGGAAATGAACCCAGGTACTCCGATGTGAGACATGGGTATCAATAACCATTAGGCTAGACACAAGGCTAAACCCTTCATTTACCTTGAAAGATTGATGTAATTTTGAAAACCATTCATTTTAAAAAGTTAAAACACAAAAGCTACAAGAATAAACTATATACTCATCACCTTTAATCATTAACATTTTAACATGCTTGCTTTATCATTTTCTGTCTCCCTTTACACATACATACTTTTCCTCTTGCAGAGCTTTCCAAGTTTAAGCTGGAGATATTATGACTCTCTCCCTGAAATACTTCAGTGTATATCTCCTAGGAACAAGTCATTCACATAGGGTACTTCAAGTGGATAGAAGGGTCAGAGCTGTGGCATAACAGGTTAAACCATCACTCACAATGACAGCATCCCATATGGACACCAGTTCAATTCTTGACCATTCCATTCACTCCAGCTCCCTGCTGGTGCTACTGGGAAAGCAGCAGAGAAAGGGCTAGGTGTTTGGGCTCCTGTCACCCACAAGGGAGACACACATGGAGCTCCTGGATCCTGGCTTTGGCTTCATCCAACCCCAGCCATCACAGCCATTTGAGGAGTGAACCAGCGGACGCAGTATCTCATTCTCTCTCCCTCCTTCACTCTGTAACTCTGCCTTTCAAATAAAAAAAAAAAAATGATAGAAAGGCAGGACTTAAAAATAGTAAGCTTTTTTTGGTACAAAAAAATCTGAAATCCGGGCCAACACTGTGGCATAGTAGGCTAAGCCTCCACCTGAGGCACTGGCATCCCATATGGGCGCCAGTTCGAATCCTGGCTGCTTCACCTCTGATCCAGCTCTCTGCTATGGAAAGCAGTGGAGGATGACCCAACTGCTTGGGCCCCTGTACCCTCATGGGAGACTGCGGAAGAAGCTCCTGGCTCCTGGCTCCTGGCTTTAGCTTGGCCCAGTCCCAGCTGTTGTGGCCATTTGGTGAGTGAACCTGCAGAGGAAAGACTTTCTCTCTGTCTCTCCCTCTCTCTGTAACTCTGCCACTAAAATAAAAATATAAATCTTACAAAGTTTGAAATGCATGCATTATTTTTTTTTTTTTTTTTGACAGGCAGAGTGGACAGTGAGAAAGAGAGACAGAGAGAAAGGTCTTCCTTTGCCGTTGGTTCACCCTCCAATGGCCGCCGTGGCCGGCGCGCTGCAGCTGACGCACCGCGCTGATCCGATGGCAAGAGCCAGGTACTTATCCTGGTCTCCCATGGGGTGCAGGGCCCAAGCACTTGGGCCATCCTCCACTGCACTCCCTAGCCACAGCAGAGAGCTGGCCTGGAAGAGGAGCAACCGGGACAGACTCCGGCTCCCCGACCGGGACTAGAACCCGGTGTGCCGACGCCACAAGGCAGAGGATTAGCCTAGTGAGCCACGGCGCCGGCCTATTTTTTTCATAAAATGCTTTGCCATGAACTTTGTAAAGATACTTCAGATAACCCCAATTAATAAATTTGTGACAATTAACAGTGATGCTTTCATCCTATACAGAGACCATATTCAAATGTCTCCAATTGTCTTAAAAGTGCTCTGCATAGCAATTTTCTTCCTCATATGATTTTATTGAAGATTATACATTGACTTTAGTTATAACCCACCTCAGAAGCACAATCCAAAGTAGTTTTGCTATTAAAACTACTACAAGTTAACAGTTTTGGTAAATTAAAACTCTTACAACTTACTTCCTAGCAATGGTGGTCACTCGGATGCGTCTCTGCCCGCTTGAATGCTGATACTGAGTCACAAACTGGATTGCACCACGCCCTCCTTGAGGAATTGGAGCATTATGCTGTGAAAAATGGAGTAAAAACTAAGCAAAATCTACTACATATAAAAATCATAGACCACATATCCTAGCGCCAATAAAATTCATTCTGAAATTGATTTAGAAGGATGCTTGTTTCTAGTACTTACAAAACAGTCAAGATTTACCACATAAAACAGAAATAATGGATTTGGGAGAGAGGAAAAATGACAAAGGATGAAAGGACTTGAGTGAATCCTACTGAGGAATCAATTTTTAAGTAATATATAATTCGGAGGGACATAAAAAATAAGGTGAAAGGAAGAGTTTAAAAAAATTGACAAGGAAAGGCCTACATAAGGATATTGAAGCCCAATCATAATTGGATCTAGTAAAATTGAGCTAAGCCGTCCTCCCCTGGGTATAATAAATGAAAGCAGAACTCCTAGAAAGATGATCACATGGTCAAGAGAGGACCAGTGGAAAACTATTAACAAAAAAAGACTAACAATGATACATAATGATAAGATTATCATAAAGAAATAACAAGTAGTCAATGGGGAAACTTTCTTGGCTTCACCCCTAGGCCACAGCACTTGACCCAGTAAATAAAATCTCTACGCCGGCGCTGCGGCTCAATAGGCTAATCCTCCACCTTGCGGCGCCGGCACACCGGGTTCTAGTCCCGGTCAGGGCACCGGATTCTGTCCCGGTTGCCCCTCTTCCAGGCCAGCTCTCTGCTATGGCCCAGGAGTGCAGTGGAGGATGGCCCAGGTCCTTGGGCCCTGCACCCACATGGGAGACCAGGAGAAGCACCTGGCTCCTGGCTTTGGATCAGCGTAGTGCACCGGCCGCAGCGCGCTGGCCGCAGCAGCCATTGTGGGGGTGAACCAATGGAAAAAGGAAGACCTTTCTCTCTGTCTCTCTCTCTCTCTCTCACTGTCCACTCTGTCTGTCAAAAAAAAAATTTTCTAAAAAAAATTTTTTAAGAAAGTATTGGTGGCCGGCGCCATGGCTCAATAGGCTAATCCTCCACCTTGCGGCACCAGCACACCGGGTTCTAGTCCTGGTCGGGGCGCCGGATTCTGTCCCGGTTGCCCCTATTCCAGGCCAGCTCTCTGCTGTGGCCCGGGAGTGCAGTGGGCGATGGCCCAAGTGCTTGGGCCCTGCACCCCCATGGGAGACCAGGAGAAGCACCTGGCTCCTGGCTTCGGATCAGCGCGGTACGCCGGCCACAGTGGCCATTGGGGGGTGAACCAATGGCAAAGGAAGACCTTTCTCTCTGTCTTTCTCTCTCACTGTCCACTCTGCCTGTCAAAAAAAAAAAAAAATTTTAAAAATAAAAATAAATAAATAAAAAAAAGTATTGGAAAAGAAGTCAGAAAGTTTTATCATTATTTATGTGAACATTTCCTCCTATAGCAGAAAAAAAAAACTTTACAAATACAAGTTCCTTCTTAACTTTTTCATCAATATTAATGTACTGGACTTTCTTATAGGAGTTATCAATACACACCTGTGCCAAACTGTGCCAACCAGGAGATAGACATCTAGTTACAAAATTGCATAGCTAGGGGCTGGCACTGTGGCGTAGCAGGTAAAGCCACCGCCTGCAGTGCCAGCATCCCATATGGACATTGGTTCAAGTCCTGGCTGCTCTATTTCTGATCCAGCTCTCTGCTATAGCTTAGGAAAGCAGTAGAAGATGGCCCCAAGTCCTTGGGGCCCTGCACCTGTATGGGAGGCCCAAAAGAAGCTCCTGGCTCCTAGCTTCAGATCAGCGTAGCTCCAGCATTGCAGCCAGTTGGGGAGTGAACCAGTAGATGGAAGACCTCTCTCTCTGCCTCTCCTTCTCTTTGTGTTATTCTGACTTCCAAATAAATAAATAAATCTTTAAAAAAACAACTGCATAGCTAGAAGGGAATTTAAATAATTTTATTAACACTTCAATTTTATACAAAAACAAAGAAAGTGGGGAACCTGTGCTGCGGCACAGTGAGTAAAGCTGCCGCCTCCAGTACTGGCATTCCATATGGGCACCACTTACAATCCTGCTCTCTGCTATGACCTGGGAAAGCAGCAGAAGATGGCTCAAGTCCTTGGGGCCCTGCACCTGTGTGGGAGACCTGGAAGAAGCTCCAGGCTCCTGACTTCAGATCAACCCAGCTCCAGCTGTTGTGGCCATTTGGGGAATGAATTAGCGGATGGAGGACCTCTCAGTCTCTCTCTCTCTCTCTGCCTCTCTGTAACTCTGCCTTTCAAATAAATAAATCTTAAAAAAAAAAGAAAGAAAAGAAAAAGAAAACTTAAACTGAAAGGTAGACTGCCCAAGTTTTGCATTTGTCCTCTCACCAAGGAGTTTATCTTTCAGAAATAGAAAATGACAAATAAGAATTATAAAACAAAATGAGGGGGCCGGCGCTGTGGCGAAGCGAGTTAACGCCCTGGCCTGAAGCACCAGCATCCCATTTGGGTGCCGGTTCGAGTCCTGGCTGCTCCACTTCCGATCCAGCTCTCTGCTGTGGCCTGGGAAAGCAGTACAAGATGGCTCAAGTCCTTGGGCCCCTGCACCCACATGGGAGATCCGGAAGAAGCTCCTGGCTCCTGGCTTTGGATTGGCACAGCTCCAGCTGTTGCAGCCAATTGGGGAGTGAACCAGTGGATAGAAGACCTCTCTCTCTCTCTCTCTGCCTCTCTTCTGTGTAACTCTGACTTTCAAATAAATAAATCTTTTTAAAAAAATGATAAACTCTGGATGTTTACTAGTGAAAAAATATGAAATACTCGTGGCCTAACTTAAATACCTGTCTACCTTTCAGTATTCAATACAGAAAATCATACCTGATTGACGACTTCAAAATATATGGCTAAGGTTGTAGTGGGACTGAGTCCACATATCTTCCACTGACAGGTGCCACCTGTTCCTATTTCCTGTAAAAATATAATAGAGTATATTTACAAGCTACAGAACACAATTTGTTAGTATAACATATGTTAAGGAGAAAAGAGGAGGAGATAAATTTCCAATGAAAAATTCTTTTCAGGTTTCAAACTAATTCAGTGAATATTAAAAACCTAGGCTTTTTTGTTAAGATCCTATCATAAATATAACATGAAATAAAATTATGCAACTGTTATACAATAAAATTATATCAATTTTTGAATGTATAAAAGTATTAATACAAATTGTTTATATTTGTTACCTTCAGAAGCATGTGCTGTTTAATAAAATCACTACAACTAACATTATCTTTCTATCCAACTACTTGACCTGTGTAAAGAGATACTGATTTCACACACAATACATGTACTTACTGATACAGACTCTCTGGATCAGAACTATAAGCAGTGTGATTTCCAAGAAATCCTCTTAGATATAGATCTTCCCTTTGAAACGTGATCATGAATTAATTTTTATTTGTCATCTTTAAAGCTGATGACCCACTTGGGATTATTTGCTCCATCATCTTCTCTACAGCTATATGATTTTACCACTACAAAGTGCATTAAACTCCTACTACATGTGATAAAGAAAAAGGAATGGAAACTTAAATCTAGACAATGAAGTTATTTTCTGGAAATTCTGGTACCAAAAGTCCATTTGGAATTAATATTAATTTTCATAACTCTCCAAAATTCAAAATCATGAAGTTTTTTGTTTAACTACACTGAGTTGCCACTGTGGCATAGCGGGTTAAGCCACAGCCTGCAGTGCCAGCATCCCATATGGGGACCAGTTCAAGTACTGGCTTCTCCCCTTCTGATCCAGCTCCCTACTAATGCTCCTGAGAAAGCAACAGAGGATGTCCCAAGTCCTTGAGCCCTTGCCACCCATGCCTGAAACCTGGAAAAAGCTCCTAGCTCCTGGCTTGGGCCTGGACCAGCCCAGGTCGTTCATTGCAACCACTGGGGGAGTAACCAGCAGATGAAAGACCTCTCTATCTCTCTCTCTCCCTCCCTCCCTCTCTCTCTTCTTTATAATTCTGCCTTTCAAATAAATAAATAAAACGTTAAAAAAAAAAAAGAAAGAAAGAACTTAGAAACAAAAAAATAGAAAACTAGTCAAAGTCTAAAATGTTTAGTTAGGGGTGGATGTGAAAGCATATACGAAAAGAACCACCACAAATAGAGACACAGCAATGTGTAAACCATCCCATACAAGAATTTTGAAAGGTGGGACTGGCACTGAGGAATAGCTGCTAAAGCCCCCGCCTGGGATTCCAGGATATGGAAATATGAGTATTGGTTCATGTTCTACTGTTCCATATCCAATCTCGCTCCTGGCTAATGGCCTGGGAAAAGCAGCAGAGGATGGCCTAGTGTTTGGGCCTCTGTCACCTGTAAGGGACAGTCTGATGAAGCTCCTCGCTCCTGGTTCCTGGCTTTAGCCTAGACCAGCCCTGGCCATTGAAAAGATTTTTTTTTTTTAAGATTTACTTTATTTATTTGAAAAACAGTTACAGAAAGAGGTAAAAAGAGGGGGTGGAGAGATCTTCCATCTACTGGTTCGCTTCTCAAATGACCAAAACAGCCAGAGTTGAGCCAATCTGAAGGCAGGAGCTTCCTCCAGTTGCCATGTGGATGCAGGGGCCCATGGACTTGGGCCATCCTCCACTGCTTTTCCAAGCACACCAGCAGGGAGCTGGTATGTAGAAGTGGACTCAGATTCAGGACTCAGACTGGTACCAATATGGGATAATGGTACCACAGGCCAGGACTTTAACCCACTACGCCACAGCACCAGCCCCCTGTTGAGAATATTTTGGGAGTCAACCAGCAGATGGAAGATCTCTCTTTCTCCTCTCCCCTCCATCTCTACAAATAAATATTTAAAACAAATAAATATAGGAAGTTATGGGGGGAAAAAGCCATTGTAATCCATAAACTGTACTTTGGAAATTTATATTTACTAAATAAAAGTTTAAAAAAAAAAGAAAGTTAACTTTAAAAAAAAAAGAAAACAAATAAATATAAAACCAGAATTTTGAAAGGAATTCTATAGGCTGCTATCCCACTAAATCTCTGTTGGTGCTGTCCTGAAAATTAACTATTTCCTTTTTAGAATAAGGAGACTTACATTTTCAGACACACACGGTCCTTTAGAATTAAGCGAAACACAGGGCCCAATAGCTCCCGAAATCTTTATTTCCCTTGAGGTCTGCAAAATAAAAATACAGTACATTTGGTTTCCTCATAGATGAGCCCAAGCACCCACTTAGAATTATATGAAAATATGATATTCTTCTATATTTAAACACAAAACCAATGAAAATTTATTAACATTAAAAATAATATATCAGTGAGCACCTGCATACTGATGTAAAATCCACCCCTAAACCTACTATTAATCTTCTATTTCTATTACCCAAAAGAGGTCTCCATTTGGGACCCACACTCTGGATTCAAACTCATATCATACTCAAAACTCACATATCCTAATACAAAACTTTAGACATCACTTTCTAATTTTGCTCCCAATGAAAATCATTCACAAAAGTGGTATCTCTTCCAGTCTCTACAGCCACCAAAATTAAAGTTATTATATTAACTTCCATCCAAAAAAATTAATAAGTCTGTTTGTTTTCTTGAGGTTTTTTTTTCTGACATATCCTGAATACCACTGGCCAATAAATCTTATTCAGAACACTATTTATTAACCTACAATGACTTCTGCCTACACATGCAATCAACCCACAAAATAACACCGTCTCTCTGTCTCGCTCTCACTTTCTCTATGTGTGTATGTGTGTATGTTTCCATCTTTCTAGGTCACTCTCTGAAATAAATAAATCTTTTTTAAAAAGAAGAAATATTTAAGGAAAACTCAAAATCAATGTACTTGTAATAAACTTGTAACAAACACCTAAGGCTTTGGGATTTTATACACAAATTTGATGTGAATGATAAAATTGTGTAGTATAAACTGACTTACCACAGAACAAATATTGGATTATCCAAATGACACAGAACAGTTCTCATTTAAGCTATATAATTCCTGCCATTAAAAAAAAAAAAAATACTACCAGGGCAAACATTTAGCTGATTCCTGACTTCAGCTTCCTGCTAATGCAGACCCTGGGAGACAGCAGTAATGGCTTAAGTAACTGGTTTTCTGACATCCAAATGGGAGATTGGATTGATTCCCTCCAGCTTTGGCATGGCCCAGTCCTAGTTCCATGAATGACAGCATTTTAGGGGAGTGAACCAGCAAATGGGAGTTCTCTCTCTCTCTCTCTCTAGTAAATAAATTTAAAAACAATTTTAAAAATTACTACTAAAATTAATAAATGCAGTACTAAAAATGGTTAAACATACTTAAAAAGTTAAACCCAATATTAGAAGGAAGAGTTACGATACAGGTGCTGTGGCACGGCAGTTTAAGCCATTGTTTGAGAGGCCCACATCCCATATCAGAGTGCTGATTCAAGTCCCAGCTGCTCTGCTTCAATCCAACTTCCTGCTAACATGTCCTGGGAAGCAGCAGATGATGGCTCAAGTGTTTGGGCCCTGGCCACCTATATGGGAGAACTGATGGAGTTCCAGGCTTGTGGCTTGGGCCTGGCCCAGCCCTGGTTGTGGAGAAAACCAGCAGATGAAAAATTCTCTCTCTTTCTCTTACTCTGCCTTTCAAATGGATAAAAATAAATACTAAAAAAGAAAAAAAAAAGAGCAAAATGAAACATGACCTACATAATTCTACTTTTGTAACAGTTGTTTAGAAATGCTCAAAAGAGGTCTCACTGTACATTTGACAAAATCTCTAAATTGAGATATCAACACAAAACAACTATTTTTAAAGCATAATAATGAACTTGATTAGTGATATTTAAGAATTATACAAGTTTCTCTCTTGATCAACATATCAGACATATCAAGTATTGGTTCTTACCTTTATTTCCAGTGTACCACCAAAGCCCATTTTAAACTGTCCGTGCATATCTTTGGTAAAGACTCTCTGAAAAGTTTGTTTGAATAAGGAAGTGTTGAAAGAGTCCCCCATTACCATGTATCCACTGCATGGAAAGAATAAGACACAAGGTGTATGACACAGTTAATGACTTCACATATTCAAAACATTTTAAAAAAATGACCTCTCAAGACATCCAATAAATTTTAAAATTAAGTTCCAAAATATGCTATGTTACCATTAACTTTTAAAACTCAAATATATATGAGAAAATTCTCACCCCACAAATAATCTCAATTCTGAGAGTATCAGAAGGTTTGTAACACTTGCATTTGTCCTCAGCAATTATCTTAATTTTTTTTTTAATATATTTTTTTTATTTTTTTTTTATTTTTTATTTTTTATTTTTTGACAGGCAGAGTGGACAGTGAGAGAGAGACAGAGAGAAAGGTCTTCCTTTGCCGTTGGTTCACCCTCCAATGGCCGCCGCGGCAGGTGCGCTGCGGCCGGCCCAACGCGCTGATCCTAAGGCAGGAGCCAGGTGCTTCTCCTGGTCTCCCATGGGGTGCAGGGCCCAAGCACCTGGGCCATCCTCCACTGCACTCCCTGGCCACAGCAGAGGGCTGGCCTGGAAGAGGGGCAACCGGGACAGACTCCGGCGCCCCGACCGGGACTCGAACCCGGTGTGCCGGCGCCGCTAGGCGGAGGATTAGCCTAGTGAGCCGCGGCGCCGGCCTTATCTTAATTTTTTTAAAGATTTATTTTATTTATTTGAAAGACAGAGTAGTTACTGAGAGAGGCAGAGTCAGAGAGAGAGGTCTTCCATCTGCTGGTTCACTCTCCAGACGGCTGCAATAGCCGGAGCTGCGCCGATCCAAAGCCAGGAGCCAGGAGCCTCCTCTGGGTCTCACATGTGGGTGCAGGGGGTCCAAGGACTTGGGCCATCTTCTACTGCCTTCCCAGGCCATACCAGAGAGCTGAATTGGAAAAGGAGTAGCCGTGACTAGAACCGGCGCCCATATAGGATGTCAGCGCTTCAGGCCAGGGCTTTAACCTGCTGTACCACAGTGCTTGCCTGGCACAGCAGGTTAAAGCCCTGGCCTGAAGCGCCAGCATCCCATATGGGCACCAATTCTAGTCGCGGCTACTCCTCTTCCTATCCAGCTCTCTGCTATGGCCTGGGAAGGCAGTAGAAAATGGCCAAGTCCTTGGGCCCCTGCACCCACATGTAAGACCCAGAGGAGGCTCCTGGCTCCTGGCTTTGGATCAGCTAAGCCATATGCGGAGTGAACCAGCGGATGGAAGACCTCTCTCTCTGCTTCTACCTCTCTCTGTAACTCTTTCAAATAAATAAAATAAATCTTTAAAAATATAAATATATATATTGGCAGAGCTTCCAAGATGGCAGAGTAGGAAAGGAGCTTACTGCTCTAGTCTAGAAGACAGTTTTTAAAAAGTGGAGAGAGTGCGGTCTCAGGAAGAGTCAGAGAGAAAACAGCAGAGGAAACTCTACCCAAATTAGAGGGACAACATGGACCTATGTAGAAAGCATGGATACCCACAACTCAGGACTTCAGCAGCCAAGAGCCTACACACCAGTGTTGGAGAGTGAAGTGAAACCAGACTGCAGCAGCCCAAGCCACTGGCAATAAAGCTGCAGGAAGAGCCTAGAGGGAACCCAGAGCCAAGTGGGGGATAGTGTACTTGCTAAACTAGAGGAGGGGAAAAAAAAAAAAAAGGAGGGCACATTTTTCTCTCCCAGATCACCTTACAATAGCGTCCTGTAACAAGCCAATAGAGCATAGGCCATTTTGGACATATGTAACAGTTGTTCCGGCTCATATCCCCACTCCAGCCAAGTGGAAACTCCTGACTCTGACCAAACACTAGCAGGAGTTCACAAGGATGTGGAGAAATGAGAATCCTCTACTACTATGGTAGTGAAAATGTAAACTGGGCCAGTTACTTTGAAATACAGTTTGACAGCTGTGGTGTAGCAGGTAAAGCCACCTCCTGCAGTGCCAGCATCCCATATGGGCACCAGTTCGAGTCCCGGCTGCTCCACTTCTGATCTAGGTCTCTGCTATGGCCCGGGAAAGCAGTATAAGATAGTTCAAGTGCTTGGGCCCCTGCACCTGCATGGGAGACACAGAAGAAGCTCCTGGCTTTGGATCAGCCCCACTCTGGCTGTTGTGGTCGTTTGGGGAGTGAACCAGTAAATGGAAGACCTCTCTCTCTCTCTGCTACTACCTCTGTAACTCCACCTTTCAAATAAATAAATTAATTAACCAAAAAAGAAAAAGAAAAACAGTTTGAAAGTTCTTTAAAACATTAAGCACCAATTGCAATGGGACCCACCAATCCACTCCTGGGTGTAAATTAGCCACTAAGAGAAACAAAAACATGATGTCTTCATAAAAATTTAAACATAATGCTCAAAGCAGTATTCATAATAGCCAAAAAGTGACAAGGAGACATTCATTAATTGATGGGTTGATAAAATGTAATATATCCATGCAATGAAACATTATTAACATTAGATCCTTTTTTTACTTTTTATTCACCAATAAATAAAATGAAATACTGATACATCCTACAATATGGACAACCCTTGAAAACACAATGCTAAATCAAAAAAAGTCAGTCACAAAGAAAGGTATATGTGATTTACAAGAAATGTCCATCATAAGCTATAATTAGCAATTGCCTACAGGTAACTTAGGGTGAGGAAAAGAGGAAAGAGTAAAGAATGGGGAGTGACTGCAAATGTCTAGAGTAATGCATATGCTGTAAAATTATATTATAGAGATAGTTGTGCAACCTATAAATATTCTAAAGATCATCAAATTGAACACTTTAAATGGACACATTTTATGTCATATGAAGTATGTCTCAAAAAAGCTGCTAAAATAATATTCACTTTAAGATATCAAAACGAACTTTATAAACCAATTTCTACCTCTATAATCCTGTATTTTAGAAAAAACTGAAAAGTGAGCTTTACTTAAGGAATATCCAAACTGCAGCAGATGTTGTCCTGAAGTGGTAGGACAGAAACTTTTTTCTGTAAATAGCCATTATTGGCATTTATCTGTAAACTGTCATTACTAAGACTATAGCTGCAAAGACTGGAAAAATGCAAATACATACCCAGTAAGGTTGGGGCAGCATTTCATTTCCAGGAGCCCTGTCTGATCTAACGCACATGCATAGATGTCAATGACATGGCCAGTTGTAGCAGCTCGATTAGCCAATGCTTCAAAATGCTACAAAAGATGTATTAAAATTCAATCAAAGTAATACATAAACTGAATCATCCTATAAAACCTGGATCAAAATAATCTAAAGTAGACTAAAAGAATAGTCCATCATAATCTAAAATTATTTATTCTTATTGAATTTTCTGTCTCCTAAAATGATATAATATCTTCTATTGCTCCTACATCTCCACATCCTTTTCATTAAATGTGCCCATAAACTTGTTTTTTTTTCAAACTTTTCAGATGTAACTGTTAATATAAATAAACAATGAATCCAATTTTTCAAAAAAGATAACAGTATCCCATTCCACTACAGAAACACCACATACTGAACATTTGCTTCTTCGTATATAAACATGGTAGCAAAACAACACAAAACTCTTCTTCCTGTCTAAACTCACACTCAAATCTTCCAAAAATAGAGGTAGGCATTTTGCCTAACAGTTAAAATGCCAGTTTGGATGCCAGTATCCTGTTATACTTGAGTGCGTGAGTTTGTGTCCCAGTCCACTCCCAATTCCAACTTCCTGCTAATGTACACCCTGGGAGGCAGCAGGTGATTATTCAAATAGCTGAATCTCTGCCACCCACATGGTCGACCTGGATGGAGTTTCCAGCTCTGGTCTCAGGCCATTGCAAGCATTTGGAAACAGAACCAGAAGAGGGGAGATCTCTCTCTGATTCAATCTCTCTCTCAAATAAATAAATACATATGTAAACTTTTTTATTTTATCTTTTTAAAATTTTTAAAAAGATTTTATTTATTTTAAATGCAGAATTAGAGAGAGAAAGATACTGAGAATCTGCTGGTTCACTTCCCCAATCGCCAGGGCTGGGCTAGACTGAAGCCAGGATCTAGGAACTCCATCTGGGTTTCCCAGCTGAGTGGCAGGGACCTAGGCACATCAGCCATCTTCCACGGTCTTCCCAGGTGCATTAGCAGGAAGCTAGATTAAAAATGGAGCAGCTGGGCCGGGATTCAAACCAACACTCAAATGGGATGCCAGTGGTGTAGGTGGTGGCTGAAAACCACTGCACCACAATGCTGGCCCTGTCACTATTTCAAATAAATAAAAATAAACAAACATTAGAAAAAATATAATAACTACCCAAAACATTAAATAATATAACACAATTCAAACTGTGAACTCTAGAGAATTTCTTAGAAAAAATTAACAGGGATATTAACAAGCAGAACCACTGTTAAGATAGTCAAGAACCAACATTAGTGAAATACACTTTCACAAACCCGAAAAATATGAAGATGAACAAAAAACAAGTCACAAGAAAATTTTGGGCTATTCAAACTATGAACATATACATACACACATACATATCTAGAGGAAACATTAGGGACTGTCTCTTGGAAATGAAAAACTTGAAAATCTAAGAAATTTTTCCTGAAGAGAAAGATCACTGCGCTGATCCAAAGCCAGGAGCCAGATGCTCCTCCTGGTCTCCCATGGGGTGCAGGGCCCAAGCACTTGGGCCATCCTCCACTGCACTCCCTGGCCACAGCAGAGAGCTGGCCTGGAAGAGGAGCAACCAGGATAGAATCCGGTGCCCCGACCGGGACTAGAACCCGGTGTGCAGGCGCCACAGGCAGAGGATAGCCTATTGAGCCACGGCGTCGGCCCCAGGAGTTGTATTTAAAAACCAACCTATTTGTACTTACTATTAAGACTAAATATTTCAAATCAGAAATGGTATAACTTGTCAAGAAAAAAGAGGAGGGCTGGTGCTGTGGCATAGCAGGTAAAGCTGCCATGTGCAGTGCCAGCATCCTATATGGGCATGGGTTCATGTCCCAGCTGCTCCTCTTCTGATCCAGCTCTCTGCTATGGCCTGGGAAAGCAGTGGAGGACGGCCCAAGTGCTTGGGCCCCTGCACCCCTGTGGGAGACCCAGAAGAAGTTATTGCCTCCTGGCTTCAGACTGGCCCAGCTCCAGCCGTTGTGGCCATTTGAGGAGTGAACCAGCGGATGAAGACCTCTCTCTCGCTCTCTCTCTCTGTAACTCTACCTTTCAAATAAATAAATAAATCTTAAAAAAAAAGAGAGAGAGAGAAAGAAAAAAAGAGGATATTTCTCCCATTATGAATAGTAGCTTAAATAGTATCAGACTTTGTAATACCAGGTTTCTATTAAAAAACATCTGTATTCTTCCTCTTCCATCAAATGAATACCTGGGACGGCGCCAAAGCTCACTAGGCTAATCCTCTGCCTGCGGCGCTGGCACACCGGGTTCTAGTCCCGGTTGGGGCGCTGGATTCTGTCCTGGTTGCTCCTCTTCCAGTCCAGCTCTCTGCTGTGGCCCAGGAAGGCAGCAGAGGATGGCCCAAGTGCTTGGGCCCTTCACCCGCATGGGAGACCAGGAGGAAGCACCTGGCTCCTAGCTTCGGATCAGTGCAACACGCTGGCCACAACACGCCGACCATAGTGGCCACTTGGGGGGTGAACCAACGGAAAAAGGAAGACCTTTCTCTCTTTCTCTCTCTCTCATTGTCTAACTCTGCCTGTTTAAAAAAAAAAAAAAAAAAGAATACCTGTTTTCTACCAAAGTAAGACTTAAAGATCAAAATTACCTTAGTTCCCTTTTTAACATATTTTGCGTTGTCTTTTTCAATGTCATGCCACGATCTTATGGGTGTCTTCAATTCATCTCCAACCACCATTCCAGGTCCCTGAGTAGCAGGACCGCCAATGAACATCATGATGCGAGCACCAGTGTTGGGGAAAGTACACTATGGGAAAAAAGTAACTCATCAAAAGAGTTTAAAGGAAAATGGAAAGCACATGGTTATACATTTCTTATAATGATTACTGATATATTATTTCTAAAAAAAGCATATATTCTCTCCAAAATGATTTTGATTGTATTGGATTGACAAGAGAATTTTTAAAAAGGATATCCAGATATCAAAAATAAACCACATCTTCCCAAGGGAATACTTGAAAAGCTCCATATTTGGAATCAAAAACAAAAACTGCAATGGACCAAAGAAGATACTGTTTATCTGTACCTCCAGATACAGCAGCTGATGACAAATTCTGACATCAGCAATTCCTGAGACATGCCCTCTGTGCAAAGTAGGCCATCTGCCTGGAGAGGGATTTTAGCACTGATATTGGGGGCTAAGGACACAGAACAGAGCATGCGTTACAATGCATATCACAGCAAACACGGATAACCACAAACACGTTTCTGGAATTAGAAGCATTGCAAAAATAAAACAACATTAATGGATGGACTAAAAAGCATGTCAGAAGATCGAGTTAATGATGTGGAAAATAAATTTGAGTAAAGCAGCAGAAACAGGAGCAAAGAAGGAAAACACAAGAGGAAACAATAAGGATATAAAGCTATTGAATACAAAATAAAAAAGATAAATAAATAAAGAATGATAAAGTCTTCATGATGAAAAGGCCCAATAAAAATCAAACATAGTTAATGAAACAAGAAGTAAACCTAAACACAGCTCAATGAAATTTCAGTACTTTAAAATTGAAGAGAATGTTTGGGGCTGGTGCTGTGGTACAGCGGGGTAAAGCCCTGGCCTGAAGTGCCAGCATCCCATATGGGCGCCAGTTCTAGTCCAGGCTGCTCCTCTTCTGATCCAGCTCTCTGCTATGACCTGGGAAAGCAGTAGAAGATGGCCCAAGTGCTTGGGCCCCTGCACCCATGTGGGAGACCCAGAAGAAGCTCCTGGCTCCTGGCTTTAGATAGGCACAGCTCTGGCTGTTGCAGCCAATTCGGGAGTGAACCAGCGGGTGGAAGACCTCTCTGTCTCTACCTCTCTCTAACTCTGTTTTTCAAATAAATAAAATAAATATTTTTTAAAAATTAAAGTGAATGTTCTAAAAATGTCCAGTTGGAAAAATAAGTTTCCTTAATAAAAAGAAAGGAAAACTATATCAAATATCACCAATAAACTTTTAGAATAGTAAAGGAATGCTTCAAATTTTTGAGTGAAGCTCATTTTGAACCTAGAATTCTACAGCCACCTAAACTATTAATGAAGCAAAGGGCAATATTTTAAAACATTTTTGGATATGCAAAACCCAAAAAATATATATAAGAAACAAAAGGGTAACTAAGCATGATCCAAAGGAAATGAGAGAATACAGAAAAAAAATTTTAAAGGTACTCTTGAATTCTGTACATGAAATAGAATCCACCAAGAAGGAAAGTTGCAATAACCAAGGATTACATCTCCTATACATATATACTCTGCCTTATTCACCATTAATATTTTATAATCATATTAACAATGCTATTTTATTTCAAAATTCTATAAGCATTTATCAGATAAAATACAGCATTTATTTTTAAGATACATTATAACTTTACAACAGAATGTAAATGATATAAAATCTGATGGTAACTTTAAAAAATAATATAAGTAATAATTTTGGGAGACAATAAAGAAAACTCCATTTTACTTTTCATTTTCATACATCCTTCCATATCATTTGAATTATTTTTACAAAGTAAGCTTATAACTTCTATAACTTTCTTAAACTAGTTTAATCACAAAAATATTCTTTTCATTCTGGTTATCTGTGTTACTATTAGCCATGTAAAGATGAAACAGCAGGGAAGAACAAGACCAAATAAATATACGTAAACACACACTTCACAGAATCAGAACACAAATAACATCCAAACTTAAAATGACCTAAAGTCCAAAACAACAACAAAGAAAGAATAAAACCTTCTATATCCAAGTGAGTTATCTCCCTGCACTCTCACTGCAAGCCTTCACACAGCATTAGTTCAATTTGCAAAAAGGATATGCAAGAGAGGAGAAAGAAACTTCCAGCCAGCCTAGAACTACCACCAAGTTCAAATGAAAATTTAGGAAGGAATACTGAAGAAAAGCAATAAAATAGCCAAGAGAATAAAAATAAAAGGAAGAAGTAAAAAGTAATGAAATAGAAAGCAAGCAAAAATGATCCAATTTATATAACTGGAGTTCTGAATAAACAAAAAAATGGAATAAACTCTTAAGTAACCCAAGAAAACTGTATGGGAATAAAAGACCTGCCTATACATATTAGAAACTACTAGATAACATTAATCTACAACAATCATCCTACCAATATTATAATATCTAAAAATAAAGAAAAATTATTCGGGGACTGTGATGTGACACAGCAGGTTAATCCGCCACCTGTGAAGCCAGTTTCCATTTCAGAGCGCTGGTTCAAGTCCCAGCTGCTTTGCTACCAATCCAGTTCCCTGATAATGCACCTGGGAAATCAGTAAAAGATGGCCCAACTACTTGGGCCCCTGCCACCCACACGGGAGTCGTGCATGGAGTTCTAGGCTTCTGGCTTCAGTTTAACCTAACCCCAGCCATGGTAACCATTTGGGGAGTGAACTGGCAGACAGAAGAGCTCTGTCTCTCCCTTTCTCTTTGTCACTCTGCCTTTCAAATAAATAAAATAAATCTTTAAAAAAAAAAAGTCATCACTACCTCTAGCAGTCCTACAGCTATGGAAAGGGCCACCCCAGAGGAGCGCAAAGGTCTCTTTCCCTGTGGTACAGGCCAAGGGTCTCGCTGAAGTTCTCCCAGAAGATCTGTGAGATTCATGTCTATTTTCTGTACTGGCTGTAGAAATCTGCGAATTAAATAAAAAGTCACTTACAACATGTTTGTGGGTGAGGGTATAAGAAACAAATGGCTTACTTTCCTAAAAATAGAGAAAAATATTTTGAATATACAGCAGGCCAAGAGTTCTCAAACTTTCATGTGCTTCAGAATTAATTGAAGGGTTTAACAACAACTGCTGGGTCCCAGTTCTAGAGTTTGCTTTGAAAAGTCTGGGAATTTGAATTTCAAACAAGTTACCAGGTGACACCAATGCCACTGATCCAGGAACCACACTTTGAATACAACTGCTATAAAAGAAACACTCAAATCAAGTATTACTTTGGGACTTCATGGTTCATTTACTAATCTAATGGGTTTTAGGGTTACTGAAATAATGATGAGAAGATACATAACTCGCTTTTAGTAATAGTACCTCTGATAAGAAAGTTTAAGGGAAGGGAGCAGGCTTCTAGCCTAGCGATTAAGGTGCCCACATCCCACAGTGGATTGCCTGGGTTCAATTCCCAGTTCCAGCTCCAGACTCCAGTTTCCTGACAATGCAGATTCTGGGAGGCAAAGGTGATAGTTCAAGAAATTTGGTTCCCGCCACCTATATGGGAGACCTGGATTGCATTCCCAGCTCCTGGCTCCTGCCCTAGTCCAGCCCAGTTACAGAGGGTATTTGGGAGGAAACCAGCCAATGGAGGTCTCTTTCTGCCTCTCAAAAAAAAAAAAAAAGTAAATTTGGACAGAAACACTACCTATAAGGCCAAGAAAAAATGAAATGATTTTTGAAACTCTATTTTTGCATAGCTTCCCTCAAATCACAAAAATTACATTTTTTCTGAAATTAAAAATATAAAATCAATATGTCAAAACTAATGTAACTCCTTACATAATAATGAAAAACCATTTCAGTGACATGGCTCTGTTGCAATTCTTCAAAAAGCTTAGTAATATAATTATATTCCTAAAAATATATAACAATATGGTAGTGTTACTATGTTTAAGTTAAAGGTATGAAATGTTTAAAATAGCTGCATGAATTGTAAAATCCTGTTTGCCATATTTAATTATTACCTGTTGGAAGGAGGTGGCTGCTGTACCTGAGGACCACGTGTTGCTTGAGTAACTGGCACTTTAGAAAGCCCCAGCATTTCCTGTAAACAGAATATTTGTGTGATCTTCACTTAATTACTTCTACAGATTTATCAACAATTAAACATGTACAAGGTGCTGTGCTAGACATCAGGAGCACAAAAATAAAGAATACAAAGTATCTTTCCTCAAAATGCAAATAGTCCTTCTAGGAAGACTATCAAAAGAATAGTAACAATACAGTGAAATGATCATCAAAAGAAATCAAAGTATAAGGTGTTATGTGAGCCAAGATACTAGCTCAGATATACCTTATATCTAGAGGTGAGCATTTAGCCTTGTGGTTACAATGTCAGTTAAGATACCTATACCTCATATCAGGGTAATCAGGGTACCTGGCTTGATATACAGCTCTGGCTACTGATTCTAGCTTCCTGCTAATGTATACCCTTCGAGGCAGCATTGATGGTTCAAGTTAATTGTGTTCTGCTATTCACATGGGGGACTTGGATTGAGTTCCTGGTTGCTAGCTTCTGGCTTGGTCCAGCCCCAACCATTGCAGGCATTTACGGAGTAAACCAGCAGATGGAACCCCTCACTCACTTACTCTTTCTTCTCAAGATTAAAAAAAAATGTTTGTAATTAATGGTCAATATAAGTTATTGAATCACTTAAACATCCATACTTAACTTACATTCATCCATTCCTTTCAGCAACTCTGTCTCAAGAACCTTCAATACGCCAGAATATAATGGTGAAAAAATAAATGGTCCCTACCCTTATGGAAAATGTGGATATGCAAAGAAATAAATCAAATCATCTGCTAAATAAGTGTAAATCTGGAATTCTACTAAGTCCTATGAAGGAGAGGTATCGGAGTAACATACAGGTTATTAGATATAAGATACTCATATCTTGTGCAATTTCAAAAAGTTCAAGAAAAATGCATATCATGAAAACATTATGCCTGGGTTTCAAAAATATTTTGCACCAAAATAAACTTTTAATTTTTAACAAACTTTCTTAGCATCCTTGTATACATGAATTCGTTTGGGATCACAGCATATATATAAGGTATTTGCTGTGATCTTGAAGGAATCCATGCATGTCTTCTGAAACTTCACTCTCCTCATCTCACTCTTGCTTTCACTTAATCTTTTCTTTCCCTTCTCTGTATAACCACACTCAAGTGTCTCTCTTCCTAAAATAAGTATCTTTTAATTCAATTATCTCTCAGATTCCCACACAATCTCCTTTACTTTCAACAAACCTCAACTGAGGAAAACCTCTGGGGAATAAAAGATGTTTGAAAGATATCCCTAGATGTTCCTGGTATGCTACACAAAACTCCCTTGCCTAAGGGGGAAAAAAAGCTTCAATTTTCCCCAATGATAAGATCATTCATTGGAAAAAAATTCACAAACCTATAGTTCACATATTAATAACTCTTACATCTCCAAGTATCTCCTTACCCACTAGACTAGAAGTATTTAGTTCCTATATGAGATGCCAAGAAACAAAAGCTAACATTCTGTGGTTGTTCCCTCTTAGTCTTCAACATGACTGTTGTATGAGTCCTTCCAATATCACCTTCAGTTTTATTTTAAACTTTAAAGACACAGTTAAAAGTAAAGGATCTTCAATCTATATGACAGGAATTTAAGGCACATAAGTAAAGTTGATGGCAACGCTCAACTTAAAGTCGTTGCTGCAATACAATTATATTAGTCAGTCATAATAAAAATATTTTCTATTAACATATATCCAGAAGGAATCTATACACATATCTACTGTGATGTTCACAGACATGTTGAAAAGAGCATTCTTGCTGTTTACCTGCAGCTGCTTAGCAGATAGATCTTTCGTTCCTCTGAAGACATAGCTTTTTGAAATGCCTTCACATCCAAGTTCATGAACCTGCACCATTCTCCCAAAAGTAATTAGTCCAACCAAAGCTGTAGGTGGTAAAAGACTTAATGACATCTGCATGGACTCTTTCAGGGCTTGTAAATCTTCATCTTCCATGCAAGTATCAACCACATAGAGGAATATCAAAGGCATCTGAGGACCACGCTTTTAAAATGTTTTTAAATAAGAAAAATAGTTATTTAAAAGGTACTAACACTTCAGCACAATATATGACAGTCAACAGAAGTAATTAATTAAGTAATGAATACAATGGAATCCTAATAAAGTCATTTCAGAAATGAAATTGACTGTATGCACTGTCAAGGACAGAAATCCAAGACATAGTATAACTAAGTGAAAAATCAAGTTTAAAAACATTATGTACAGTTATAGTTACATAGAGAGAGTTTTCACTCTCCATTTCATTTAAGTACGTGAGGTTTCATTTCTTACAGTGAATTTTTTTATTTTTAAATAAAGTAACACCTATGAAGTTAATCACAAAGTGAAGCAACTTTTATAAAACAATTTTCTAAACCCGAATTGAATTTTCAGAGAACCATAAACTAGCAAAGCTGGACAAATTACTGATTGGCTCAAGGGAATGATAATTCTGTTTTCCCTACAACATTCATAAACAATATTATTACTCCCACACTTAAATATATACACAACTATGTGACGCTTGTCAGAAAAGGAAGAAAAAGTATTTTACTAAAAAAAAAGTAACGCAATAGGGACCGACACTGTGGCATAGTAGGTTAAGCCTCCACCTGTGGCACCAGCATCCCATGTGGGAGCTCCAGTTGCTCCACTTCTGATCCAGCTTCCTGCTAATGTCCCTGGAAAAGCAGCAAAGATGGCTCAAGTGCTTGGGACCCTGCACCCACGTGGGAGACTTGGAAGAAGCTCCTGGCTTCTGGCTTTGGATTGGTCCACCTCTGGCCATTGGAGCCATTTGGTAAGTGAACCAGTGGATGGAAGACCTTTCTCTTTGTCTCTCCCTCTGCCTGTAACTCTGCCTCTCAAATAAATAATAAATCTTCAGAAACAAAAAGAGAGGCAGGTGCTGTGACATAGCGGGTAAAGCCACAGCCTGCAGAGCAGGCATCCCATGCTGGTGCCAGTTCAAGTCCTGGCTAATTCATTTCCAATCCAGCTCTCTGCTATGGCCTGGGAAAGCAGTAGAAGATGGACCAAGTCCTTGGACCCCCTGCATCAGTGTGGGAGCACACTGGTAAAAGCTCATGGCTCTTGGCTTCAGATTGGCCCCTCTCTAGCCATTTGGAGAGTGAACCAGCAGATGGAAGACCAATCTCTGCCTCAGCCTCTCTGTAACTCTGCCTTTCAAATAAATAAATAAATCTTTAAAAATAAATAAAAACAAAAAAAAATTTTCATTACTTAGAGACACAGCAATAGATTCCAGCATCATACTAAGTATTTGTAAACCGACCTTCCAACTACAGACCAAGACTGATACTTAATTGCTTACTGATCCACCCAGAATAGCAAATAACACCACCCTAACCAGTATCTGGTCACCCATCAAATAACTAAGAGAAATCATCTTGCTCCAATTGATCTTAACAGTTTCTACTTTTAAAATACGCCATCAGTTCAATGTGTGAGGATGCTTTAAGTCATCTCAACTTAACAATTGCTTTGGTATAAAATAAACTACTGGATATTTAAAACCTTCTTAAATATTTGCTCTTATGTTCTTACCAGAACTACATATTCAATGCTAGAAAACTGAGGTAAAAGTTCAGCAGGCTGATTCAGTTCAGATATACCAGCATAAGTAGGTGGAAACTACAGACAGAAAAAAAAAAAGAACCAAAAATTTTAACAAATTATTTTCCAGAATGATAAAATTTTAAACTACAAATATTTGCTTACAATTTAGTTATTAAAAGTGGGTATTTTAATTATATGAAAAGTAATGATTTAGTCCTTTTTAAATACACACTTTTCATATGACTATTTTTGTAGCACTGACATCTGCAATGGAGGTTTTCATACCTGATTTCTTTGATAACAAAAGTTGCAAGCCCAGAGTTTTGCTCGATAATCCACTTGACTATTTTAAGAAAAGAAAAGATGTAGACATTTCAGTTCAATTTGATAAGAATCATAATTTCAATAAAATAATTTATTTCTAAAAGAGTAACATTCAAATTGATAGTCAAAATGATCTTTAAAAGCTATGTAGTTTTAGTTGGTGACAATATCTCATTCATACTTCCTACACATAATTAAAAACAATATATAATAAATTATGTGCCACATGAACAATAAAAACAATCCTATTTTTTTTTTCAAATGGATTTAGTAACACTACATTCAGACCACCTAGAAAACATTTGTTCAAGTCAAAAATGTATTCATTGATGGCCTAACATGTACAAAAACTACTTTAGGTGGATGTGATAGAATAGTAACCAAGAAAGAAAAGATCTCTGCTCTGACGGAGTTTACACTGTAGAAGAGAAAGAGACAAAAGACAAGTGGATGCATAAATACAAAAAATACATTTTAGGAATATAGATGAAAGAATATAAGGCAGGATCTGTTTGGGAGAGCTACATCAAAGAAAAATTCTTCTGAAATAGACAACTGAAGTATGATCTGAATGAAAAGGAACTTACAGTCATAGGAAAATGTGGGAGCAGAGCAATCCAGACAGAATCCATAACTACTGCACAAATTCCAAGGTAGAGATAAATTTGGTATGCTCAAAGGATCAGAGGAGAGCACTAGGGTTAAAGTATTAAATAAGAAAAATGGATGATACAAGATAAAAGAAGAAATACTTAGAAACTAGATCAAGTAGTGTTTTACAGGACTTGATAAAAGGAATGGATTTTTCATTCCAAGTATAAGGAGCTATTGGAGGATTTTATTAATCTAACTCTCATTCATAAAACCCTGGCATCTTGGCACAGAACAGACAGCTAGAAAGACAAGAATGGAAACAAGGACACCAGTTAGAAGGATGTTGAAATGGCTCAAGAAAAAAATGCTGGTATCTTGAAACAGGGTATACTACCAGAGATCAAGGATAACACACAGAATCCATGCCATTCTGAAGGCAGAACTGAAGAGATTTGCTAGTGGACTGGACGGAGAGGAAAGAAGAATAAAGATGGCCCTTGGGATTTTTGGCTTAAGCAACAAGAAATAGCATTTCTCAAATCCAAGCCACCTAATAATTATGACTTTTCTGACATAATATGACTTTTCTGTGTGATACACAGCCAGCACGAGTATCCAGAAAATACTGATAGATATAACAGTTTTTATAGTTTTTATAGTGACACTTTTCCACTTGGTCTCCTTATCTTATCAAATCAGTACAAACAGAATTATTCTAAAATTCTACAGCTCTTTGGATACTTTTCCAATCATAATTTCAAAAATAACTACAAAACAAAGAGATTTTTATATAAACAAGCAAGAAATAAAGTAAATTTTTGAATCATAGTGCCACATTAGTTTTTCTCATATATTTTAATTACCATAAAGGATTCAAAACTGCACGGCAAGTGGTCCTACTACAAAGAACAGGTTCATATTGAATAGGCGGTAAGTCAGGTCTCTCTTTCAGTGGTGTAAACAGGGCTGCCACTGGAACAACCATTCTTGTAGCTTCCAGTCGACTTGATGGCCAAACATTCCAACTAAATCGGACTCCATCTCGTTCTTCATTTTGTTGGATAAATTCCAAATAGGTTGTCATTGTGGAGCTTGATTCTTATTTCTGTAACAAAATTAAAAGACATTTTAAAATCTAGGAACCTCTTAAGAAGATGGAGCCAGCGCTGTGGCGAAGCAGGTAAAGCTGCCACCTGCACTGCTGGCATCCCATTTGGGCACCAGTTCAAGACCTGGCTGCTCCACTTGTGATCCAGCTCTCTGCTATGGCCTGGGAAAGCAGCAGAAGATGACCCAAGTGCTTGAATCCCTGCACCCATGTGGGAGACCGGTTAGAAGTTCCTGGTTCCCTGACTTGGGATCAGCCCAGCTCTGGCCATTGTCATTCGGGGAGTGAACCAGCAGATGGAAGACCTCTCTCGCTCTGCCTCTGTCTCTCTGTAACTCTGTCTTTCAAATAAATAAATAAATAAATCTTTTTTAAAAATTAAGTATATTTCCCTATATTCAGCAATATTAACACATTAGAACTCAATTCTACTCTCTTATTACCAAACTTAAGACTTTGGAGTTTAAAGCCCTTCATGAATTTGAGAGCCAAATTATATTAAACCATAGAGGCAAATAATCCTTGTATTGTACCAACACAAAATATTTGTGACACAATAAATAAAATTCTTGATAAATCAGTTTTCCCATGATTTATAAATCATTTACATATCATTTAATATCATTCTCATGATTTATAATCATAATTTAAATGACATATCATTTAAATCTCAGAAATTTAATTCAGAATTTTTTAAAGATTTTCCTTTATTTATTTATATGAAAGACTGATAATAAGAGAGAGACAGAAGGACAGAGAATGAGCCTCCATCACTGGTTCACTCCCACAAATAGCCCCAATAGCTAGGGCTGGGCTTGGCAGAAACCAGGAGCCAGTAACTCTATCCTGGTCTCCCAGGAGCCTAAGTCCTTGAGCCATCTTCCACTGTTTTGCCCAGGCACATTAGCAGGAAGTCGGATCACAAGTGGAGCAACCAGGACTCCAACTGAATTCCAATATAGGATGCTGGTGTCGCAAGTGGCAGCTTAACCTGATGAACCATAACACCAGACTCTTGGAATATTTTTAACATTACAACTTATGAGAACATATCAAACTTTCATTTGAATATATAATTTTCTTTCTTTCTTTCTTTCTTTCTTTCTTTTTTTTTTTTTTTACAGGCAGAGTTAGACAACGAGAGAGACAGAGACAAAGAGAAAGGTCTTCCTTCCATTGGTTCACCCCCCAAATGGCCGCTATGGCCGGCGCTGCGCCAATCCGAAGCCAGGATCCAGGTGCTTCTTCCTGGTCTCCCATGCGGGTGCAGGGCCCAAGCACTTGGGCCATCCTCCACTGCCTTCCCGGGCTACAGCAGAGAGCTGTAGCCAGAGCAACCAGGACAGAATCCGGTGCCCCAACCGGGACTAGAATGAATATATAATTTCAAAAAATAATTTAAATTTACTACCGGGAAGAGGATGCCACTCTGGGGAGGGCCTAATATCAAGAGACATCTCTCTCTTGTTACTCTCTAACTGCCAACCTGGGATGCCAGCTTTCCTCTCTAGGCAACAGTTCTACCTCATGCTCTCAAATGCCAACAGTGATTAGTCACTAAAGGAAGTTGCAGAATTTAGAGCTGTGGAAAATAGTTTCAAGTGCTATGTAGCAAAGATGAAGGCCCTCAAGTTAAAAGAACTGAATTATGAACCTACAATGCCAGAAGAACCAGCATGGATGTTCAAATTGCTAAGAACAATGGTGGAGCAAAGAACTAATTCTAATAAGTGAGAGAAAGAGAGGTAGTTGAAAAACACAGGGGGCTGGCACTGTGATGTAGTAGGTAAAGTAGCTGTCTACAGCGCTGGCATCCCATATGGGCACCACTTCAGGTCCCAGTTGTTCCACTTCTGATCCTGCTCTCTGAAAATGCACCTGGGAAAGCAACAGAAAATGACCCAAGTACTTGGGCCCCTAGTACCCACATGGGAGATTTGGATGAAGCTCCTGGCTTCAGACTGGCCTAGTCCTGGCCATTGCAACATTTGAGAAGTGAACCAGAGGATAAAAGATCTCTTTCCCTCTGCCTTTCTTTGTTTTTTTTGTTTTTTTTTTGTATTTTTTATTTATTTATTTTTTTTGACAGGCAGAGTGGACAGTGAGAGAGAGAGAGACAAAGAGAAAGGTCTTCCTTTGCCGTTGGTTCACCCTCCAATGGCCGCCGCGGCTGGCATGCTCAGCCGGCGCACCACGCTGATCCAATGGCAGGAGCCAGGTACTTCTCCTGGTCTCCCATGGGTGCAGGGCCCAAGCACTTGGGCCATCCTCCACTGCACTCCCTGGCCACAGCAGAGAGCTGGCCTGGAAGAGGGGCAACCGGGACAGAATCCAGCGCCCCGACCGGGACTAGAACCCGGTGTGCTGGCGCCGCAAGGCGGAGGATTAGCCTAGTGAGCCGCGGCCCCGGCCCTGTTTTTTTTTTTTTTTTTTTAAGATTTATTTATTTATTTATTTTGAAAATCAGAGTTATAGATGGAGAGGAAGAGACGGGGAAGGGGGGAGCGGGGGGCGGATTTTCCATCTGCTGGTTCATTTCCCAGATGGTAACAGAAGCCAGGAGTATCTTCCAATCTTCCGGGTCTCCCAAATGGTTGCAGGGGCCCAAGCACTTGGGCCACCTTCCACTGCTTTTCCTAGGCCATTAGCAGGAAGCTGGATTGGAAGTGGAGGAGCCAGCACTCAACCAGTGCCCATACAGGATGCTGGCATCGAAGGTGGCAGCTTTACCAACTATGTCACAGAGCCGGCCCCACCTGCCTTTCAAATAAATAAATAAATCTTAAAAAGGAAGGAAGGAAGGAAGGAAGGAAGGAAGGAAGGAAGGAAGGAAGGAAGGAAAAATTAAACACATTTCCTCCTATCATACCAGAATCTTGCAGACAATTAGCTAATTTTATGCTAATAAAGAGAGTAAATTTTTCAAAGGCATTTAAAGGGTGAAGAGGAATCCTAAGACTAAACTTGTTTAGGAAAAGGCTATCCTGAAAAACTATAAAGGAGATAGCTTTGAAAAGGATGGCATGAGCTTTCAATGAAAAATGGTCGTTGAATGATAATGATTTTTCAGAAATATAGAACAGAAGGGAATTAGAACAATCAACCTCCCCAGGTCAAGAAATCCAGTTTTTAGCACATTTGCATGTAAGACCATGAGATTCCTCTCTTCTACAGAACATATGAAATAAAATGTTCTGTTTATTACTTAATTGTACCTATAGCCTATGATGCATCTAAAATGCATCTTCATAAAACATTAAAATATTCACTAAAACACACTAGAACAACCATGATAACTTATCTGAAACACAGAACACAAAAAATACGTGGAGTGACTAGTTTCTCATATCTCCCAATGGCAGTACATAAAGAGTATTTATGTATTTGTCAGATATTTTTCTCAAAAATGGACAAAATGAATATATCATTTTACTTCATGGAAAAACAACTGACATCTTTCACCAATGACAAAATTTGAACTTCCATGCAAATATTAAAATTTTCTGAAAACTTTACCAACAAAAGTTTGACAGCCTCCTAAATGCGTAAAAATTTTTCTGATGAGATCAGTGTTGTGTTTTTTTGTTTTGTTTTGTTTTCACAGGCAGAGTTAGACAGTGAGAGAGAGAGACAGAGAGAAAGGTCTTCCTTCCGTTGGTTCACTCCCCTAATGGCCGCTAAGGCTACACCGATCCGAAGCCAGGAGCCAGGTGCTTCCTCCTAGCCTCCCATGTGGGTGCAGGGGCCCAAGCACTTGGGCCATCCTCCACTGCCCTCCCGGGCCACAGCAGAGAGCTGGACTGGAAGAGGAGCAACTGGGACTAGTACCCGCCACCCCAACCAGGACTAGAACCCGGGGTGCCGGCACCACAGGCGGAGGATTAGCCAAGTGAGCTATGGTGTCAGCCTGTGTTGTTTTTAATAGGATTTTAAAAACTTATATTGTTATCATGAAATATGTCACCATTTGGAAGATACATATTACTTAGTGAAGCAACATCTCTCCAATGGTCGATTCACAGTGTTACAGCAACTTGCAGGAGCAGATGAACCTATCAAAGTTCAGGATGGACCAATGGGTTTTAATATAACAGAAGTACAAGGGGCCAGTGGGTTATCGCCCTGGCCTGAAGTGCCAGCATCCCATGTGGGCGCCAGTTCTAGTCCTGGCTGCTCCACTTCCAATCCGGCTCTCTGCTATGGCCTGGGAAAACAGGAGAAGATGGCCCAAGACCTTGGGCCCCTGCACCCACGTGGGAGACCCGGAAGAAACTCCTGTCTCCTGGCTTCGGATAGGCACAGCTCCGACCATTGCGGCCATCTGGGGAGTGAGCCATCGGACAGAGGACCTCTCTCTCTGCCTCTCCTCTCTCTGTGTAACTCTGCTTTCAAATAAATAAATAAATCTTTAAAAAAAAATAACAGTAAAAAAGCTTAATTCTGAGTTTTCAGATTCAACACTGCAATTAACCATTAATTTCTTCATTAAAATCACTGAGTTTCAGTGTAGTATCAAAAAAGAATATGCACAATTATCTGAAAAAACTATTAAAATATTTTTCCAACCATATATCTACCAGATTTCCCTAGTACAATTCAACTAAACAACAAAATGCAATAAATTGTAGAAGTTTATATGAAGCTTACACTATCTTCGATAAAGCCAGCTTTTTTCCTCTGGATTCTCAATAATGCTTAAGTGCATACTGGATCCTTAGAATCAGCTTTAGGACTCCAAGGGACCCTCACTGAGAAAGGTTCTAACAGTCTTAGCAGGAAGACATTAACATACAGGCAAAGGCCAGGTGTAAGTTTCTACAACAGGTTAACAGGCTGGATGGTTACTTTTTATTAAGATATTTTAAATATCATCTGAGTGATATTTGAGCATCTTTCTCCTCCTCTTCCTCCGAGTTTTCTCTCTCTCCACTCCAAGATTATATTTACTTCCTAAATCACATCCATATTTCTAAGATTCCCTCTTTTCAGCAGTATTTTGAAGACAGTACTACCTGTTTCTTCCTGATTGATCCAATTACAGGGCCATGAAAAACACTTCCCTGACTTCCCTCACCTTTCCAAGGCAGGAATTGCTCAATCTTAAAACATAAGAATTGTAAAGCCTTAAATTACTGATTTGACTGCAAAAGTTCTTTTGCATAGCAGCTTTTCTTAAAATGGCATTATTTGACAAGCACTCCTTTAATATTAATATGTTCACATAAAAATATAAACCAACTATTATTCACATATTATATTAGAATACATTAAACATACTAGTCTTTTTTTTTTTAAGGAAAAAATAGAAAACACAAAAGGCCATCAAGAGCATTATGTCACCTCAACATGGTATACCAAATATATGCCCTAGTATTTTTATTTTATAAAATGTTTTTATAGTGATAGTTTTTCAGAATTACAATTTTAGCCCTGTCAAACATATTTAAATGGAAAACACAAAATTGCAGTACAATTTGAGTCCCTTCCAATCAGAGGTATTTACTAGTCAAATGTATTTCTCCTACTTCTCAGTTGTAAAATTCTCAATGAAGTGTTTTCAATTACTTCTGAATGCTAGCTTTGGGATCTTGGACAGTTTAACCACTCCTGATTTTCACTTTTCTCATCAGTAAGTGAGAGATTTGGTATAGACAACTACAAGGTCCCATCTAAATCTAAAATTCTGACTCAAACGTGGGTCGACATCTGAAACAACGTTAATTACACTACTGGAGAAGCGAGAGAAGGAAGATGTGACATGCATTTACATTTAAATCCAATACTTGTTTAAAGTAAGTTAACTTTCAGCAAATGATTCGTGGCTGAGAAGATCAGGTGAAAAGGTGAATTCAACACCCCTCAAAATCCGCGATTCCATGTATATTTACTCTGACTTTTCCTAAGGGAAAACATTATGGCAAACTAGAAACCCAACGGGGTAAGACGGGTCCCGTCTGAAAACCTAACTCCGCTTGTAACCAAGGCCCAAGGCATTAACTGCACCTGGCACTTTTCTCCTTAACCCCTTGAACTCCCAAGGCCGCGTTACTGGTGACGAAGTTACCTCGGTTCAAAGTCTAGGACACCTCGGATCACGCCGGAATGGAAGAAGCCCCAGTGCCCAGGAGCGACGACGGGCTGGGGTGGGAAGGCGGGGCGCCCAGGACGGTGGGTGGGTGTGGGGCGAGATGCTCGGACTGCCATTTTCACCCGACTCCCACCTAATGCAGGGACGCTGGGAGAGGGCAGGGCCCCCAGGCCCCGGGAGGGCGGAGCAGTACGTGGTGGGCGACCGGGTGACAGGCTCGGGGCGCAGCGCTCACCCGCCGCACTGGTCCGCAGACGCCCGCGCGCTTCTCCCGCAGCCGAGCACCGAGAGCCAGAGTCGGGGGACCACCGAGACCCCAGTCCGCCCGCGGCGGCCCGCCCGGATTCCCGCTGAGCACCGTGCGCCCCCGGGGAGCGGAGAGGAGGCGGCCCGTAAGTCGGCGTTTACCACACTACTTACTCGTTCCACCAGATCCGCGCCGGACGCCAGCCTCAGCCACACCAAATCAGCCCTCTCCGCGCAGCCGAAGCACCGGTAGCACCGCAATCAAGGCCGGCACCGCCCCGCCCCCGGCCTCCGCGAGGACCTCGGCCCGGCCAACATGGCTGGTGCCGCCTCTGCCACGTCAAGGGGAGGGGGCCGGGGCGGGGCTGAGGGGAGGAGGGGCGGTGCTAAGGGAGGAGAGGGCGGGGCGTGAGGGGAGGCGAAGGCGTGGCGACGGACGCTGCAGGCGGGATAGGCGGGGAGAGAAGGGGCGGGGCGCTGGAGGGGCGGAGTGACCCGGGCAGTGAAGCAGGGACCTGGGAGTGGGGCGGCGCTGAACGACCGCCCTTCGGCTCTCGCCGGAGCCACGGTGGACCCAATCCCTGCAGATCGCTAAAGGGCTGGAGCATTTCTTCCATTATCACGCAGACTCCTCAGCTGCTGAGAGAAATGGAGCCGTCCTCTGGGAATCGTCTTCTGGAGAGTCTGGGTGTTGCTGAGAACCGTAAACCACATCTCTGCAAGGACAACGTGGGAAGTTGGTTCTTAGTGCAACAAACGTTTACTACTTTACCGGACACAGTTGAGATGCTGGTGATACAATGTAAGCAAAACAGGCCAAAATCCCCCACCTGGAAGAATTTTTTAAGATTTATTTATTTTGAAAGAGTTACAGAGAGAAGAGAGACACAGAGAGATCTTCCATCCTTTGGTTCACTCCCCAAATGGCCGCAATGGCCAGGGCTGGGCCAGGTGGAAGCCTGGAGCCTCTCCTGGGTCTCCCACGTGGATGCAGGGGTCCAGAGACTTGGACCATCTACTGCTTTCCCATGCGCATTAGCAGGGAACTGGGTCAGAAGTGGAGCAGCCGGGACTCAAAGTGGCACTCCCATATGGGATGCTGGCATTGCAGGTAGCGGCTTAACACCCTAAAGCACAGCATGGGCGCCACTTCCCAGAGGCACTGCTTCCTAACGTGATCACCTTGGGAGTCAGAATTCCAACATACGAACTTGGGTGACCCAAACATTCAGACCATAACCAGATGGATGAGAAGATCCATGGGGATATAGGAATTCAGTTAGGAATAAATCAAAGTATAACACTCTGGTAATTTCATTCATTTCATGATTCTCAGAAGGGCATCTTTACCAACTAGCTCAAAGAAACCTAAAAAGTCATAATTCCTTTCCTCTCAGCTGAGCCAAGCCTTTTAGTCCTATGAAATGCCATCACGCAGCACACAATGATGGTTTAGTCAATGACAGATCACATATACAATGATGGTTCCATAAGATTACAAAGGAGGTTAAAAATTTCATAGTACCTAGTATTTTTACTCTACCTTTCCATATTTAGATACACAAATCTGTGGTGTGACAGTTGCCTACAATATTCAGTATGGTAAAAAGATGTATAGGTCCGTTGGTAACCTAGGAGCAATGCGCTACACTGTATTTCCCAGATATGCAGGACCATCTGGTTGTAAAAGTCCACCCTATGATGTTCACACAATGATGAAATTGCCCTAACAATGCATTTCTTAGAATGTTTCCCTGTTATTAAGCAAGGCATGACTGCAGAGGTCAGGATGGGTAACAAATTTATCTGTATTTATCCTTATGTACTTTACAATTAATGAGTTTAACCCTTAGATATACCAAGAAGATGTACCGAATCCAACTTTAGTTTTTCCGGTTTTCTTTCTTCTGCCTGCCTGCCTTCCTTCCTTCCTTCCTTCCTCCCTCCCTTCCCTCCTTTCTTCCTTCTTTATTTTTCTTTTTCTTCCTTCCTTCCTTCCTTTTCTTTCTTTCCTTTTTTTTTTTTTTTGGAATTCTATTTGCAATTATCACATGCATCCACTGGACTCTTATAAATGGGGCCAGCGTTGTGGCATAGAAGTAAAGCCACAGCCTGCAACCCTGGTATCCTGTATGGGCACTGGTTCAAGTACTGGTTGCTCCACCTCCAATCTAGCTCCCTACTAATGCACCTAGGAAAGCAGCAGAAGATGATCCAAGTGCTTGGGCCCTGAGCACCCACATGCTCAAAGACTCAGCCAGAAGAAGCTCCTGGCTCCTGGCTTCAGTCTGGCCCAGCCCTGGCCCAGCCCATTGTGGCCATTTGAAGAGTGAACCAGCAGATGGAAGATTCCCCATCCCATTTCTCTCTCTCTGTAACTCTGCCTTTCAAATAAATAAAAACTAATTAGAAAACAAATAAATCTAGGATATAGCAAGGGATTTTAGTGACATTATTTTTCTATATTGTGATACATCCCATTTCATCATCTATAGAATCATGTCATCATTATTCATCAACTGTTCCAAACCATGCTTTAAATAGAAGGATGGTGGAATTGCCTAAGAGGATACAATAGTGAAAAGTCATCATTATTCATTTTCCTTTGGTTTTCTTTTTGCAGTGCCCAAAGTACAGCAGCATCCTTCAGGACCTTTGTATCATGCTTTTAGCTTTTATTATAATTTGCCTTTGGCTTTCATTGAACATTCTTGAGAATTTGGAAGATGAATGCAATGGAGTATTACTCAGCCAAAAATCAAGGCAGAAATCTTGACATTTGCAGCAAAATGGATGGAACTGAAGATCATATGGTAAGCAGAATAATCCAGATACAGAAAGACAAATAACTGCATGCTCCCTCTCATAAGTGGAAGTTAAAAAAAAAAAGTCTATCTGAACTTTGAAGGGTTTGGGGAGGATAGAAGGAGATTAGCTAAGGAGTGAAAAAAGATCAGTGAAGAAGAGCTGAGTAGGCTCCAAATACAAAGATAGAGAAATGGAAAGGCTAGTTGCCTGGTTTGATTGGTTTACACTGTGTATAAGTGTTGATATATACTCTATCTCATAAAAATGTACAAGTATTACATTTCAAAGTTTTAAAAGAATTCTTCAAGAGGTGGGCATTGTGGCACAGCAGTTTGGAACACCCCATCCCAAATGGGAATGCCTGGGAATGATCCCCGCCTCTGCTTCAGATCCAGCTTCCTGCAAGTGCACATCTTGGAGGGGAGGGGCCAGCAGGTGGATAGCTCAAGAATTTGGGTACCTGCCACCCATACAGGAGACCTGGATTTAGTTCCTGGCTCCCAGCTCCCAGCTCCCAGCTCCCAGCTCCCAGCTTTGGTCTGGCCCAGCCCAGGGCCATTGCAGATATTTGGGGAGTGAACCAAAAGTGGAAGCTCGCTCACTCACTCGCTCTCGCTCTCTCTCGTTCTCACTTTGTCTTCAAATAAGTAAAAATAATAAACTTTTTCAATAATCATCATTATTTTTGATGATGTGAGTGAGAAGAACCAGAAGTAACAAGTTAGGATTTAGTGGTGATGTACTTGAAATCTGGAATTACTGTCTCCGGGATTGCTGTTTCAGATTCACAGATGGCGGGTAATGAGCAGTTTAATGGCATTCAGGGAACACTGTCTGTTTTGAGTATTTTATCTTCAAAATCAGGAAAATAGGGAATAAAAACTGGGATTTGCTCTGTTTAAATGCTTTTAAAAAATTCTAATTTGTTTTCTACTATTTACTTATTTAAATAACAGCTTTACTGGATATCTCTTTATTCTAAATTGCATAAATTACTCATGAAATGACTTAAAGATATAAAACCTGAGGGCCAACTTTGTGATATAGCAGGTAAAGCCACTGCCTGCAATTCCAGCATCCCATCTATGGGCACTGGTTCATGTCCTGGCTGTTTCACTTCTGATCCAGCTCCCTGCTAATGTGCCTGAGAAAGCAGTGGAAGATGGCCCAAGTCCTCAGGCCCCTGCCACCCATGTAGAAGACCTGAAAGAAACTCCTGATTATTGGCTTCAGACCAGCCCAGCTGTAACCAGTGTGGCCATCTAGAGAACAAACCAGCAAATGGAAAACTTGTCTCTCTGTCTTTCCCTTTCCCTCTGTAACTGTGTCTTTCAAATAAACAAATATTTCTTTAAAAATATACAAAATCTAATGCAAGCCTCTTTCCCTGAAAAGGTCTTTTTTAAAAGCAAGGAGTCTTAATATCATTGCATCCTCAAACTGGCATTTCTAAAAATGCCAGAGATTAAAGAAAGAAGAAGAGGTTCTATGTTCAAATCAAATTGGGACATACCAAGTTAAATTATGTAAATTAGGCCTCATGTGTGTGCATGTGTGTGTGTGTGTATTGTGGGAGACTTTAAATGCTAATATTCCCTTTGAATCTTCAAGAGTAGGATTTAAGTACATTTTTCAAAGATATTTAACCTTGGGATTTTTTTTCTGTACTATAAGGGACAAATATTCTAAACACCCTATGAAAGCCTTTATCTTCCACCCTGAATTGTTTTAAATATTAGTTAATACGTAACAGCCAGTAGGTTCCTTACCACTTCATAACCCACAAAGATTTCAAAACTGGAGATTCCGGTACTGCATAATCTGGTGAAGCATGATAATGTAGTTTTGGAATTTTATATTTAGCCACAAGGTGGCGCTTTCAGCTCTACTTTTTCTTTTTAGTTAACTTTCTAGTATGAATGAAATACTTGAAGTTTTTTCAACATGAATTTTCTTCCATTTGTTCAAATGGTAACAGATGAAGTCTCTGACCAACTATTTTTGGAGTACTCACTAGAAAAAGCAATATTTGTTTTCTGCCACATTTGAATTTTCAGCAACAATAGTGTGCCTCGTCTATAACTTGAGAATAATACCCACATTCAAAAGGACTACTGGGGCTGGTGCTGTGGCTTAGAGAGTAAAGCCCCCGGCTGCACTGCCGGCATCCAATATGGGCGTCAGTTCGAGTCCCAGTTCTTCCACTTCCAAACCAGTTCTCTGCTATGTGTGGGAGACCCCAAAGAAGCTCCTGACTCCTGGCTTCAGATCAGTGCAGCCTGGGCTGTTGCAGCCATTTGGAGAGTAAACAGCAGAGACCTCTCTGTAACTCTGGATTAAAAAAAAAAAAAAAGACTACTATTGGAGCCCACATTGCAGCACAGTGGATTAAGCTACCACCTGCCACACCAGCATCCTATATGACCACCTGTTCCAATCCTTGCTGCTCTACTTCCAATCCAGCTCTCTGCTAATGTGCCTGAGAAAGCAATGGAGGATAGCCCAAGTGCTTGGGCTCTGCCACACATGGGAGACCTGGATGGAGTTCCAGGCTCCTGGATTTAGCCTGGTCCAACCCCGGCTGTTGTGGCCATTTGGGGAGTGAACCAGCGGATGGAAGATCTCTCTCTCACACCCCCCCCCACATAATTCTGACTTAAAAATAAATAAAATAAAGATTATAATAATGTTAGATAAAATAAATAAGGCTAATTAAATAAACCACACTTGAAAATTACAGAATTCTAAACTGAAATGGACTTTAGCTATCATTTAGTCTAATCCCCATACATGGTAAGTGACTAAGGACAAGAGAAGTAAATGTCATACGTGGAACTGTAATGAATATATCTTCCTCTCCTTTTTCACATGCTGACTAACCAAAGCTAACTGCTGATCCTGTGACTAATTAGAGTATCTTTCCAACTCAACAGATAAATAATGCTTGACTAAGAGTTCCAGGAGCTAACCTGCAAGGAAATGGCTAGAATGGCAGATATCAGATAAGGAAGAAATTTAGTCACCAGCTACAAACTGGAAAGCCTCACACCAAACCAGCCTCCAACTAATTGGCGTCAGGATGACTCTCAGAAGCGACCTTGGAAACATACCTAAAAATCAGCCAAGTAGACCCATTATATTTCCTAACCTGTCCAACTATCCTTTCTCCTTAAAAAAATCCTCCTGCTGACTTGCTAGTTGAAAAGAGTCCTTTTTGGATCAAAGGGTCCACCTTCTTTTGGATGGCCACTTGAATAAAACGTACTATCTCCTTGCAGCAACTCATCTCTGGTGTATTGGCTGTCCAGTGTCCAGCAGGAGGGTCTAATTTTGTTCTGATAACAGGGAGACCCCACTCTCAAAGGAAGGAATTAGATTTGTATTTTTATTTTAACGATGGAATACAGGCGGGTGTTTGGCACAGTGGTTAAGACACTAATTAGTATGCCTCCATTCCATATCAGGGTGCTGGGTTTGAGTCCCAGTTCCACTCCCAATCCCAGCTTCCTGCTAATATGCCCCCTTGGAAAACAGCAGGTGATAGCTCAAGCACCTCAGTACCTGCTACCTGGACTGAGTTCCTGGCTCCCAGTTTCCAGCTTCAGTGTAGCCCAACCCTGGCAGTTGAAGGCATTTGGGAAGTGAACCAGAGGATGAGAGCTCATCTCTGTTTGCCTGCCTGTCTCTTTCTCTCTGCCTCTTAAATAAATAAGGAGTAAGGTTTTTGATTTGTGTTCCATAATTAAACTAGACCTTGACTTGATCTTCTGACGTCAAGTCAGCTTCCTAGCCATCTTGTGGATCTGTACTCAGAGCCTGAGGACAGTGTTCTCAGACAGAGATAAGGAAACTGCCCTTGCCCACAGGCAGGTACTATGACTAGGAAGAAAATGGGACCTCTGCATCTTCATTGCTTCTCTCTAAGACCAGGGGTCATAAAGGCTCGCAAGAACCCCTCCTGAGGTTTATTTGTTTGTTGTTTTGGGTTGTTTTTCATTTGTTTTTAGTTTTTGAACTGTATTTTGTACAGTGGTTTAGAGCAATAGTTTGGAAGTCTGACCACCCAGGATATAATTTCAACCCTTTCACTTCCTAGTTATGTAACTTGGGCATGTCACATAACCTCTCTTGAGCTACAGTTTCTTCAGCTGCAAATGTAGATAACAAAAGTAACTATTGGGGCCAGCGGTATGGCATAGCAGGTAAAGCCACTTGCATGCACTGTCGGCATCCCATATGGGTGCCAGTTCAAGTCCTGGCTGCTCCACTTCCAATCCAGCTCTCTGCTGTGGCCTGGAAAAACAGTAGAAGATGGCCCAACATAGAAAACGCACATAGAAAACCTAGAAGAAGCTCCAGGCTCTTGGCTTCGGATTGGCCCAGCTCTGCCCCTTGCGGCCATTTGGGGAGTGAACCAGAGGATGGAAGACCTCTCTCTCTCTGCCTCTGCCTCTGCCTTCCTGTAACTCTGCCTTTCAAAGAAATAAATAAATCTTTAAACAACAACAAAAAAAGTAACTACCACTCAGGGTAACCACATATAATGTGATGTGAGGATCAAAGAATAACCTATGCAAAATATTTAGCCCTAAGAAAGAGAAACATTAAGTCCTGAAAGCAGCAAAGTAGCCTATCATTTGCTGATTAGTGCTGCCAGGCTCTCTCAGCCAGGCCATGTTGTCCTCCTGCTGAACGTGAACCAATTTACAGCATATCAACATCAGAGAAGAACAGTCAATGACAGTGAAGGTTCAGGAGGAAATCAATACCACTCTGCAAGCATATCCAACTCAGACAAAAACAAGATTGTCCAAGCCACAAAATGACTGCATCTTGGCTAGGATGGGTGACCACTGCTCAGTTACTAATTACAGCATAAGTCCGCCTTCTTCCTTCTCCCTTCTAGATAAGAATTACTAAGACATCGAATGATATATCAAGTGAGCAGATGTGCTCAGTTGAAAGCTATACTGTCAGGTGTAGCAGTAACCAATCAAAGCATCGCCAAAATGTTAATAATGGTGAAAGTTCTTAATTATTTTCTGTGATTGTAGTGTAAACTTGCTTGCTAGCACCACCCCCTTCCATTGATTTCCATGGAATGAAGGGCTGATCAAGGGTCAAGTGGGTCAAAACAAACATGAAGGTCATCTCACTGTTAAAGGAGCCCCCATGGAATAGCAGGGGGAGTCTAGGAGTAGAAAAGTACTCATGCTAAGAATAGGAAAGTTTCCAAACAAGGAGCTCTCCAAATGGAGGCACCTGGGCAAGAAATGCAGCTATGCATAACAGCATGGCTGGCTGGGAGGCCTGTGTTGGTTTAAAATGGTATGTGCCCTCTAAAATTCATGTTGTAGTCTAATCCCCATTGTGATTTATTAACGGAAAACTTACTCTGACTACAGTGTTTAGAGATGCGGCCTTTGGGAGGTAATTAGAGAATGTCACCATGGTAGGACCCCTTTATACGGGTGACTTTAAAAGAAAGAGACCCGAGCACATACATGTATGCACTCCCTATCTCTTGCCCTGTGTTGCTCTACACTAACTTGGGACTCTGCCAGCAAGAAGACCATCACCAGATGCAGTCCTTCAACCTTGGACTAGAACTGTGAGCTAAAATAAATCTCTGTTTCTGTAACTTGCCAAGTCTTTGGTATTGTGTTAACAAGAAAAAACAGACTAAGACAAGGCCTGAGCCCTTGACTATAACTCTTGTAAGAGACTACAGTGCACTATGAACCAAGTCTGGTGTGGGGAGGGCAGCTTCCTCCTGTGAGGCTTGCCAGGTAATACCTTTGTATGGTTTAGGGTCAGGCCTGAAAAATCACACACAGGTTTCTTTTTAAATTTTTTTTTTTTTTTTTTTTGACAGGCAGAGTGGACAGTGAGAGAGAGACAGAGAGAAAGGTCTTCCTTTGCCGTTGGTTCACTCTCCAATGGCCGCCGCTGCAGCCGGCGCACCGCGCTGATCCGATGGCAGGAGCCAGGATCCAGGTGCTTTTCCTGGTCTCCCATGGGGTGCAGGGCCCAAGCACTTGGGCCATCCTCCACTGCACTCCCTGGCCATAGCAGAGAGCTGGCCTGGAAGAGGGGCAACCGGGACAGAATCCGGTGCCCCGACCGGGACTAGAACCCGGTGTGCCGGCGCCGCAAGGTGGAGGATTAGCCTATTGAGCCACGGCGCCGGCTTAAATTTTTTTTTTTTTAATTTAAGAGGTAGAGTTATAGACAGAGAGACAGGTCTTCCTTCCTTTGGTTCACTCCCCAAATGGCCGCTAAGGCTGGAGCTACACCGATCCAAAGTCAGGATCCAGGTGCTTCTTCCTGGTCTCCCACACAGGTGCAGGGACCCAAGCACTTGGGCCATCCTCCACTGCCCTCCCGGGCCACAGCAGAGAGCTGGACTGGAAGAGGGGCAACCAGGACTAGAACCAGCGCCCTTTTGGAATGCCGGCGCCGCAGGCAGAGGATTAACCAAGTGAGCCATGGCGCCCTCCCTCCCCAGGTTTTTAACTAGGAGCTAGACTCCTCAGATTTAATCCCATTTCCTGACAACAAAGTACCACTTTCCCTAAATCACCTTAAGAAGCCCAAAATCTGTTCCAAATATATTAGTTCTTCAACTCTGCTACTGAGACATCCCCAGGTCTCTAACATATGACCAGAGAAATGTTGCAGTGGTCTTTGGTTGGAAGGCATTAACAGCCCCTGGCAAACAAGAGTATGCTCCATAAATATTTACTGTATATAGCTACATTTCTCAAAACCCTGTCTAGAACCACTCACTCCCAACTCTGTGCATCAGCCATATTGACCTTCAAGTTTTCCAACATAACCAACTTCCTCTAGCAATAAGGCATTGCACAAACTCTTTCCTCTACCTGCCTGGAGATTAAAGATACAAAGAGACAATGGTCAAATCACATATATATGGTTTCCTACAATCAACAGCAACCAGCCTAGGAAACCAACCCATTGTCTTACAGTAACCAGTGTGAGAAATCAGCCTGCTCTAACTCATACTATATTGGAAGGCAGATTGCTTTTGCTAGTAACAGTCCAGGAAGCCAAACAATAGCCTTTGTAATGATTGTCACAAAATGCCCAGAAACCGATTAATAACTGAAAATTTTCCAGATTTTTGTCCCCACTTCTCACTTAGGACCAACCATAGAAAGCCAAATATGTATCCTTAGGCAATTTTCTGTTACTATAGTAAAACATCAATCTGAGTAATTTATAAAGAATACAAGTTTATTTGGCTCATGATTCTGGAAGCTGAGAGGTCCATGAGCATGGTGCTAGCAACTGTTTGGCATCTGCCGCACTGTAAGATGGTGGAGGGGAATCAGGTGGCAAAATAATGCTAGCGTGCTAGCTCAGATGTCTCCTCCTGGTCTTATAAGCTCCCTAATGTCATCATGGATGCCCCACACTGATGACCTTATTTAACCCTAATTACCTCCAAAAGGCACCATCACCAAATACCACTAACATGGGAATTTGGGCATTAAGTTTCTGATACATGAACTTTAGGGAAGACACATTCAAATCATAGCAGCTGCATTCAGCTTCTCTATGCCAACAGCCTTCTGTAACAGCATAGTGTCTCCCTGCCTTTTTTTCTTTTTTAAGATTTCATGTTGTTTATTCGAAAAGAAGAGTGACAGAGAGAGAGCTGGAGATCTTCCATCCTCTGATTCACCTTGCAAATGGCCACAATGGCGAGGTCAGTCCAGGTCAAAGCCAAGAGCCCCAAACTCTATCTGGGTCTCCCACAGGAGACCAAGTACCTGGGCTATCTTCTGCTGCTTTCTCAGGCACATAATCAGGAAGATGGATCAGAGCCAGCGCAGCGGGGACTCCAACTGGCACTCCCATATAGCATACCAGCTTAACCCTTTGATCTCTGCCAATATGTTAGTAGTGGTGGCTGACTCTCTTCTTACAGCCAGCTCTGATTTAAGTGGGCTTTGCTTCCTCTCATTCTGTTGATCTATATTTATTCACACTAAAAAGTTCTTGCACCCACACCCACCTTGAACCTCTCCTTAATAGTATTTACTTATCCTAGTGAACATTTATAATATTTCTCTGTCCTCTAGACTGTGAGCAACATAATAGAAGCAGCTCACCAATGTAACTCCCAATGCCTACCATAGTGCCTGACACACAGTAGCAAACTGGTAGATATTAACTGGATACTAAATTCAAAAACAAATCTTGGGGCCAGAGTCAGGGCGCAGTAGGTCAATCCAGCGGCACTGGCATCACATATGGGCACTGGTTGCAGTCTCGGTTGCTTCCCAGCTGCTCCACTTCCAATCCAGCTCTCTGCTGTGACCTAGGAAACCAGTAGAAGATGGCCCAAGTGTTTGGGCCTCTGCACCTACATGGGAGACCAGGAAGAATCACCTGGCTCCTGGTTTCGGATTGGCGCAGCTCTGGCCATTGCAGCCATTTGGGGAGTGAACCAACTGAAGGCAGACCTTTCTCTCTGTCTCTCCCTCTCACTGTCTATAACGCTACCTCTCAAATAAATAAATATTTAAAAAAAATTTCAAAAGCAAGTGGGGTTGGCGTTGTGGCACAGTGGGTTAAGCTGCTGCCTGGAACACCAGCATCCCATATGGGTACTGGTTCCAGTCGCAGCTGCTCCATTTCCAGTCCAGCTCCCTGCTAATGGCCTGGAAAAGCAGCAGAAAATAGCCAAATTCTTGGGCTCTGCAACCACATCAGAGACCCGGATGAAGCTCCTGGCTCCTGGCCCAACCCCAGCCATTGCGGCCATCTGGGGAGTGAACCAACAGATAGTCTCTGTCTCTCCTCTCTGTAATTCTGTCTCAAATAAATAAATAAATCTTTTAAAAAAATAGCTTAATTCAAGTGAAGCTTAGGCTGTGGCCAAGAGCAAAGAACTAAGAAGAAGCAGAAAACAGCAGAAATTCTACTGCAGTAAATCTTGAAGAATACAAAGTGAAAGGATAAATAGGCTAAACTATGTTTTTCACTTGGGATCTTTCTTAAAATGTGTTTCTGAGCTCCACACTCAATCATCAGAAACTATAGAAAACACAAGCACCAGTATTTTAATTTATTTCTTCAAAATGATTCCTACACACACTCACACACTAACAGCCACATCATCCATAAACACTCAACACAGTGCTCTGTTCTCACAACTCTCAGCTAACCCTCAATGTGAGAAACATTAAACACAGAAGTCTTTCCATTATAAACTGAAAACTGACTGGAAATCTCCAAAAACAGGGCATCTGAAGTAGTCTAGTACCTTAGAAAACAGTTGTACCTCAGAAAACGGTTTTCCCTTTAGAAGACTTTATATGAAATGCTTATTATAGTTTCAGAAGTTCAGTTTTGCATAAATGAAGCATTTTTCAAATAATTTAATCAGCCAAACATAGTTTATTCTCAACTGTCCCACATCTTATTGAAACATTCAAAATACTTACACAATTTCCAACTTATAATCATATAAAAATCGGTTCCAAAACACATCACTAAATCTTTAAAGCCAGATTAGATTTAATAAAACAGGAAGTTTATAAACTACTCTCTGCTGAATGAACTCATCACTGTATAATTAAAATTTCAGAACCATTTCATAATCATTTGTCTGAGTTATTACTCACCTCCTCTTTTGGAAGACAATGTATTAGCATGTCCCAGGACAACTTTTGTTTCATTTTGCTATTCCTCTTTCTGCCTTGATCCATGTGTAGTTCTGAAATTCTGATACGTATAGTGTTAAGCATTGTTCCATTGGTGGTTGGTCAGCTTAGCAATCACCTATTCTCCAGGAAAGTGAGATGGAGCTGCAAATAATTTGTAATTCAAAAAAAAAGTATTTGTAAGAAAATCCAAAAATGAAGTCATTGCTTATTTTTTCAAATTTCTTCTTATCACCCAAATATTGGGGGACAGGAACACTTAGATGTCTCCATTTCTCTTCTCTTTAAGTCTGTTTTTCCCAAAATCAGTGAAAAAAGAATCTTTAATTCATCTGAAAGGCAGAGCAACATAGAGAGGGGAATAGAGAGAAAAACGGAGAGAATAGAAAAAGAGAGAGAGAGAGATCTTCCATCCATGGGTTCACTCTCCAAATGCCCCCAACAGGCAGGCCTGCTTGAAGACAGATCCAAGAAGCCCGGAACTCCTTCTGGGTCTCCCACGTGGATGGCAGGGATCCAAATACTTAAACCATAACCTTCTCCCTCCCAAGGTACACATTAGCAGGAAATCAAACCAAAGCAGAGTAGCCAGGACTCCAACCAGGCACTCAGATATGAAATGTAGATGACCCAAGCGGCGTCTTAACAGCTGCACCACAATGCCCACCCCAGTGAAAAATTTTTGATCAAATAACTTTCCAGTTTGACAGCAACTGTGTAGCTACAATTGGTAAGTACTACTAATTTCTTAGCTCTTTTAAGAACTGTTCTCCCTTTATCTTCAATTAAATGAGTTACATCCTGGTTGGAAAGCTAAAGGCAGTGCCAAAAAAAAAAAAAAAGTCTTAAAAGTATACACGTTAAAAAATAAAGGTCAATTGTATTCCCTCAGAGTCTGTTTACAAAAGATCAGATATAATACTTCCATTGTTTCTTGCACTTTGTGACTCAGAACAAGTTACTTAATTCATTTCTGTCTTGTTTGCACACCTATAAAATAAAAATAATAATAGCAACCACCTCACAGGATTGACCTAATATTAATAATGGTAATTTCTGAATGCTGGTGCTAGTTTTATCCTTTGATTATTTGTATTTAAGCAAAGAGATTTTTCATTCATTTGGTATCAGGATTGTAATTGCTTGGAAGAAAATCACAGTTGTAGAACTTAACTACTTTTTATGTCGATTTCTTCCCCCTCGAAACCGAAATAATACTAGCTTCTTCACAGGGTTGTTGTGAGAATTAAATGAGGAAATTTATAAAACGATTTTCCTGGGGTTTAAGAATTTAGAGCTCCAAAAATGATAATTATGCAAATACGTGATTTGATCCTAAAGCGTTTAAGGATCGTACACTAATAGGGATGAATAGAAGTTAATAACCCTCAGTCTTTACTCCAGCCTTAAACGAGAAAACACGATGTGAAAACCCGAAAACCGCTTTAGGACAACTTCCAGGAACCAAACCTGCGGCTCACTTTCCCACTGAAGCCTTAACCTCCAGGCAAGTAGTGCCTCTGCTCATGCGCACTTACGCTTTCTAAACTGCCGCAGGCTCTGCAGCGCGCCAAAATACACCTACTTGTGCGCCTGCGCCATGACCTAGACTAGGCGCATGCGCAGGGAGGGACCGGCTGGATTGAAAGCTATGGCGTGGGTACCTTCTTCCGAGTCGGCGGTGGAAGAGTTGATGCCCCGGCTGTTGCCGGTGGAGCCTTGCGACTTGACGGAGGGTTTCGATCCCTCGGTACCCCCAAGGACGCCGCAGGAGTACCTGAGGCGGGTCCAGTGAGTGCTTTGGCCCCGTACGGGTGGGCTCATCGTTCCCCCTGCCGCTGGGCAGGGCCCGTGGTGCCAAAAAGTCCCGTCCCTGTTGTCCCAGTTTATGCTCCGCATCTCTGGGTTACATCCCAAGTGGCGAGTTTCCTTTTAACTTGATAACGGATACCGAGATGTGTGTTCTTGGATTTCTTTGCTTTCAATCCAGATAATGTCAGACATCCCGTGTTTAGTACCCCAGTTGGAATTCTGGATTTTTAATTTCCTAATGAACTGTGGAAGTGGATCGCTTGTTTTACTGCACGCGAACAAAGCGCGATAGTAATTAAATTTCTTGCATTTATTGCTTATTTGTAGGATCGAAGCAGCTCAATGTCCAGATGTTGTGGTAGCTCAGATTGACCCAAAGAAGTTGAAAAGGAAGCAGAGTGTGAATGTTTCTGTGAGTTTTATAATCTTATGGGGATTTCCCTGACACACACATTCTTATAATATCCGAGAGTGTCGACTGTGGTGTACGTGATAGCTGACTGCTTCCTCTGGAGTTAAGCATTGGCTTGCACGCTTTGCCTCTGCCGCCTCGCAAGAACCTTTTCGTGACCTGGAGTTTATATGAAGACTTGCTCATCTTACTTTAGGGACGTGACCCAATACCTAAGGAGCCTTTAAATAGGCTACTTGCACTTTTATTTTTAAGGAACCTTTTTCCAGTTACGTTTTCATAATTACTTCTCTGGTGTTTATTTAGTGTAGTTTGCATGTTCTGAATTTGGCTGGTTTTTGTTTTTCTAAGAATAGAAAGCTGATCTCTTAGGCTTTTCTAGTTATGTGCATTTCTACTTATGGACACTTTTATTTATTTATTCAGCAAGTAGGAAAAGTAAAGTTAGTTGTTTTTGTTGTGACTAGGTTGTGCCAGGCTCTGGGAATACAATACAGGAAGGGATAAAAGATGCCTACCCTGATAGAGCTTACATTCTTCTGAAGAAGTTGGAGTAAACAAACAAAAATTAAAATTATGTATTGTGAATATTGCAGTGAAGAAAATAAACATCTATGATAATAAAAGAGAGAGCCCAGGTGGGCATTGTGGTGCAGCAGGTTGAGCTACGGCTTGGGACACCCATATAATAGTGCTGGTTACTCTGCTTTTGATCCAGCTTCCCAATAATACACTTGGGAAGCAGCAGATCATGGCCCAAGTATTTGAGTTCCTGCCACCCACATGGGAGACCTGCATGGAGTTCCTAACTTTGACCCAGCCCCAGCTGTTGCCATCTTTTGAGAAATAAACCAGGAGCCAGTGCTGTGGAGCAAAGGGTTAGGCTACTGTCTGCAGTGCTGGCATCCTATATGGGCACCAGTTTGGGTCCCAGTTGCCCCACTGATGGTGCACCTGGGAGAACAGTAAAGGATGGCCCAGGCGCTGGGTCCCCTGTCTCCCATGTGGGAGCCTTGGAAGAAGCTCCTGTCTCTGGGCTTTGGCCAGCCGAGCCCTGGCTGTTGGGGCCATTTGGGGAGTGAACCAGCAGATGGAGGATCTCTCTATCTTCTCTGTCTCTGTTTATCCCTCTTTTTCTGTCACTCTGATTTTCAAGTAAATAAATAAACCTTGGGGAGGAGAGAAGGGAGAATTACTTTAGTTGGAATAGTCATGGAAAGTCTATCTAATTTAGATATATCTAAATTATATTTAACCGAAGACCAAATAAAGAATGGCATTTTAAATTTTTATACTGGTATATCCTTTTCTTTCTACATTCTAAGCAATTTCTTTATCTGATATTTAAAATTATGAACATTTTAAATATTAATTTGTTATTACTATTGTTAGAGAGGGAGGGAGTACTTCCATCTACTGGTTCACTCTCCAAGTGCCCAGGATTGGGCTGAAATGAAGTTGGGAGTACAATGCTGGTCTCCCACCTTGGAGGCCAGAATCCAATTATTTGAGCTATCCCCACTGTCTCCCAAGGTCTGCATTAGCAGGAAGCTTGAGTTTGGAGCCAGAGCAGGGAGTGAATCCCTGGCACACCAGTGTAAGACACAGGCATCTTAGCTGTGAGGCCTACCCACTCCTCATCAGACACTAATGGGTTCATATAATTCCTTTTCATAAGTTTTTTAGTTTGTGGAACATGTAGTATGTATCTTACTTTAAAAAAGTGACCCTAATGAGTTTTATTTCAGAACAGTCCTATGTGATCAATTATGGACTATATACTCTTTTGGTAAACAAAAGTAGACTTCTTTTAAAGTCATGTCTTCAAATTATTTGAGTTCATTTTGTCCATACCAAAACTCTTTATTCTGAATATTTTTGTTTCAGTTTTATTATTATAGAAATGTAGGCCTAGATTATATCTCCAGAGATCATGTCATTTAATTTCCTAGAAACTCCCAACTATAAACCATTCCAGATTTCTCTTATTAAATAAAATATAGTGATCTTTTTTCTTACATTTTAAACCAAGACATAAATAGTGCAGTGAAAGGCCTACTTTTGTGTAACTGCAAAATGTACTTTTTGTCTTAGATCTTAGTTATTCTTCATCTTAGTTTTACATGTACCTTACAAAGGCATGGATTCTAGTTATAACACTAACATTGAACCTAACGCCTGTGAACTGATCTCTAGCTTTCAGGATGCCAGCCTGCCCCTGAGGGTTATTCCCCAACACTTCAGTGGCAACAGCAACAAGTATCACAGTTTTCAACTGTTCGACGGGTAAGTATCACATTTCATCAGATTGATTTCTCTGACTGTAGTTGGAAAAATAAGATTTATGATTCTGAAATATGCAGAATATTTGTGAATCCATTACCAATTTATAATCACTATGTAGCATACAGTTTGAAACCTGTTTTCCAAATTTTAGGAAGATTAGAATCTTATGCAGAAATTGATTGCTCTTCAGGTTACTGTTCTCAGAAGATCACTGTCTTAACTTTTCTTCCTTTAGAGTGTAAACAAACATAGAAGTCACTGGAAGTCACAACAGTTGGATAGTAATGTGACCATGGTATGTAATCTCAACTTAATTTGTAAACTGCTTGAAATAGTCTGTATTTACCTCCAGTCTTTAAAGATCTGTTTTCCTGGTCCATATTATTTTCAATCTCTTCCATATACCATTAATGGTATTAGTTCTGTTATGCGAGTAGTCAGTCATGTTAAGGTGTTAACTTTCATGATAATTTTAATGCACAGTGTCTTGAGGGATTGGGATGGGTAACTGGTTGGCCTCTGCAAGTCCTTATGGTTTCTTTGGGATGTTTACTTTTTATAAAATAAGTACGTTCCATGATTTACAAAAAGATTGAATAAAGGCTAATTGGAGGATGGGTATTGGGACTAATGGTATGCCTGTCTCCTGTATCAGAGCGCCTGGGTTTGAGTCATGGCTGTGCTCCCAGTTCCAGCTTCCTGCTAATGCACACCCTGTGAGGCAGGGGTTGATGGCTCAAGTGGAAGGCTCCTTGCTAACCACATGGGAGACCTGGATTGAGTTCCTTGCTTCGGGCTTCAGCCTGGCCTATCTTTGACTGTTGGGGACATTTGGGGAATGAAACAACTGATAAGAACTCTCTTTCTGTCTTTCTCTCTTTTTCTTTGTTTTTGTCTGTGCATGTATGTCTGTCTTCCTTTCAAATAAATAATAAAAACAAATAATTTTTTAAATATTTATTTATTTATTTGAAAATCAGAGTTACACAGAGAGAGAAGGAGAGACAGAGAGGGATGTCTTTCTTCTGATGGTTCACTCCCCAATTGGCTGCAGTGCCTGAAGCTGCGCCAATCTGAAGCCAGGAGCCAGGAGCTTCTTCTGGGTTTCCCACATGGGTGCAGGGGTCCAAGGACTTAGGCCATCTTCTGCTGTTCTCCCAGGCCATAGCAGAGAGCTGGATTGGAAGTGGAGCAGCCAGGTCTCGAACTGGTGCCTATATGGGATGCCAGCACTGCAGGTGGCAGCTTAACCCGCTATGCCACAGCGCCCCTACAAACAAATTTTAACAATACTTTTTAAAGACTTGTTGGATTTTCCTGATGAATTAATGGTGTCATACAGTAAACCCATATATTTGTAGGGTATCATATCTATTTCACAATAAAGTGACATAGTAATGAAACCAATCAGCCATATAAGAAAGTTGTCTTTCCTGTGTTTTATCAGCTTAGAGATAATTTTAAGTTCTTCAGGAGTCCTGAATAAAAAGAAATTGGGAGAGCACCAGGATCCTGTATCAGAGTACTACTTCAAGTCCCAGCTGCTCCATTTCCAATCCAACGTCCTGCTAAATGCTCCTGAGAAGGCAGCAAGTGATGGCTTAAGTACTTGAGCACCTGCCACCCACATGACATCACATGATTGATTCAATCAGCTGTTGAATCAGAACAGTCCATCACTACAGTAGAGTATTATAAAGTAAACGTGTTTAAAAAATGAAAATTTTAGAAGTACATTGCTGATGGCAACTATGTAAATATATGTAAACATTTATTTATTGATTTATCCAGTCATCTATCAAGTATTACTGTGTATTTTTAAAAAGCTTTTTCATTTGAAAGGCAGAGTGACAGGCTCAGTGGGAGGTTGAGAACAAGGAAAGAGATCTTCCATCTGCTGGTTGACTCCTCACGTGGCCACAGCGGCCAGGGCTGGGCCAGGCCAAAACCAGGAGCCACAAACTCCCTCCAGGTCTCCCTATATGGGTGGCAGAGGCCCAGGTACTTGGACCATCGTCCACTGCCTTCCCAGGCCTACTAGCAAGAAGCTGGATCGGAAGCAAAGTAGCTCAGACATGAAGGGGCACTCCAATATGAGAGGCGGGTATTGCAAATAGTAGTTACATTTGCTGTACTGCAGCAACTGCCCCACACTGATTGATTGATTTCTTTTTTTTTTTTTTTTTTTTTTTTTTTTTTTTTTTTTTTTTGACAGGCAGAGTGGACAGTGAGAGAGAGACAGAGAGAAAGGTCTTCCTTTGCCGTTGGTTCACCCTCCAATGGCCGCCGCGGCCAGCGCGCTGCGGCCGGCGCACCGTGCTGATCCGATGGCAGGAGCCAGGTGCTTTTCCTGGTCTCCCATGGGGTGCAGGGCCCAAGCACTTGGGCCATCCTCCACTGTACTCCCTGGCCATAGCAGAGAGCTGGCCTGGAAGAGGGGCAACCAAGACAGAATCCGGCACCCCGACCAGGACTAGAACCCGGTGTGCTGGCGCCGCAAGGCGGAGGATTAGCCTAGTAAGCCGCGGCGCCGGCTCTTTTTTTTTTTTTTTTTTTTTTTTTTTAAGATTTATTTATTTACTTGAAAGTCAGAGTTACACAGAGAGAAGGAAAGCCAGAGGTCTTCTATCCGCCGGTTGACCCCCTAATTGGCCGCAGTTGTCGGAGCTGCGCTGATCCGAAACCAGGATCCAGGAGTTTCTTCTGGGTCTCCCCCCTGGGTGCAGGTGTCCGAGCACTTGGGCCATAGCAGAGAGCTAGATCAGAAGTGGAGCAGCTGGGACTTGAACTGGTGCCCATATGGGATGCCAGCACTGCAAATGGGAACTTTAGATGCTACGCCACAGTGCCAGTGCTTGCCCCACTCCACAGTGATTTCTATCTTTATTATCCTCTTTTGAACATACCCCAGTGTGCATTAAAATGTGATGTAAGGTAAACATATCCCACATAGATTGTATCCACCCAAGCACTGTAATTTCTATGACTGTCATAAGAAACTAGATGGCTTAAACAGAAATGTACTGATTTTCACGATCTTGAAGGCTAAAAATTCAAGAACAAAATGTAAATGTCAATAGTCAGTTTTTTCTAAGGCTTCTCTCCCTGACAGATGCCCTCTTTCTCTTTGTTTTGTCTTCACGTGCATTTTCTCTGTGCATGTAAATCCCAGGTTTCTTTGTGTATCCAAATTTCCTCATAAAAAGAAACCACTGAGGGCTGGGTTTTTGGCACAGCAGTTTAAGTCACCATTTGGAATGCCTCCATCCCTGGTTCAAATCCTACCTCTGCTTCCAATCGTACCTTCCTGCTACTATGCACTCTGGGAGGCTGCAAGTGATGCTCCAGTATTTGGGTCCCTGCTACCCACACTGGAGACCCAGATTGTGTTCCTGGCTCCCAGCTTTTGCAGGCTTTTGGAGAGTGAACCAATGATGGAATATTCCCTACCCACTCTGGCTTGCTCTTACAGGAGTAAATTTTTAAAAATTTAAAGAAAAAATTTTAAAGAAAAGTTATAAGACACCCTGGGATTAGATCAGAGACTACCCTAATTACATAACTTTAATCACTTCTTCCTAACTTCAAATATAGTCACCTTCTGAGATATTAGAAGTTAGGGCCTCATGGGCCAGCGCCGCGGCTCACTAGGCTAATCCTCCACCTAGCGGCGCCGGCACACCGGGTTCTAGTCCCGGTCGGGGCGCCGGATTCTGTCCCGGTTGCCCCTCTTCCAGGCCAGCTCTCTGCTGTGGCCAGGGAGTGCAGTGGAGGATGGCCCAAGTGCTTGGGCCCTGCACCCCATGGGAGACCAGGAAAAGCACCTGACTCCTGGCTCCTGCCATCGGATCAGCATGGTGCGCCGGCCACAGCGTGCCGGCCGCAGCGGCCATTGGAGGGTGAACCAACGGCAAAGGAAGACCTTTCTCTCTGTCTCTCTCTCTCACTGTCCACTCTGCCTGTCAAAAAAAAAAAAAAAAAAAAGAAGTTAGGGCCTCAATATATGAATTTTGGGGCACACATTTCTGCCCATAACTGACCCCATATATTTGTGTTGAGCTGGTAAGAATAGGGCGATTCTTTTTTTAACGTTCACTATAAAGAATAAGTACAGGAAAATTAATTCCTTTTTTTTTCCTCTTAGCCAAAGTCTGAAGATGAAGAAGGCTGGAAAAAATTTTGTCTGGGTGAAAGGTTATGTGCTGAAGGGGCTGTTGGACCACCTACAAATGAAAGCCCTGGAATTGATTATGTGCAAGTAGGTAATAATGCAGATAAACAAAGCATAGCATTTTAATTTTGGTGCCTTACTTAGTGTAAATACAACCTGGGCCAAATCAAGTCTGTAGCCTGTTTGTCTATACCCCATGAACTAAGAACGATTTTTGTGTTTTTAAAGCATTGTAAAAAAAGTAACATACAAAATGTGAGAAATAATATGTAGCCTGCAAAGCCTAAAATATTTACTGACTAGCTGTTTACATGAAATATTGCCAATCTTTCATTTATTTTATTGAGTATAATCTACAGAGTGGCAGACTAGTTCCTGAAACAATTCACTGTGGCATATTGTATGTCGACTTCATATCTCATGTCTCAGTGGTAGAAGAATTTTGAGTTAGATAGGAATTAATTTGTGGAAATGATTAGGCACAGGTCAAACACTGAGTTAAGAGTACTTAAGAAAACATTACATAATCAGAGAGATGGCTTTAAAATCTTCAGTAAGTTACCTATTCTGGAGAGGAAATGTTAAGAAAGTATTTATTAGGGGGCCAGTGTTGTGGTATAGCAAATAAAGCTACCACCTGCAACGCAGCATCCTGGTTCATGTTTGCTCACTTCCGATCCAGCTCCCTGCTAATGACCTGGGAAAATCACCAGAACATGGCCCTAGTGCTAGGCCCCTGTACCCAAGTGGGAGACCCAAAAGAAGCTTCTGGCTCCTGGGTTTGGCCAGGCCCAGCTCTGGCTATTGTCATCTTTTGGGGAGTGAACCAGCAGATGGAAGATAACTCTCTGTGTGTGTCTCTTCCTCTCTCTCTGTAATCATGCCTTTCAAATAAATAATTTTTTAAATATTTATTTTATTAATTTGAAAGACAGAGTTACAGATAGAGGCAGAGACAGAGAGAGAGAGAGGTCTTCCATCCGCTGGTTCACTCCCCAGATGGCCACAACAGCCGGAGCTGGGCTGATCTGAAGCCAGGAGCCAGGAGCTTCTTCTGGGTCTCCCACGTGGGTGCAGGGGCCCAAGAACTTGGGCCATCTTCTGCTGCTTTCCCAGGCCATAGCAGAGAGCTGGATTGGAAGAGGAGCAGCTGGGACTAGAACCAGCGCCCATATGGGATGTCAGTGCTTCAGGTCAGGGCTTTAACCCACTGCACCTCAGCACCAGCCCCTAAATAAATAAAGCTTAAAATAAATAAATAAATAAATAAATAGGCAGCTCCTGGCTCCTGGCTGTTGCAGCTTTCTGGGGAGTGAACCAATAGATAGACTATCTCTCTGTCTCTCCTCTCTCTGTAATTCTGCCTTTCAAATAATTTTTTTTTTAAAAGAATCCATTTAAGTTTGACATGGCTTCAGTCGTAAATTACGTGGCCCACTCCTTGTCCTTCAGGATTCACCTGATCTCAAGTAGGTAGATGTTTCTTTTTTTTGTTTAAGATTTTATTTATTTATTTATTTATTTGAGAAGTAGAGTTATAGACAGTGAGAGGGAAAAACAGAGAGAAAGGTCTTCCATCCATTGGTTATTAATTTGAAAGACAGAGTTACAGATAGAGGCAGAGAGAGAGAGAGGTCTTCCGTTCGTTGGTTCACTCCCCAAATGGCCGCAATGGCTGGAGCTGCGCCAATCCAAAGCCAGGAGCCAGGTGCTTCTTCCCAGTCTCCCATATGAGTGCAGGGGCCCAAGGACTTGGGCCATCTTCCACTGCTTTCCCAGGCCACAGCAGAGAGCTGGACTGGAAGAGGAGCAGCCAGGACTAGAACCAGTGCCCATATGGGATGCTGGTGCCGCAGGCAGAAGATTAACCTACTGCGCCATGGCACTGGCCCCAGTAGATGTTTCTATAAAACCCACTGCAGGGAGCCACTGTTGTAGTACATCTGGTTGCTGCTGCTGGGGAAGCTGGCATCCCATATCAGAGTGCCAATTCCAGCCCCTAATGCTCCTCTTTGGATCCACTTCCCTATTGGAGTGCCAGGGAAGAAAGAAAAGGATAACCCAAGTACTTAGGTCTTTGCCACCCACGTGGACGACCGAGATGGAGTTCCAGGCTCCTGGCTTCTACCTGGACCAACCCAGCCATTGTGGACATTTGAGGAGTGAACCAATGGATGGAAGATGTGACTCTGTTTTTCACCCTCTCTCTTTCACTCTGCCTTTCAAATACATAAATTTTTTAAAATATAAACAGCTCCAAAAATCATTTAAAAGGCCAAGAGTCACCTCACATACAGACATATCAAACAAAAACAAGAAGCAAAAGATCATACATCCCACAGAAAGGAAATACAATTTGTTTCTGTATGACTGGATGCCCAGCTTCCATTTTAATAGAAATATAACTTGGCTGGCGCTGTGGCGCAGGGGGATAAAGCCCTGCCATAAGGGTGTCAGTTCTAGTCCCAGCTGCTCTTCTTCCAATCCAGCTCTCTGCTGTGGCCTGGGAAAGTAGGAGAAAATGACGCAAGTCCTTGGGCCCCTGCACCCACATGGGAGACCCGGAAGAAGCTCCTGGGGACGGCGCCGTGGCTCAATAGGCTAATCCTCCGCCTTGTGGCGCCGGCACACCGGGTTCTAGTCCCGGTCGGGGCGCCAGATTCTGTCCTGGTTGCCCCTCTTCCAGGCTAGCTCTCTGCTATGGCCCGGGAGTGCAGTGGAGGATGGCCCATGTGCTTGGGCCCTGCACCCCATGGGAGACCAGGATAAGTACCTGGCTCCTGCCATCGGATCAGCGCGGTGCGCCGGCCACAGCGCGCCACCCACAGCGGCCATTGGAGTGTGAACCAACAGCAAAGGAAGACCTTTCTCTCTGTCTCTCTCACTGTCCAATCTGCCTGTCAAAAAAAAAAAAAAAAAAAGAAGAAGCTCCTGACTTCTGGCTTTGGAATGGCGCAGCTCCAGCCATTGGAGCCATCTGGGGAGTGAACCAGCGGGTGGAAGGCCTCTCTCTCTGTCTCTACCGCTCTCTGTAACTCTGTCTTTCAAATAAATAAAATAAATCTTAAAAAATAAAAAACAGAAATAGAACTATAATGAGCTACTTTTCAGATAATATATTGGCAAAAATCAATATACCATATATAGGCTGGAAAAATAGGCATTCTTACACTTAATAGAGGAATCTATATAGTCTCAGTCCTTCAGCAAAGTTAATTTGATGCTTTCTTACACGAGAAAGTTATTCTTTGGATAATTTTTTTTTTTTAAGATTTATTGATTTACTTGAAAGGCAGAGTTAGAGAGCTTCCAGCTGCTGATTCATCCCCCCAAATGGCCACAAGGGCCAGGTTGAAGCCTGGATCCTGGAACTTCATCCACATCTCCCATGTAGGTGGCGGGGGCCCAAGTACTTGGGCCCATCTTCTACTGCTTTCCCAGGCACATGAGCAGGTAGCTGGATCAGAAGTAGAGCAGCCAGGACTCACAAGGGAGGCTGGCATTGTAGGCAGTGGCTTAACCTGCTGTGCCACAATACTGGCCCTTTGGATAATATTTTTCTTAAGATTATGTATTTATTTATGGGGCCAGTGCTCTGGCATAGCTGCTAAAGCTGCCACCTACAGTGCCAGCATGCCATACAAGCACTGGTTTGAGTCCGGCTGCTCTACTTTCAATCCAGCTCTCTTCTATTGCCTGGGAAAGCAGATGATGGTTCAATTTCTTGGGCCCCTGCACCCATGTGGGAGACCGGGAAGAAGCTCCTGGCTCCTGGCTTCGGATTGACACAGCTCCGGCCGTTGCAGCCATCTGGGGAGTGAACCAGCGGATGGAAGACTTCTCTCTCTCTCTGTCTCTGCCTCTCTGTAACTCTGCCTTTCAAATAAATAAATCTTAAAGTAAAAAAATTATTTATTTATTTATTTTGAAAGAGTTAGAGAGAGGGAGAGAGAGAGAGAGGAGAAAGAGCTTCCATTCTGCTGGATCACTCCCCAGATGGCTGCAATGACCAGCGCCAGGCCAGGCTGAAGCCAGGAGCCAGAAGCTTCATCCAGGTCTCCCATGAGGGTGGTAGGGGCCCAATTCCCCAGGCCAACATCTTCTGCCTTCCCAGGTGCATTAGCAAGAACTGGATGGGAAGTGCAGCAGCCAGGACTCAAACTGGCATTCTAATGTGGAATGCAGGCATGTAACTGGTAGCTTAGCAATGTACCACGATACTGGTCCCACAGTATTTAATAAGTTAATTTTTTCAAATAGTATCTTGTTTTAAACTTTATAGTTCAACATTTTAGTTATTAAAACCATACCTGGCGCCGGTGCTGTGGTGCAGCTGGTTAATGTCCTGGCCTGAAGCACCTGAAGCACCGTGGGTGCTGGTTCAAGACCTGTCTGCTCCACTTCTGATGCAGCTCTCTGCTATGGCCTGGGAAAGCAGGAGAAGATGGCCCAAATCCAAATCCTTGGGCCCCTGCACCCATGTGGGAGACCTGGAAGAAGCTCCTAGCTCCTGGCTTCAGATTGGCACAGCTCCAACTGTGCAGCCAGTAGGGGAGTGAACCAGAAAATGGAAGGTCTGTGTGTGTGTGTGTGTGTGTGTGTGTGTAACTCGTTCAAATAAATAACTAAATCTTTAAAAAAAAAACCATACTTTACAATTTATGTATTCAAATTTGAAGACATTATTTCTGTGGTATCATCAGTGTGATAGTCCCTGGGGTGTCTCTTTACAGTGAGCAGGGAAGGAATTTTCTCTTATCTGTTCTTTGTTTCCAAACAACTGTTGTAAATAGTCTTAAAAAAAATAAGTTTTTTTAGCCGGCGCCGTGGCTCAATAGGCTAATCCTCCACCTTGCGGCGCCGGCACACCGGGTTCTAGTCCCGGTCGGGGCGCCGGATTCTGTCCCGGTTGCCCCTCTTCCAGGCCAGCTCTCTGCTATGGCCAGGGAGTGCAGTGGAGGATGGCCCAGGTGCTTGGGCCCTGCACCCCATGGGAGACCAGGAAAAGCACCTGGATCCTGGCTCCTGCCATCGGATCAGCGCGGTGCGCCGGCTGCAGCGGCGGCCATTGGAGGGTGAACCAACGGCAAAGGAAGACCTTTCTCTCTCTGTCTCTCTCTCTCACTGTCCACTCTGCCTGTCAAAAATAAAAAAAAAAATAAAAAATTTAATCTTGACCAATGGCTTCAAGCTTGGAAGAGAACAGAGAGATGTTGGAGCATGTGAGACTGCTTTATTTTCAAGAATGAAGTTTTCCTCCCTTGGTCGAAATTGTTAGCAGAATGAATCAGGTAAAATCTATCTAATGCTATGGATATGTGCACTTTTTGCATTCTGTTGTTTGCAATGTGAGAAAGTATTTGAATACATTTACTGAACATTTAAAATGTGTAAGACCTTGTCCTAAGCTCTACAATAGTTCTTGTTTAATTCTCACTACAACCCTTTGTCAGGAGTTCGTAATATCTTTTTTTTATAAGTGAGAAATAAAATTTGAGCTTAAGTGATTGCAAGTGGTTTTTTTTTTTTTTTTTAATTTTTTTTTTTAATTTTTTTTATTTTTGACAGGCAGAGTGGACAGTGAGAGAGAGAGACAGAGAGAGAAAGGTCTTCCTTTGCCATTGTTTCACCCTCCAATGGCCGCTGCTGCAGCCGGCGCACCGCGCTGATCCGATGGCAGGAGCCAGGATCCAGGTGCTTTTCCTGGTCTCCCATGGGGTGCAGGGCCCAAGCACCTGGGCCATCCTCCACTGCACTCCCTGGCCATAGCAGAGAGCTGGCCTGGAAGAGGGGCAACCGGGACAGAATCCGGCGCCCCGACCGGGACTAGAACCCGGTGTGCCGGCGCCGCAAGGTGGAGGATTAGCCTATTGAGCCACGGCGCCGGCCCGCAAGTGGTTTTTGAACAAATAAATGGCAGCACTGGGATTCAGTGTCCTGGTAGATCTAACTCCAAAGCCCATGCTGTTAGTCACAGTGCTAAAGTATTGTGTACCTTTCAGTTCTAAATCTTAGATTCTGGGACTTGACTTAAATAGTAAGGTTAGATTACTGTTTGTATCTAGATGTCCTCCACATTTCTTTAAGATTGAAATACAGAATTTCTTGCATCAGAAGAGGAGAAATAAGTTTATTCAGTCATTTAGGAATGGCGTTTGTAGCTACTTAAAAAGCAAATAAATTGTTTAACTGTTTACAGAGCGTTGTGTACCTTTGGAAAATGTCTTTTTTTTTTTTTTTTTTTGAGGCTTATACTCTGTTGAAAATCATACAGTAGGCTGCCAGTTTCACGTACTTGATCATTTGTATGAAGATACTGCAGCTGTCATTGTAAATTCTATCAGTGTAGGTTTTTTGGTAAGCCATATTTGAATAAGCCACAGGATGTTTTTTCAAGAGTTTGATAAATTCTACCTGTATAGCTGTAAAACAGGTCTTTCTAGATTTGTTTCTTCAGATTTGTACTTTGTTTTGAATTGAGAAATGGACTAAAGGTAAAGACTCTTTTTTTGAAGAGTTTGTCAAGTTTTTCAAATAGTTTTAAATTATATTAGTAGTTACAAACTAAATCCTAGTATTTTAATCAAGGCATTCATTGATATTTGAAAGTATAGGAATATTTGTCTTAGAAGCCTATTCCCACCCCAAATCCCCTTAAGCTGGATGGTAAAAATAGCATTTTAAGTGTTAAAGCATTCATATAAATAGGAGTAAGTGTCTGGATTACATTTCTGTAATAATAGAATTAAAAAGGAGTCAATGCTCCAACATGGGCATCAGTTCATAAAGCAGACTGATAGAATGACAATTGCTTTAAGTAGCACTCTGACCTCAGAATCAGCCCTTAAAGCATTCTGGTCTACCTGAAAAGCCCATGGAGATCATTTCAGGCATGGAAAGCCAAGACACTATGGCAAAAAATGTCCTACATGAAGGACTTCTGTGGGTGAAACTCCAGTAGAAGTGGTGGTCATCAAAGAAGGATGTACTTTTTTCTGCAGGGAGGAGAGAACTTCCACTTTGCTTATGGCCTTGTCTAAATTTTAACAAATTCTGACTTAATTAACTTTAAAGAAGCACCAAGAACGATACATCTTTTGTGAGCAATTAGACATACCTATAACTTATAAGACCTTGATTTATACAGTAAAAGAAAATAAGTCCATACAGTTCTGACGGAGTTTGTGAATTCAGAAGGCTTACATACCTTAGACAGCACTTGTCAAGAGCCTCAGGTGGTCACTGACATCATACATAAGAGTGTTAATTGTTAAATTAACAACAGGAGTCATTGTGCACTAACTTCCCATGCAAGACCTCTGTCCTCCAAAGAGTTGTGTTATCATAGTTAACAGTGAAACTTGTTCTCAAAGATTTATTTTGTTTTAGTGTATTAAGTGAATGATATTTTTAAGTCTCATAAGTTTTACATCTGCCTAAGTGTCCAACTCCTTTGCTTGTTTTCTTAGGTGCTTCCTTAACTAATGATAAAATTTGTTCTCAAGGACTTATTTTCTTTTATTAAGTGGAGGTCTTATGTCTCATAAGTTATAGTTATGTCTAATTGCTCCCAAAAGATGTATCATTCTTGAATGCTTCTTTAAACTTAATTTTCTCAAAAAAAAAAAAAAAGGTAAAATTAACTTCGAGATATAATGACCTTGAACAGCCCTTGTCTCAAGTGTTGAGAAACAGTTTTGTGTGTGTGTGTGCAAATTGTTGAACTCTTTACTTAGTATAGAGTTGATCTTCTGTGTATAAAGTTGATTGAAAATGCATCTTAGGGCCGGTGCTGTAGCTCAGTAGGCTAATCCTCCGCCTTGTGGCACTGGCACACCGGGTTCTAGTCCCGGTCGGGGCGCCGGATTCTGTCCCGGTTGCCCCTCTTCCAGGCCAGCTCTCTGTTGTGGCCCGGGAGTGCAGTGGAGGATGGCCCAAGTGCTTGGGCCCTGCACCCCATGGGAGACCAGGAGAAGCACCTGGCTCCTGGCTTCGGATCAGCACGGTGCGCCAGCTGCAGCGCGCTGGCCGTGGCGGCCATTGGAGGGTATGCATCTTAGTGGAGAATGGGACTGGGAATGGGAGAGGGAAGAAGAAGAGGGGTGGGAGTGTGGGTAGGAGGGAGGGCAGGTATGATGGGAAGAATTACTGTATTCCTAAATTTGTACTTAAGAAATTCTGAAGTTTGTATTCCTTAAATAAAAGGTTTCTTTGGTTTTTTTGGAAAAAAGAAAGCCTATTCCCAGAGGTGACTCTTATTAATGAGTCAGTTTTCTTTGGAAATCTAAAGAATGAGACAATCTTAAATGTTGCTTTCTAACTAAATTTAGTGAAACTCCTATTGAATTTGTCAGTATTTATTACTAATATTATAACTGTTCTGTGCCACTATCCCCCCCCCCCCTTCTTTTTAGGCAACAGTAACTAGTGTCTTGGAATATCTGAGTAATTGGTTTGGAGAAAGAGACTTTACTCCAGAATTGGTAGTGTTATCTTTTTATTTTCATAATTCAGTTTTATTTTCATAGGATACATGAGGTGTGACTGTATGGTATTTGTGTGTGTGTGTGTGTATACTCAAATGTGTTACTAGCCTTGTGCCACACCATGATGTTTTTGGGCAAGGAGGGCTTCATCTACAGTAGTGGTCCTCTAAGATTATATAGCCTGGTCTTAGTTTGTGTAAGTACTTGCTATGTGTATGCATAATGACATGATAGCCTGATAATGTATTTCTCAGAATGTGGCCCTGTCCTTAAGTGATACATGACAGTATACGTGTAATCTGAACTATGCTTGTTTGTGGTGCAATAAGGAACCTACACCAGGGTGTAAATCAACATACTGCTTCCTTCGTTGACAAAGTCTTCCTTTGGCAGGGAGGGGGAAGAGGACAAATGTCAACCAAAGAGTTAATTTATATCCTGGTACAAACTACTTATCTCAGTGCTGAGCAGTAACAGTGTGCTCACAGGCTGGCAACAAGTCTGCAAACCCCACTTCCAGTGGCACTGGTTAAAGTTTAGAATGCATTTTCTAAAATGACCTTGAAATCAGTCCACAAAAGGATCAGAAGTAACAACAACAGCAAGTACTACATGCTAGACATTATTCTAAGAACCTTACATATAATAATTCATTGGGCCCTCAACAATTTATTAACTGTTATTATCCACAATACTCAATTAACATAATACAGCTTGTAATTGGCAGAATTCAGACTCAAGTCAGGGCAGTCTGGCTCTATTTCTACACTGTTAGAACTATGCTACACTGTGTTTACTTTATTGCTTTATATTCACAACTCATTTTTTTTTGGCCTTAAAAGTTGGGTTAATTTGATGAATATTTTTAAATGAATTACCTGTTTGTTCTTTCTAATTTTAATAAATTTTATCATCTTTGAAAGATTTAGTTTTTAGAAACCAGCAGTGTTTCACAGCTAAAGATATTTGTGAAAGAGTGTATCTGAGGGTCTAAATGTAACACAGTAATGAGTTGTATGAATTTATTCATGGAAGATAACCAGGCACAGCTTAGAATATTTAAACTTGTGATTTAATAGTTTTTTTTTTAATCCTATTTAGGGAAGATGGCTTTATGCTTTATTGGCTTGTCTTGAAAAACCTTTATTACCTGAGGCTCACTCATTGATTCGGCAGCTTGCAAGAAGGTGCTCTGAAGTGAGGCTCTTAGTGGTAAGTTTCACCTCACTTTTCCAAATTGAAAGCATCCAGCAGTTTTTATAGTGGTGAAAAATTCCAATAGAAGGGAGACCTTTGGCATATTTTGTTAGTTGCAATTAGAATTGGCCACATAACAAGAAAGTGGAAAATACTAGCAACTTAAATAAAATGGCATTGTTGTCCTCAGATAAAGGAAGTAGGCAGACAAGATGTAATATAGCAGTAACCCAGGCCTTTGGGTTCTGCCACATGTGGCTTCCTCAGGTTCATCTCAGGATTCCAGATGCCTGCTGGAGTTTTGGCCATTATTTTTTTTTAAAGATTTATTTATTTATTTGAAAGTCAGAGTTACACAGAGAGAGGAGAGGCAGAGAGAGAGCGAAGTCTTCCGTCCGATGGTTCACTCCCCAGATGGCTGCTCCAGCTGGAGCTGCGCTGATCCGAAGCCAGGAGCTTCTTCCAGGTCTCCCACGTGGGTGCAGGGGCCCAAGGACTTGGGCCATCTTCTACTGCTTTCCCAGGCCATAGCAGAGAGCTGGATTGGAAGAGGAGCAGCTGGGACTAGAACCAGCGCCCATATGGGATGCCAGCACTTCAGGCCAGGATGTTAACCCGCTACGCCACAGCACTGGCCCCAGCCATTAGTTTTCATTACAGGCAGCTTTTCTGGAAAGAATAAAGGGAAGAAGGCCAATCCCCCTTTAAATAGCCTTCCCAGAGGTTCTGTAAGCACATCTAACTGTGTAGTTCATTGGCTGGAATTTAGTCATATAGCCATAAGGGACTGTGGAAAGTGTTTGCTTTTGGCTTAAGTGGCAGTATGCCTGGCTAAAAATGCCTGCACTGTTACTATATTAATTAATCTGATGCCAGATTAAGCCCAGTTTTGATCTTTCTCTTTATCACTCTTTCCTTGTTCCCAAAAACACATACTTGGTCTCTGTTGAACACTCCAGAATATTTTCATTGAATTTCCACAGTGTGACCCAAACCAACTACTGTTTGGCATGTACTTGAAGCAAAATGTGCTGGCCATTCACTAAATATATCCCAAGCTTTGTTGCTAAACCTTCCTCCCTCACAAAAATGACTTTCTATTCTCTTCCAGTCTGCATCTAAGTACCACTTATTTTTCATAACCTGGCTTATATTCCACCACTTGCTATGATGTGTTCCCTGATCCAGACAATTAAGAATCGCTCTATTTTCTCTTTTAAAAAATAATAGCATGCATACACAGATCTATTGATTCACTCTCCAAATTCTGCAACAGCCAGAGCTGGGCAGGGCTGGGCTGCACTGAAGAGAAGAGCTGGGGAGTCATTTGAGGTCTCCTACCTAAACCCAATTACTTGAGCCATCAGCACCACCTCCCAGGGTCTATATTGGCTGAAGCTGGAGTCAGGAACCAAAGACAGGAATCACTCATAATGGGATGTGGGTGTCTTCACCTCAAGGCTAAACACTACTCCTGTCCTCTGTTTTTCTGACATACTTTGAATCATTTTTAGGGCTGTTAATACATTTTTCCACTTACTAAATTTAATGTGGCTATTTCATCTTCTGTGCTGTTAACAGATAATGGGTTTTATTCAGCTTTGTTCCATACAAAAAAAATTTTTTTTTTGACAGGCAGAGTTAGACAGTGAGAGAGAGAAACAAGAGAGAAAGGTCTTCCTTTTTCCGTTGGTTCACCTCCCAAGTGGCTGCTACGGCTAGTGCTTTGCAGCCAGCGTGCTGCACCGATCCAAAGCCAGGAGCCAGATGCTTCCTCCTGGTCTCCCATGCGGGTGCAGGGCCCAAGGACCTGGGCCATCCTCCACTGCACTCCCAGGCCACAGCAGAGAGCTGGCCTGGAAGAGGAGCAACCGGGACAGAATTGTTAGTTTTCCTTGAAAAACTTTTAAAAAGATTTATTTATTTATTTGAAAGGTACAGTTACAGAGAGAGAGAAAGGAGAGACAGAAAGATCTTGCATCCCCTGGTTCACTCACAAAATGGCTGCCGCATCCAGGGCTGTATCTGGACACCAGGAACCAGGAGCTTCTTCTGGGTCTCCCACAGAGGTGCAGGAACCCAAGCCATGTGGGCCATCTTGTACTGCTTTCCCAGGCCATAGCAGAGAGCTGAATCGGAAGTGGAGCAACCAGGACTCAAACTAGCTCCCATATGGGATGCCAGCACCACAGGCAGCAGCTTTACCTGCTATGCCACAGCACCAGCCCTGCTCCACTTCTGATCCAGCACCCTGCTAATGTACCTGGGAAAGCAGCAGAGGATGGCCAACTGCTTGGATCTGTGTACCTACATAGGAGTAAGAGTTTAGGTCCTGGCTCCTAGCTTCAGTCTGGCCCAGTCCTGGCCATTGTGGCCATTTGGGGAGTGAACCAGTGGATAGAAGGTCTCTCTCTCTCTCTCTTTCTCTCCCTGTCTCTGAAATTCTGCCTTTCAAATAAATAAAATGAATTTTGAAAACAAAAAAGACTACCTTCCATGTGTCTCATACCTGGCATTTAAAATTTTTATTTATTTGTTTATTTTTTTAAATATGGAATGCTTCATGAATTTGTGTGTCATCCTTATGCAGGGGTCATGCTAAGCTTCTCTGTATTGTTCCAATTTTAGTATATGTGCTGCCAAAGCAAGCACAGGCCTGTCATTTTAACAAATATTTTAAAGTGAGCTTTCTATAATGTACAGTTCAAAGTTTCCTCTATCATAATTCAGAAATTTGATCTGGAATATTTTTTAGTATGTCTTTAACTAGAAGCCAAGATTTTATTCCTTCTCAGTTATAAATTCCTTAAAATATTTTTTTAGGGGCCAGTGCTGTAGCGTAGTGGGTAAAGTTGCCGCCTGCAGCGCCAGCATCTCATATGGGCGCTGTGTCATATCCTAGCTGGTCCACTTCCAATCCAGCTCTCTGCTATGGCCTGGGAAAGCAGTACAAGATAGCCCAAGACCTTGGGCCCCTGCACTCACATGGGAGACCTGGAGAAGCATCTGGTCCTGGCTTCGGATCAGCACAGCTCTGGCCATTGCAGCCAATTGGAGAGTGAACCAGCAGATGGAAGACCTCTGTGTCTCTCTGCCTCTCCTTCTCTCTCTGTGTAACTCCGACTTTCAAGTAAATAAATAAATCTTAAAAAAAAAAAAAAAAAAAAAAGATCTTCCATCTGCTGATTCACTCCTCAAGTGGCCGCACAAGTCTGGGCCAGGCCAAAGCCAGGATCCAAGAACTCCATCTGGGTCTCCCACATGGGAGGCACCTTGACCATCATCCACTAGATCAGGAGTAGAACAGCCAGAACTCAAACTGCTATTCTGGTAATGGAATGCTGGGGTCACAAGCAACAGTTTAACATGCTAGGCCATAATATAGGCCCATCCTTAAAATACATTTATGTTTTTCATTACTGCCCAGTCAGGACATGCCTTTTTTTTATTGCTCCTATAATTGAGGCCAAGGGAAAAAATCTCTCTTGTATTACTGTCTTCAGAACCTCCAATTCTTAGTTGTTTATCTGTTCAAAATCTTTGTAAAAGGTGATCTTAGGGCTGGCACTGTGGTTTAGTAGGGTAGGCCTCCACCTGCAGCACCAGCATCCCATGCCGGCGCCAGTTTGAGTCCCAGGCGCTCTACTTCCAATCCAGCTCTCTGCTTGTGGCCTGGCAAAGAGGTGGATGATGGCCCAAGCACTTGGGCCCGGAACCCATGTTGGTGGCCAGGAGGAAGCTCCTAGCTCCTGGCTTCGGATCAGCCCAGCTCCATGTCTGTAACTCTGCCTCTCAAATAAAATAAATAAATCTTTAAAAACAAAAAAAAAGGTATCTCAACCGTTTCTCAAGTAGTCATTAATTCTACAGTTTATTTCTTTGACAGTTCCATTTTCATGTTATAGTTATTATCAGCTTATAAAATTTTCATATTTTACATCTTAAAGTTTATTTCAAAATATCGGAAAGAATAGTCTATACTTAATTTTTTCTTTTTCTCTTTTTTGAAATTTTTTTTAGGACAACAAAGATGATGAGAGAGTTCCTGCTTTGAATTTATTAATCTGCTTGGTTAGCAGGTATACTTAAGTAATCCTGGATTTCTTGTTTGGTTGTTTATTTTTTTTTTTTTTTTTTTTTATCTTTTATTTAATGAATATAAATTTCCAAAGTACGACTCATGGGTTACAATGGCTTCCCCCCCGATACCGTCCCTCCCACCAACAACCCTCCCCTTTCCCACTCCCTCTCCCCTTCCATTCACATCAAGATTCATTTTCGATTATCTTAATATACAGAAGATCAGCTTAGTATACCTTAAGTAAGGATTTCAACAGTTTGCTCCCACACAGAAACATAAAGTGAAAAATAATAGATGATTTTTTTTAAATGATGATGAAATCAGATCAGACCTATTGTCATGTTTAATCCCAGTGAGAGTCAAGTTTTCGTGAGTTTAAAATTTCTTTCTTTTTTTTTCTTTTTTTTTTTTTTTTTTTTTACAGAAGATCAGTTTAGTGTACATTAAGTAAAGATTTCAGTCGTTTGCACCCCCATAGAAACACAAAGTGAAATATACTGTTTGAGTACTCGTTATAGCATTAAGCCTCAGTGTACAGCACGTTAAGGACCGAGATCCTACATGAGGAGTAAGTGCACAGTGACTCCTGTTGTTGACTTTACCAATTGACACTCCTGTTTATGGCATCAGTAATCTCCCTATGCACCAGTTATGAGTTTCCAAGGCTATGGAAGCCCCTTGAGTTCTCCGACTCTTATCTTGTTTAGATACGGTCATAGTCAAAGTGGAGGTTCTCTCCTCCCTTCAGAGAAAGGCACCTCCCTCTTTGAAGACCTGTTCTTTCCACTGGGATCTCACTCACAGAGATCTTTTTGCCAGAGTGTCTTGGCTTTCCATGCCTGAAATACTCTCATGGGCTTTTCAGCCAGATCCGAATGCCTTTAGGGCTGATTCTGAGGCCAGAGTGCTATTTAGGACATCCGCCATTCTATGAGTCTGCTGAGTATCTCACTTCCCATGTTGGATCACTCTCCCCTTTATTTATTCTATCGGTTGGTGTTAGCAGATACTAGACTTGTTTATGTGCTCCCTTTGACTCTTAGTCCTTTCTGGTTGTTTATTTATCACTGAGTATAGAACATGTTTAATTTTTTGATTTGTATTTTTTAATTGCTTAAATCATTTGTTCATTTTCAGTTGGGGTATATTTTTATTTAGTACATGTTTGATTCTATTTCTTACGTAAGAATTCTCCCTGGGACTTATTTAAAAACTTTTTCATACTCTAAATAAAACATATATATTTCTTTTAGGTATCTTCCTGGATGTATCTTTGTTCCACTTATCAGTGAATCTATTGCAATGCCAGTAGCTTTCGATTCTTTTTTCTAAGTTATGTATTTGAGCGAGAGCAGCACCCATCCTCTGGTTCACTCCTCAAATGCCTTCAAATGCTTGTGGCTGGAAACAAAGCGGGGGAACCAGAAACTCAATCCAGGTCCTATTGGCAGGGACCCACTTACTAAAGAAAGCTGTCAGTACTGCCTGCCAGGTTCCTACTTAGCAGGAAGCTGGGAATTTAACCCAGTACTCCAATCTGGGATGCCAATGTCTTAATTTCTAGGCTAACTGCCTGTCCCTGTCAGTACCATTTTAAAACTTTATAATAGGTTTTAAACATCAGGAAAGTGAGTAATCCTGTGCCCATTCCTCCCTCTCCTAAACAAGATTCTTTTTTAATATACATATTCAGTATCTGGTTTCCTGATCTACAGTAATTTTGCTGCTAATGATAATTCTTTCTGCCAAGCATTTCTCTTAGTGCTATGTAGTAGGAATTCATTTAATCCTCGTAAGATAGTTATTTTATCAGTTTACTGATGAGAAAACCATGGCAGAAAGAGGTTAAATGACTTCCTACCGTTGCAAAGCTAGTAGATGATAATGCTAGGGCCCAAACCCAAGCAGCTTTACTCCAAAGCTAAGCTAAACTATACTCATCACCATTTAAACTAATACCTGCTTTAATCTATTTGTGCCCTAGGCACTCTGATCCTTACAACATATCAAGATTTTTTTTCCCTTTTGCAGGTTCAGGAATGTTAAGTAATTGATAGTTCAGTAAACCAGTTATTAATAAAACCAGAGACTTAAACATGGTTTCTGATTGCTTATCCATTGAGATTGTACAACGTGATACAGTTATGAAAGAGGAAATACTCAAGTGTATTGATCATATTTTTCCTCAGAAAGTTAGATAAAAATGAAAAAAGTTCAAGACAACAAAAAGTTTGAAAATATAAATTATAAATAAAAAGATTATGACAAATTTGAAAAAAAAGAGTAGCTCTTTATTCATTTTGTGGTCGTGGCTTCCAGACAAGTATTTGCTCTTATTACAAATCTTGATTTGTTTGTTTTGGTAGCTTCAAGACAGTAACTCCTTTGTAGAAGTAATATACTCAAGTGAATGGAATCCCACTTGACTGGGACCAAATACACATTTAACCACTTTAATAATTTTACCAATGATAAGCATCTTTTTTAAGCTTCTTCTGGAGATGTTCAAACAAACACAAACATAGAATAAGCCCCAGAACCATCCATCACCCAGCCTCAACAAGTATTAACTGTTCACTAGTATGTTTCATTTCTCCCCATTTTTTTTGTTAATGTTTTTTTAACTAAATCACAGACATATTATTTCTTCTGATCAAAACTTTTCAAACACGTGATTGTAATACTGGTAGCAAAGCTTATAAATTTTTTAAATACCCCAGTAACACCTACCAGTCTATGTTTCAGATACTGTAGTTGTCCCAAAAATGTCACTTTACATTTGAATTGTTGAAGTCAGAAAACAAATAAGATCCATTCATTGTATTTGTATATTTCTCAAGTCTCCCCAACAGCCCCTTGGAATGGTTGCATGTGCTCTCTCTCTCTCTCGCTCTCACTCACTCTCTCTCTCTCTCTGCCATTTATTTGTTTAATAAATTGGGCCACTTGACATAAAATTTCCCATATTCTGGAATGACTGTATCTTAATGGTAGTATTTAATATGTTCATCTAACCCCGTATTTTCTGTAAGCCAGTACATAGTCTAGAAGCCTGATTATATTGTTAGAATTTTTTTCTATTAAAAAAATAACTTCCCGGCCAGCGCTGCAGCTCACTAGGCTAATCCTCCGCCTGCAGCACCGGCACTCTGGGTTCTAGTCCCATTTGGGGTGCCGGTTCTGTCCTGGTTGCTCCTCTTCTAGTCCAGCTCTCTGCTGTGGCCCAGGAAGGCAGTGGGGGATGGCCCAAGTGCTTGGGCCCTGCACCCGCATGGGAGACCAAGAGAAAGCTCCTGGCTCCTGGCTGCAGATCAGTGCAGCACACCAGCCATAGCGGCCATTTGGGGGGTGAACCAACGGAAAAAGAAGACCGTTTTCTCTGTCTCTCTCACTGTCTTAACTCTGCCTGTCCAAAAAAATAATAATAACTTACCATTAATAGTTTGGTTGCCCTGATATAATTTGTAAAAAAACAACCAACCAACCTGGGGGAGGCATTTGCCCTAGCAGTTAAGACACTGGTTAAAGGGTATGCATGTAGCCACCAATTAAGTCACCTGTATCTCAGGTACTTCTACCCAGGTTCGATACCTGGCTCTGGTTCCTGACTCTGGCTTCCTGACAACACAGAACCTGGGAGGCAGTGGTGATGCCTCAGTTAAGTTTCTGGCATTCACATAGGAGATCTGGATTGAGATTTCAGTTCCCAGATTTAACCCAGCCCAATTCCAAGCATTGTAAGCATTTGGAGAATGAGCCAGTGGAGTGGAGCGCTCTCTTACTCTCTCTGCCTCTGAAATTAATTTTAAAAAGTAATAAAAATTAAAAAATCATGGTACATGCTAGATTATTTCCCTTTATTACTAATTTTGGAATAAAAACAGGTGACTTAGCAATTTCCTAAGACAACCAATAAGGTTGTTTCTATTTTTTAATTATCTAATTTAATAATTGTAACATTGGTGTATTTCAATCCATTGGTGTCGTTATTCTTTTTAATGTGCAAATTGTTCCTTCCTTGACCAGTGGGACCACTTTAAGTCTGTCCCTATATCCTTTTGACACAACTCTTCGTGGTCTCTTAAACCTTTATTACTTTCTGGTATGCCAACATGATTCAAATTTATCTTGGACATTTCTGGCTTCAGAAATGGAATCAGTCTTTCTCCCCTGGCATGCTGGTTCCTTATTAAAAGTTGGAAATGGTATTTAGACACCACAGTTTGAACACGAGGGAAGCTAGAAGTCATCGCTCTTAGGCCTGTTCAGTCCACAGGGCTAGGGAGCTTTTTTTTTTTTTTTTTTTTTTTTTGGACAGGCAGAGTGGACAGCGAGAGAAAGAGACAGAGAGAAAGGTCTTCCTTTGCCGTTGGTTCACCCTCCAATGCCCGCCGCGGCTGGCGCACTGCAGCGGGCGCACCGTGCTGATCTGATGGCAGGAGCCAGATACTTATCCTGGTCTCCCATGGGGTGCAGGGCCTAAGTACTTGGGCCATCCTCCACTGCCCTCCCGGGCCACAGCAGAGAGCTGGCCTGGAAGAGGGGCAACCGGGACAGAATCCGGCGCCCGGAACGGGACTAGAACCCGGTGTGCCGGCGCCGCAAGGCGGAGGATTAGCCTAGTGAGCCGCGGCACCGGCCAGGAGCATGTTTTTTTAGAAAGAAATAAATTTTGAGTTTAAATTAATATTTCAATTCTAATTTAAGATTATGTGACAATTTCTTTAAAGTTATTCAGTGCTTTCCCTGACCCCCAATAAATGCCTAAACCTCAGATGGTACTAAATTCTACAAATATGTTTGCATCCCTACACACAGATGGTAGCATGCTAAATAATTGTTCTATACCCTCTTTTCACTTAGTAAATCTAGAAATCACATTGTAGCAATGTAAATTTTTGTTCATTCTTCATAGTCTTCCATTTGTAGATAAACTATAATTTAGTTAACCAGTCTGCTTATTGATGGACTTTTCAGTTGTTTGTCGTCTTTTGCTACCACAAGTAGTGCTATAATTAATATTTTTATGCATAAATTCTTTTTTCATCCAGGTATTTTGACCAACATGACTTAGCTGATGAACCATCTTGATGTAGGTGATCTCAGGGACTGAAGACATTTCTGATGCAGGCAGCCTAAAACTGAGGCGGTACAATGCCAGTTCAAGCACAGATCGTTTCACATCTTCAACACTGTGTGAAGGGTTTGCATCTTAACCTGTACAACTAAAGTTGACACTCAGAATATAGATTGTATTAATTTGAATGCCTGAAATATCTGGAAAATCCCACTTGGTTTTTGATTAACAGTTTGAATAATTTTCTGCAATCACGTGTGTTTATAACAAATTGAATGCCATTCATTAGTAAAACAGCCTGCATAAAAAAATGTATGCTGAGATTTTTACAGAGGTCATTGGTGCTGTTTCATTGTTTGTTTACATAATTCATGAAATATCTTGCTGAAAATATATTTTGGTTACTAAAATTGTTTGATTCTTGAGCAAAATAAAAGGCAATGAATGTACTTGGTATAATCTAAATTAAATGGCAGATTTGTTCATAGTCAACAACAATATATTGTTTTCCATTTAAGCTCAGTACTTTTATTTTTAAATTATTTATTGTACAAACAAAATCTTTTCCAACAAAGCATTTTCAAAAATTTCTTGTTAAGTCAACTGTTTTGATTTTATTGACCAATCTGTTTATATCAGTCATAACATCTATTTCTGTATCTGGGATATTTCCTACATTAAGTAACACGTAGGGATTGATCTCTCTCACAAAGCAAGTCTAGAGGTGATGAAAACTGGCATTGATTCAGTGACTCAACAATATCAAGGTCTCTGAGATTCCTTCAGCCTTTCCCACATTATTACATGCTGTCCACTGTAATTCAAAACAGTGTTTCTGTATTCAAGAGAGGAAACAGGGAAGAAGATGAGCCTTCTACATCTCATCTTTTTCTCATAAAAGCAGAAGATTCCCAGAAATCCACATCAGGTTTATTTAAATCTGTTGGCCACAACTATAAAACACAGTAATGGGGCCGGTGCTGTCGTGTAGCAGGTAAAGTCACTGCCTACAGTGCCAGCATCCCTTATGGGTACCGGTTCAAGTCCCGGCTGCTCCACTTCCAATACAGCTCTGCTATGGCCTGGGAAAGAAGTGGAAGATGGCCAAATCCTTGGGCCCCTGCACCTGCATGGGAGACCCAGAAGAAGCTCCTTGCTCCTGGCTTCAAATCAGCGCAACTCCGGCCATTGTGGCCAATTGGGGAGTGAACCAGCAGATGGAAGACCTCTCTCTCTCTCTGCCTGTGTAACTCTTTCAAATAAATAATTTCTTTTAAAAAATTATTTTTGTTCCTCATATAATTCTGGTGTGAGTAGTTTGGGATGCTATGATAGCTCTATAATATGTTAAAGGGCTTGGGCTGCATCCACAATTCTAGTATGTGATTTTCATGTTTTTGACAATTTGGCTATTTCCTGAGTCACATCTGCATTTATTTCATGAGGGGGAAAAAAGGTGCCACAGCTCCTTGTTGCTCATAACAGGGAAGCAAAACTTTGTAAGAAATCCTCAACTTACATATTTGACAGTTATGACACATGACCAGCCCTAATAGTAAAAAAAGTGTGCTTAAACTGAGCATGGTGCCACTTATAACAAAAATGGGCCTCTATTAAACAGGGGAAAGTGGCTATTGGGCACACAGCCAGGAGTATCTTCCATAAAGGGCTTAGATAACAATCTGTACTAAAATCAACCAGCTTTTTTTTTTAATAAAAGATTTATTTATTTGAAAGAGTTACAGAGGAGATTTAGCAGCAGAGAGAAAGAAAAAGATCTTCGTGTGCTGGTTCACTCCCCAAATGGCCGCAACGGGTGGAGGTGAGCCAATATGAAGCCAGGAGCTTCTTCCTGGTCTCCCAAGGGGTGCAGGGGTGCAGGGGCCCAAGCACTTGGGCCATCTTCCACTGCTTTCCTAGGCACATTAGCAGGGATCGGGATCAGAATGGGGAGTAGCTGTGCCTCAACTGGTGCCCATATGGGATGCTGGTGCTGCAGCCAGCAGCTTTACCTGCTATGCCACAGTACACGCCCCAAGTTTGTATATATAGCCTCACATTTTTTTGCTGATCTGTTGGAGGAGGATATCTTTGGTATTGATATAATAATAATAAAATGTCAGTTACTAATTTTTTCTAATATTTTTTATTCATTTTAAAGTCAGAGCTCGAGAGAGATCTTCCATCCACTGGTTCACTCCCCAAATGGCCACAATGGCTGAGGCTGTGCCAGACCAAGCCAGGAGCCAAGATTTTCTTCTGGGTCTCATATGGGTGCAGGGGCTCAAGCACTTGGGCCATCTTCTATTACTTTCCCAGGCCCATTAGCAGGGAGCTGGATCGGAAGTGGAGCAGCAGAGACTCAAGTCCACTGCCTAGCGTGCATATGGGATGGCGGCATTGCAGGCGGCGGCATAACCTACTACCACCAAAATGCTGACCCCTACTGTTATTTATATTTCTCTATAACAGTAACTGAGAATATATCTAACACATGCTACTTGCAAAGAATAAAATTCTTGAAGACAGATAACATTAAGAAGGCAATTTTACAAGTGCAATAGACAAAGTTGTAAAAATTATTTTAATGGAGTTCTGCCTGTTTACTAGCAAGCTGGAGGATCTCTAATTGTTAACTATGAAACAATTTTTATAGCGAATCAATTTGGCATAGGGATATTTTTCAGGAATACAGAAACAAACAAACCATTTTACACCACAGACGCAAACATTTTCAAAGGACCAATAGTAGGTGCCCCTGTTGATATCACCCCCACCCAGCTCTGAGTCCAGGTCACCCCGTGGAATCCCAGGATTTCAAAAACCAGTTTTAAAATCCCATTGGTTTTAACATATTTTCTCAACCTCAAGTAGAAAAATATCTACTGTAGGATTGTTTTAGAAATAATATGAAAGCTAAACATCAGAAATCTCAGAGTCTGTATAGTTATAACTTTCCAGTCTTTTTTTATAATTTAAGCATGTATTCATAACAGATACTTAAATAGTGTACATGCAGGATCTAGTAAGACTTTTTTCTCTTAATACACCAATTAACATGTTTCCATATAAATGTTTTCACCCTTTTTTTAAAGATTTATTTGAGGGGCCGGCACTATGGTGGTGTAGAGGGTAAAGCTGCTGCCTGCAGTGTTGGCATCCCATTTGAGTGCCGGTTTGAGTCCTGGCTGCTCCACTTCTGATCCAGCTCTCTGCTGTGGCCTGGAAAAACAGTACAAGATGACCCAAGTCCTTGGGCCCCTGCACCCACGTGGGAGACCCGAAAGAAGCTCTTGGCTTTTGGCTTTGGATCAGCTCAGCTCTGGCCATTGTGACCAACTGGGGAGTGAATCAGCAGATGGAAAAAGACCTCTCTCTCTGTGCCTCTCCTTCTTTCTCTGTGTAACTCCTTCAAGTAAATATATCTAAAAAAATAAAAATTTGAGAGACTTAAGAGAAAGGGGAAAGACAGAGGCCTTCCATCCTCTGGTTCACTAACCAAATGGCCACAATGGCTGGAGCTGAGCCAATCTGAAGCCAGGAGCCAGAAGCTTCTTCAGGGTCTCCCACATGGGTGTAGGGACCCAAGCACTTGGACCATCTTCCACTGCTTTCCTAGGCGAATTAGCAGGGAGCTGGATTGGAAGTAGAGCAGACGGGACTTGAACTAGCACCTATACAGGATGCCCGTGAGGTAGATGGAGGCTTAACCTACTATGCCACAGCGCCAGCCCCTGCTTTCACCCTTAACAGCTGTAGAATTCCCATATATGCCAATGCCATAATTTAATCATATGTATTCAATAACCAAATAGTGAAAATCCTTATATACAGTTTTTCATCACTCATTTATTTTCTTAAACTTTATATAGAAATGGAATTGCTGAATTAAACAATGTTTTAAATTTTAAGTGTAGCTTCAAAATGCAAGTATTATCTTTATGGTCTGAGCTATAAAAATTTTTTATTAAATGATTTTTATTAAAAATTTTTAATAATTTTTTTTAAATTTTTTTGAAAGAGAGTTACAGAGAGAGGCAGAGAGAGGTCTTCCATCTGCTGGTTCACTCCCCAGATGGCTGCAATAGCCAGAGATGCACCAATCCAAAGCCAGGAGCTTCTTCCAGGTCTCCCATGTGGGTACAGGGGCCCAAGGACTTGGGCCATTTTCCACTGCTTTCCCAGGCCATAGCAGAGAGCTGGTTTGGAAGTGGAGCAGCCAGGACTCGAACTGGCACCCATATGGGATGCCGGCGCTTCAGGCCAGGGCGTTAACCCGCTGCACCACAGCGCTGACCCCCCCAAAAATTTTTTCTTGAAGATTTATTTATTTATTTGAAAGGCAGAATTACACAGAGAGGATAGGCAGAGAAAGAGGTCTTCCATCTGCTGGTTCTCTCCCCACTTAGCCACAACAGCCAGAGCTGCGTCAATCCAAAGCCAGGATCCAGGAGCTTCTTCCGAGTCTCCCATGCAGGTGCAGGGGCCCAAGGACTTGGACCTTCTTCTACTGCTCTCCCAGGCTATAGCAGAGAGCTGGATCGGAAGTGGAGCACCTGGGACTTGAAACAACTCCCATATGGGACACCAGCACTGCAAGTGGTGGCTGTACCGTCTACCTCACAGCACCAGCCCCCAAGTTTTTCACTATTTAAACAATTTCATGGTGCTCTCTGACCTCTAAAATTTTATTATAATAAACATGAAATACAAATTTGCTACTGTACAGCCAGTATTGTTAAATATATAGACATCGTTGTACAACACATCTCTAGAAGTTTTCTAACTTGCATTACTTAAACTATTATACAATTCCCATTTTCCTCCTTCCACTGCCCTGGCAAGCACCATTCTACTTTCTGTTTCTAAGTTTGTCTAGGTAACTTCATATAAAGTGAAATCATGCAGTATTTGTCCTGTGACTGGCTTATTTCTTTTAGCATAATGTACTTAAAAGTTCATACATGAAGAAGCATAACAGGATTTCCTTCAAGGCTGAGAAATATTCCACTTTATCTATGAGAGATGCTTTAAAGTTTGTGGAAGGGCCAGCACTGTGGCATAGCAGGTAAATTGCAGCCTGCAGTGCCAGCATCCCACATGGGCACAGGTTCTAGTCCTAGCTGCTCCAATTCTTATCCTGCTCCCTGCTACGCAGAAGATGGCCCAAGTCCTTGGGCTCCTGCACCTGAGTGGGAGACCTGGAAGAAACTCCAAGCTTCTGGCTTCAGATCTGCCATTGCAGCCATTTGGGGAGTGAACCAGCGGATGGAAGACTTCTCTCTCTCTCTCTCTCTCTCTCTGCTTCTAACTCTGCCTTTCAAATACATAATCTTTTTAAAAAAAAGTTTGTGGAAACTTTGATTAAAACATGTTTATTTTGGGGCCAGCAATGTGACACAGCAGGTAAAGTCAGTGCCTGTCTGCTCCACTACAAAACCAGCTTCCTGCTAGTACGCCTGGGAAACCAGTTCAAGACGGCCCAGGTACTTGGGTCCCTGCCCCGATGTGGGAGAGACCCAGAGGAGGCTCCTGGCTCCTGGCTTTGGATCAGTCCAGCCCCAGCTGTAGTGACCATTTGGGGGTGAACCAGCAAATGGAAGAACTCGCTCATCTGCTCTCTCACTCTTTCAAATAAATAAAGCTTTAAGAAAAAAAAAGTTTCTTTTCGTGCAAGAAATCCTGAAACCCATACATAAAGGTCTTAGAAAATTTCTTGGAAGATGTGTATTATGTGAAAATTATACATGGATTTTGAAAATTTTTTGCACCAAGGTAGGCATGTGGCAATGTTTGCATCTCATATTGAAGTGGATTTCGAGTCCTGGTTGGTGGAAGATGGCCCAAGTGTGCCCGTTATCCTCACAGGAGGCCAGGATGGAGTTACAGGTTTCTGGCTTTGGGGTGGCTTAACCCCTGCAGTATTTCTTGACCCTGCTTTTCTTTTGCTTCTATAAGAAACATTTCATTTTGGCTACAAATAACAAAAACAAAAGCCAAAGTGGATTGAAATAAGGAATTTAATATTTTACATAATAAAATTCCAGAGGTAAAGCAGCTTCAGCATTAGTTATTCTAAAGCACAATTCAGGTGCTTTCCGTCTGCATCCTGCTATTTTCATGGTGGTGGCTTTTACGTTCATGTGTGTCCTTTCATAGTCACCAGGAGGCTGCAGATTCAGTCCACACATCCCAACCATCATCACTGAGAAGAAAGCGGGGAGGCTGGAGAAGGTGCTACAAGAGATATACTAGCTGAACACTGACCCCAACCCACTGAGAAGATATGGTCCAGTAAATGTCAATGGATAAGGCCCCATGAATGAGTCTATTATCTAACCCTCTGTCCACTGTAGAAGAGTAGACAAGCGAATATTGATGCTTGAACCTTTACCAGAACTTCCAATGCACCACAGGAGGTTGAAAAACTAACAGGAACACACCCTTCCCAACACACCTAATATTCTTTGGCCCTAATGTCACCAAATTAACATTTAAACTATCATGTACTTCACTTTTATTATATTAATGAAGGTCTCAAAGACTGAAAGTTATTAAAATGAAATTAAGGTTTTAAGCAATTTAGGCAGACAGACATACAATGTATACACATATGAAATCCTTATACAAACAAAATCAAATAAATTATAAGCAATAAAAAGCTTAACTTAGTGTATTTTTTAAAAATAACTGATATTCCCACTTTATCAAAATTTATTAATTCTTACACAAATGATCTGATTGGTCATATTTTTCTTTGCTAACTCAACAAACCCTGAGTTTTGTGTTTCCATCTATGGTTAAATACACATCACTCTAAGCAAACAACAATATTTAAAATAAAGAGTTACAACTTGGAGTCTAGTTATTTGAAATCAGGTTTTCATTTTGAATAGTTCCAGTAAAGTGTAAGTCATAGTAGATGTCCCTTTATCTGCTTTAACTTGTTTTGTATTAGATTAATAAAATACACCCTCAGTTCTGTACAAATGTCCAACAATGTAGTTAAATCATACTACTTGAATACTTCACACATAATTTATCTCTTTACACTGTTGAAGCTTGTATTCCGCAATGTTCTACAGCTTCTGTATCATCACCTGAAATTTGCCTTAAAAAAGAAAATATACAAAATCATTATCTGATTTTATATACAAGGAAAACAAAACAAGCCTACTCATTTATTTTATATTATACTTAAGAAGTAGTTCCTATTAATAAACTTGCTGTGTCAAACAGTTTTTCATAGTGCCTTTGTTTCTTTGTGAGGCCTACATTTTTAGGTGTTTCCTTACCAATGAGCACAATGACTGGGAAGGAAAGATAGTGAAGCTCAAGTAAATTTTATTTTTTAGTGATAGTTCTGGTAAAAAGATCTTTAGGAAGATCTTTAGTGATAAAAGAGTAGCTGGTTTTATTTAGCTTTAACAATAGACATAACCTAAATAACTGTTCAAAAATACATTTTCAATACCACAGGAAAAAGTGCTATCTTAAAAGAACACTGCGCATTTTCCTTTAAAAGTTAAGAGTTTTCCCTTATATTGTATTTCTTTAGCAGTTTTTCTTAGAGAATTTTCTATCACTAATTAAAATATTGAAGGGCCAGCATTGTGGCACAGCAGAATGCAACACTAGCATCCCACATGAACACCGGTTCAAGTGCCAGCTGTTTGATTTTTTTTTTTAAGATTTATTTATTTATTTGAAAGTCAGAGTTACACAAAGAGAGGAGAGGCAGAGAGAGAGAGAGAGAGAAGTCTTCCATCCACTGATTCACTCCCCAGTTGGCTGCAACAGCTGGAACTAGGCCTATCTGAAGCCAGGAGCCAGGAGTTTCTTCTGGGTCTCCCACGTGGGTGCAGGGGCCCAAGAACTTGGGCCATCCTCTACTTTCTTCCTAGGCCGTACCAGAGAGCTGGATCGGAAATGGAGCAGACAGGACTTGAACTGACACCCATATGGGATTCTGGCACTGCAGGCTGTGGTTTTACCCGCTATGTCACAGTGCCGGCCCCTGTTTCATTTCTGATACAGCTCCCTATTAATGCGCCTGGGAAAGCAGCAAAAGATAGCCCAAGTGCTTGGGCCCATTTGGAAGACCTGGATGAAGCCCCTGGCTCCTAGCTTCCACCCGGCCCAGTTCCAACCCTTGTGGCCATTTGGAGAGTGAACCAGCAGACAGAAGCACTCATGCGCACGCATGCTCTCGAGCGCTTGCTCTCACTCTCTCGCTCTCTCTCCCCTCCCCTGTTTAAGTCACTCTTTCAAATAATTAAATAAATCTTTAAAATAAATGTCATTGAATATGAGTATAGTATGCTACATGTTAAACTGCTAAAACTAAAATGAAACAGTTTTAGCATTTTTAATTTCCTCTAAGTTTAAAAAAAAGACCCTCCTCCCCCTTAGAAAAATAACACATTTATAAGAAATATGAATTCAACTTACAGGCAGGCATTGAAGACACTTCAGCTGTTACAATACTTTTTATCCCCAAGTTTGACAAGCCACCTCTGATTAAACCACATGTAAATGCTAAATACTAAAAGGAAAAAAAAACTGTTAAAAATAGTAATGATTTACTAAAGTAGTAAAGCTACTGATAACTATGACATTTACTTAAACCACACTATCAATAAGTCACTGCTGTTTTTATAAAAGGTGGACTTCTACATCTTAAGCAACTTAAGCTCATGGACACATGGCAAGCTTGGCCAACTAGTTGCTCTAAGCCAGTACTCTAAATCAAAAATGAGTGAAAAAATAAGCCGAAAACAGGTCAGAGTTAGTTCTGATGGCACCAAAAGTAGCTACATCTATTGTTTACCCTGCCCACAGAAGTCTAATCACCCCCTGTGGAGTGATCCAGCCTCTGGCTACTTAAACCTCCCATGGTTCTTGCTTGTTTTCTGAGCCCTTCCATGAACTCTATATGCTAACTAATGATATTGCATTCAATGAGAATTGGCTTCTAGTATTTACAATCAAGAATGTCAACTTGTTCAAGACTTAGAGCCTGCTACAACAGACTTATCAGGTTCAAATTATCAATACTGTGGATAGTGAGAAACTGTCAGCAACAAAAGGAAAGGGACTAAACTACAGCAGAAAACAGTCTGACAAGAATGGAAACTGAAAAATGAATAATATAAGGAATTTTTATTTATTTAATTTTTTTTGACAGGCAGAGTTAGACAGTGAGAGACAGAGACAGAGAGAAAGGTCTTCCTTCCACTAGTTTACCCCCGAAATGGCCGCTGCACCGCACTGATCTAAAGCCAGGAGCCAGGTGCTTCCTCCTGGTCTCCCATGCGGGTGCAGGGCCCAAGCACTTGGGCCATCTTCCACTGCCCTCCTGGGCCACAGCAGAGAGCTAGACTGGAAGAGGAGCAACCGGGACAGAATCAAGCGCCCCAACCGGGACTAGAACCTAGGGTACCGGCGCCGCAGGTGGAGGATTAGCCTAGTGAGCCGCAGCACCGGCCTATTTATTTAATTTTTAAGATTTATTTATATATTTGAAACGCAGAGTGATAAAGAGGCAAAGGCAGACAGAGATACCTCCCATCTGCTGGTTTACTCCCCAAATGGCCAAACAGCCAGAGCTGGGCTGACACAAAGCCAGAAGCCAGGAGCTTCTTCAAGGTCTCCCACGCAGGTGCAGGGGCCCAAGGACTTGGACCATCTTCTACTGCATTCATTCCCTGGCCATAGCAGGGAGCTGGATCGTAAGTGGAGCAGCCAGGACTTGAACTGGCACCCGTATGGGATGCCAGCACTGCAGATGGTGGTTTAATCTGCTGCACCACAGTGCTGCCCCCCCAAAAAAAATTTTAAAGCTTTATTTTATCTATTTCAAAGAATTAGAAAGACGTAGAGACACAGAGAGAGAGGTCTTCCACCCACTGATTCACTCCCCAAATAGCCACAATGGCCAGAGCTGAGCTGATCCAAAGCCAGGAGCCAAGAGCTTCTTCTAGGTCTCCCACATGGGTGCGGGGGCCCAAGGACTTGGGCCATCTTCCTCTGTTTTCCCAGGCACATTAGCAGGAAGCTAGATCGGAAGTGGAGCAGCTGAGATTTGAACCAGAGCATTAGCAGGAAGCTAGATCGGAAGTGGAGCAGCTGAGACTTGAACCAGAGACCATATGATATGTCAGTGCTATAGGCCGTGGCTTTAACGCACTGTGCCCCAACGCCAGCCTCTCCAACAATTCTAACCGAGTAACTGAACTCCATAAAAATAAAAATCATGGGGGCTGGATCGGCATTGTGGCATAGAGGGTAAAGCTGCCGTGTGCTATTCAGGCATTTCACATGGGCACTAGTTCATGTCTTGGCTGCTCCACTTCTCATCCAGCTCCCTGCTAATGGCCTCAGAAAAGCAGCAGAAGATAACCTAAGTGTTTGGGCCCTGCTAGCCATGTGGGAGACCTGGAAAATGCTCCCTGCTTCAGGCTGGCCCAACTCTGGCTGTTGTGGCCATCTGGGGAGTGAACCAGCAGATTGAATATCTTTCTTTCCATCTCTCCCTTTCAAATAAATAAAAAATAAAATAAAAAAATCTTGGGATTTGGCACGGTAGCTCAGGGTGCTAAGCCACTGCTTGTTACACCAGTATCCCATGTTAGAGTGCCAGTTCAAGCCACAGCTGCTTCACTTCCCATCCAGCTCCTTGCTTACAGCACCTGGAAAAGCAGGGGAAGATAAACCAGGTACGTGGGCCTCTGCCATCCATATAGGAGACCCAGATGGAGTTCTTGGCTCCTAGTATTGATCTGGACCAGCCCCAGCTATTGCAACCATTTGGGGAGTGAACAAGGAAATGAAAGATCTCTATATCTGTCTCTCCCTCTGCCTTGTCAAATAAATAAATAAATAAATAAATAAATATTTTTAAAATAATAAAAATGAAAATTACATATGTGTGCATACTTATGGGGAGAGGTTTTCCACTTCTCAAAGATATCTATAATCTTGGGACTGGCGTGTGGCATAGTAGATTAAGTATTCCACCTTTGGTGCCAACATCCTATATGGGTACCAGTTCAAATCCCAGCAGCTCCACTTCCAATCCAGCTCTCTGCTACAGCCTGGAAAAGCAGTAGTAGATGGCCCAAGTGTTTGAGGCCTGTACCCATGTGGGAGACCTGGAAGAAGCTCCTGGCTCCTGGCTTTGGATCGAACCAGCTCCAGCCATTGCGGTCATTTGGGGAATAAACCAGTGGATGGAAGACCTTTCTCTCTATCTCTCCATCTCTTTGTCTGTAATTCTACCTCTCAAATAAATAAATAAAATCTTAAGTGTTAAAAAAAGATATCTATAGCTCTTTCGTCTCGGCAGCCGACATGCCATCCAGACTGAGGAAGACCCGGAAACTGCGCGGCCACGTGAGCCACGGCCACGGCCGCATCGGCAAGCACCGGAAGCACCCAGGAGGCCGAGGTAATGCGGGTGGCATGCATCACCACAGGATCAACTTTGATAAATATCACCCAGGTTACTTCGGGAAAGTTGGCATGAGGCATTACCACTTAAAGAGGAACCAGAGCTTCTGCCCAACTGTCAACCTTGATAAGCTGTGGACATTGGTCAGTGAGCAGACACGGGTAAATGCTGCCAAGAACAAGACTGGAGCTGCTCCTATCATTGATGTGGTGCGGTCGGGCTATTACAAAGCTCTGGGAAAGGGAAAGCTCCCAAAGCAGCCTGTCATCATGAAGGCCAAATTCTTCAGCAGAAGAGCTGAGGAGAAGATTAAGGGCGTGGGGGGAGCCTGTGTCCTGGTGGCTTGAAGCCACGGTTCATTAAATGCTAGCAAATGCTTTTCAAAAAAAAAAAAAAAAGATATCTATAATCTCAAAATAGTTAAAAATCATGGCCGGCACCGCGGCTCAATAGGCTAATCCTCCGGCACCCTGGGTTCTAGTCCCGGTTGGGGCGCTTGATTCTGTCCCGGTTGCCCCTCTTCCAGGCCAGCCCTCTGCTATGGCCTGGGAGTGCAGTGGAGTATGGCCCAAGTGCTTGGGCCCTGCACCCGCATGGGAGACCAGGAGGAAGCACCTGGTTCCTGGCTTCAGATCGGCGCAGCACGCCAGCCATGGCGGCCATTTGGGGGGTGAACCAGCGGAAGGAAGACCTTTCTCTGTTTCTCTCACTGTCTAACTCTGCCTGTCAAAAAAAAAAAAAAAAAAAAAAAAAAGCACTGAAGCATTCCATCTTACTCTTTCACTCTTTCCACAACTGAAGAAACCAAACAGGTGAGACTCAGAAATATTAGAAGGGGTAATAAAGTGAAAAAAAAATTATATATTAACTACAAAAATTTAATTAGAGCCTGGACAACCCCAAAACACAGGAAAAAAAGCAATTGTGTATTAGTGAATTATAAAAACAAAGTATCATGCCCATTTCTTGGCTAATTTTATTGATATTTTATAGCTGTAATAATGTAATAATAGTTTAATAAGCATCTTTTATGTATAAAGCACTAAGTTATTTTAATGGGAAAAAAGAAAGGTCCAAAAGAATTAGGTAGCTTAATGTCACAAATCCATTAATTATAGAGCTTAGCTTAAAAGCTAGATTTATTTAGTCGCCAAATCTATGATCTTACCACTATATACTGTCATTCTGTTAGATAATTTAAGTATAAATGAATTTTTACAGATAAATAGTAGCTTACATTTGCCCAGATAGCTTAATCACTTCAAAGGAACCCTTAGATTAAAATCTGTCTGAGGGCTGGTGCTGTGGTGCAGCGGGTTAAGGGCCCAGCCTGCAGTGCCAGCATCCCTAATGGGTGCTGGTTTGAGTCCTGGCTGCTCCACTTCTGATCCAGCTCCTTGCTAATGTGCCTGGGAAAGCAGCAGAGGATGGCCTAAGTCCTTGGGTCCCTGCATTCACATGAGAGACCCAGAAGAAGCTCTTGGCTCCTGTCTTCAGACTGGCTCAGCTCTGGCCATTGCGGCCATTTGGGGAGTGAACCACCAGATGGAAGAATTCTCTCTCTGTGACTCTACTTCTCCCTATAACTCTGTCTTTCAAATAAATAAAATAAACCTTTAAAAAAACTTGTCAATTTTCTTATCTAGTAATTGATTCCTACTTGAAATTAAAAAACAAAAAACTACATAAAGCCAAGCAATATAGATATACCTAACAGAAAACATGTATTCTTAGAAACAAAAATTAATTTAAAACATTTTAATTTATATGAGGTGAATAATTTTGTACAGCTAATGTCAGTTTTGTAAATTGGAATACGCTTACCAATATAGCTACGTTGTTTTCAAAAATCTATCATAAATCTACATTATAGTGGCATTACACTGTAGTGTTTCTTTAACTGGTTACTGTAAGTCCATTTACCTACAATTTAGTACAAATTATTGTAACATGACAGACATGTCTCCTGCTTTATAGAAAACAAATAAATAAGAAATTTTTAAACCTATTTTTAATTCAAGAGTCTATTGTAATTGGTGTTGTATTTTTCCCTCTGTTTTTAATAGAAAACCCAAATCTTATTTTACATGAAATACCTTGGATGCGTGTTCCAAATACTGTTTTCCTGCAGACATCTGAGTAAGCAAACGAAATTTGTTGTCCTGAAGCACATAGATGCCCTGTTCCAAAATAGAAAAAACATCCAAATCAACATAATTTGTCGTCTTTAAAAATTATCTTATCCCCTTGGGGCCGGTGCCGTGGCGCAGTAGGTTAATCCTCTGCCTATGGCGCTGGCATCCCATATGGGCATAGGTTATAGTACCAGCTGCTCCTCTTCCAATCCAGCTCTCTGCTGTGGCCTGGGAAAGTAGCAGAAGATGGCCTAAGTGCTTGGGCCCCTGCACCTGCATGGGAGACCAGGAAAAAGCAGCTGGCTCCTGGCTTCAGTTCAGTGCAGCTCCGGTTGTTGCAACTATTTAGGGAGTGAACCAACGGAAGGAAGACCTTTCTCTCTGTCTCTCCCTCTCACTGTCTGTAACTCTACCTCTCAAATAAATAAATAAAAATCTTTTAAAAAATTATCCCCATGAAACAACTTAAGAGTTTTCTGAAATTACTTAAAATTCTTCTTTCCATTAGTCAAATCTTCTTTAAAGGATGAAGTTTTGCAATATTTAGGTTAGAGCTGCAACTTCATTATTTCACAGTACTAATATTCGTGAATGTTTTAATACACTGAAGACACCAAGATGCATAGGACACAGACCTCACCCTTATAATAAGATCTCAGTCTTGTGCAAAGGAATCATAATACATGTTCATATGAAATTATGTCAAAAAGTCAATAAACAGAGTCACTGTTTCCCATTACCATTTGAAGTAATTTCATACTAAGGTTGGTGCTAGTGTATGAAAACATGAATTATAATGGTAGTAACAGACAAGTTATTTTCATGTATTATACCTAAGATGCCAAATCCACTGGAAGTATTAGAGGTTTATAAAGTCAAATCAATTATCAAATGCATAGTTTTCTATGTAATCTAATTTTATAGTAACAAAACATTTTAAGAAGAGGAAATATGACAGCAATAATAGTTAACTGAGTTAAATATGCTCTGTAAATTAGACTTTAGTAATTAATCTAAAGGCATAAATGTGAGATATACTGATGACTCCCCATATTACCACTACTTACTAAGTATAAATAACTAAGAAATCAAATCCTAAAACCAATATCATTCTGACATTTGCTACTTTTTAAAGCTTAACATCACTTATATAACTGGAAGAAAGAAACAATTTTCATCTTTATTCACTCTACCCTACTAAAGAAAAAACTAATAACCTTAAGAAACATTCCAGAGTTGATCAGAAATTATTTTGTTTTAAATAACTGAATTACTAAAACAAGACATTTATATTAAGTTAAATAACTTTTAAAAGAGGCCTTCGTATATCTAAATACCTGATGATTTGTCCTTAAATTGTCAATTTGTTTCTTGAATACTGTAGTCCAAAAATCTTTACAAATGAACTTCATGATGTCTAACTCATCCTTGAATCTCGCGGTATCTTTTGTAAACCTAAAAAGATCAGCTAAAAGTAATACAGTGTTTTTCCTCCAAAGGAAGCAAAAAGGGCAAATTATTAACTAACTTTTAAATGTCAGAATAACACTGAACATTTCTTGATAATCATGAAGTAAAATAGATCCCCCTCTCAATGGATTCACGCTCCATTCTATTAAGTATGGGGCCTAAAATTAAGAGTTTATCAGTCCAACAATCTATCCAAAATTTCAGGTACATCAAAATAAAGAACTAGCACATCAAAATAAAGAACTGATCATGATCATGGTAACGTACAAAGTATAATAATTTAACTAGTCACACAGTGAGAAAGGAATACTAAAAAGAACTGATCTACAAGTAAGAATATTATTAAATACATAAACATTGAATCTAATTTCCACCCCTATACACTTAAACAAAATTACATTCAGGAATTTTTTAAAGGACCTAATAGATCTCAAGTAGAAAATGCAATGAGACTTTAGATAACTGTTTCAATACTTTTCAGGAGAAAAAATCTGGATAAAAATATATTATCATCAGATATTAAAACATAATATTTTAATAACTAAATTAAAACAGAATCAGGCCTAGAAAGAAATTTCTATCTATGAATTAAAGTACAGACAAGAATTAAAATTCAGGAATTCAAACTGTACTATCCCAGAGTTTATGCAATCGTTTGAAATGGATCACCTTTGTTCATAACCTACCTGGAAGAAAATTTTCAAATCCATACTGCTCACCTTTCTATCAATCCTTGTCCTACTCGAAACCCCATGTTTTCCAGCTTAGTTATACACCGTCCATTTTCCTAAATAAGAAATAAGTTGTGAAATAAGTTTGGAAAGCCAGATATTAGCACTCAAAAACTTTTAAAATACTGGCTAAATATTAATGTAATCATTCATATTTGTAACTGAAACATTTTAATAGAAAGTGTTTTACAAGACATCCTTCAATTTTCTCAATAAAATTACTTATCTGTCACTTACAATTACTCTTCTTAGAGGCTTCTCCATTGTTCTCTCCTACCTTTTTTTTCCTCAAGATTTATTTATTTGAAAGTCAGAATTACAGAGAAGGAGAGGCAGACACACACAGAGAAAGACAGAGAGAGAGATCTTCCATCTGCTGGTTCACTCCCCAAATGGCCACAACAGCCAGGGCTGGGCCGGGCCAAAGCCAGGAGCCAAAAGCTTCATTTGGTCTCCCACGTGAGTGCAGGGGCCCTACTTGGGCCATCTTCTGCTGTTTTCCCAGGTGCATTAACAGGGAGCTGGATAGGAAATGGAGCAGCAGGTACTGAACCAACTCCCATATAGGATGCTGGCACCCCAAGGCAGCAGCTTTACCTGCTACAGCACAGTGCCAGTCCTTCTCCTACCTTATAAAACCTGGTATCACCTTTGATTCACTTCCATCAGTCACTACCTTTATGTTCTCATTAAGTTCAATAGTTCTATACTTTAAAATGTCTGCTAAAGTCATCTAAGCTCCTTGGTTCTCAGTGTGCCTTGATTGATGACCATACCACTTCTTGAATCATGCCATTGCTTTGCTCTTCCTATGAAGAGCCAATCTTAGTATCTCCATGCTGAACACTTCTAAATTCCTACAGCTGATCTGCAAAGCTCTACACAATCCAGAACCCATACCTCTCTGGCCTGAACCCTCTGGCCTGAACCTTCTACTCTTCACACTCATTCAGATCAATCTGCTCTGGTCTTCTTGCTGACCCTTAAACATGCCAGCAACAGTACAATTTTAGGGCCTTTACAATGGCAGCTCTTCGTCCAGATAGTGATATGACCAACTTTATTAGTTCCTAGAAGTCTTTGCTCTCAAGTCACCAACTCGATGAAGCCCATTTTAAACATATCGCTAAAACCACAGCATCATCTCCCTTCAGCAACTCTATCCTCCTGTGCCCCCAGACCAGCAATATCAGCATCTCATGAGAACTTGCTAAAAATGCAAATTCACTAGCCCCACCCCCAATCTACTGAGTCAGAAACTCTAGGTGTGGGGGCCAGTATCTGTGTTTTATTAAGCCTTCTGGAAGTAACTTCTGATGCCCTATGCCACTTCTCTGTTTAATTTTTCTCTGTGGAACGTCTTTCTGGGGCTGACACTGTGGCTTAGTGGGTTAAGCTGCAATCTGCAACAACGGCATGCTGTATGAGTGCCAATTTGAGTCTCACATGCTCCACTTCTGATCCAGTCCCCTACTAATGCACCCAGGAAAGCAGCAGAAGATGGCCCAAGTACTTGGGCTGCTGTCACCCATGTAGGAGACCCAAATGGAGTTCCAGCCTCCTGGTTTCGGCCTGTTGTGGCCAGTTGGAGAGTGAACCAACTGATGGACTCTCTCTCTTTCCCTCTCTATAATTCCACCTTTCAAATAAATATTTTTTTAAAAAAAAGAAAAAGAACTTCTTTCACCATTTAACATAGGTTTAATATTTTACATCACTCATGTTCACTTATCCCTACCCTCTACTAGAACACAGTTCCAAGAAAGCAGCGATTTTGTATATTCTGAGGCTCATCTGATTTCCAGCAAGAAATAAACCACAGGCTTCACTATTTGCAGAACTTTTTTCTAACGAACCACACATTCCAATTATGGGCTGCGCCAAATCAAACTGTACTTCTAGTATACACTTTACTGGACATAGCCATTGAAAGGTCTCACAAAGCACTCATATGAAGCATATTTAAATCTGTATTTGGGGCAGACGTTTGGCACAGCAGTTGGAACACCACTTGAAATTCCCAGCCTCCCTTGTCAGAGTGTCCAGGTCCAAGTCCTAGCTCTGCTTCTAATTCCAACCTCCTGCATACTTTGGCAGACTGGGGGTTGGGGGGTTGGGGTGGGGCGGCAGGATAGGGCAGGAAGGGAATAGCCTATAATGGCTCAAATACGTGGGTCTCTGTCGCCCATGTGGGAAGCTAGGATTGAGTTCCAGACTCCTGGCTTTGGCCAGGCCCAGCCAGCTGTTATGGGCACTGGTGAGTGAACCAGTAGATGGAAGCTATCTCTGTCTCTCTGTCCTTCAAATAAAATAAAAATAAATTTAAAAAAATGTATAATCAAATCTGCTTCATTTCTGAGACTCTTTCTACTCTCACTCCCACACTTACTCAAGGCCTATAGATTCTGTCTCCTACCTCTCAAGTTGTATCCCTGTCTTAATTCAAACCTAACCTGCTGTGACTCCTGCAACAATGGATGTTACTACAAGAATCAACCCTCTCTAACCCAAACACTGAATCATCTTTCTATAATTCAAATGGGCCACATCACTCCCCTTCCCCTGTTCCACTGAGAAGGCCCCAATTATTTAATTATATAAAGCTGTTTCTAACGATAGCTCTCAATTCTTTTTACTCTCCATTCAACACAGTCAAAATGAAACGCTCAATCATATTTCAGTAAATCCACCTCTCTCATACTTTATGTCTTTAACCTTATCTAGGATACCTGTCCTATTCCCCCTCACCCAGCCTCCAGCCCTCTTCATCAGCAGCATTACAGAAAGGGTTCCTGACTTGACCATGACTGGAATATCCCAGTTCTAAAATCCGTGACATCTCTGTGATTCTATACCTCATACCTAATACACAACTCCTTTCTCATTAAATCACACCCCCAAAGGCTGTAGAGCAGGCATTTAATCTGACTTAGCCAGCGAAGTGTTAGGCCCCAAACGCGTCTTTACTCTCGTCTTCTGAAAGAAACAAGGCGTGCAGGAGAACTTCACGTATCAGAAGTCTCTCTCACAAGGATGGATCCATTGTTTCACGCACTACTTTATCCTTAGCTCTTACAACTAGCTCTGAAATTGTGGGTGCTGAATATTTTCTGTATTTAAATCCTATTTTCCTAAGTATCGTTAACACCTCCGTATTTCCTTTGCTATGACCCCACATCTCATTAACGCTTCTGCCTTCGAGTTGTGTGCAGTGGTACCGAGGATCTGGAACGGGGAAGGACGGGATAGGGTTCTCAGGCCGGGACAGGTTTGCCCAGTGGGAGGCTCTGAAGTGCTGCAGAGTGCTGGCAAAATTCACTAGGGGTGCGAAAATCAGCTCTGCCATAAATCACGGTAGGAACATTAGAAGAAAAAAAAAATCTGTGACTTGCACGACAAACGGGGGAACTGCAAAAAAAAAAAAAAAAAAAAAAACTCACACACACACACACACAGACACCAAAGAGAAAAGGATGGAAGGTAAAGGTGTCAGAGTAGACGGCCGACAGGTTCAGGATGCCTGGCGCTGGGACAGTTTACACCCGGAGGGATGCCGGGTGGCGACGGCACAGGGTTGAGGCAAAGAATGGAGGTGAAACAACCGGTGCCAAGGCGTGCGGCAGCACTCACCACCTCCCCCTGCTCCGCGGACTTGTACACTCCAGACACCATCTCGTTATGGAGCAGCAAAAACAACGCCTCGTCCGCCATTGCTTGCTTATCCTTCTAAGCTCCGGGTTTCGGCTCCCGTTCGGGCCGGCCCGGAGGTTCCGGCCCTTGTCTGAACGACTCGGCCCGAGCCCTGCTCCCTCAGCCGGCAGCCCGGCGCCGGGTTGCTAGGAGACACAGGAATTCTCTCCGCTTCTCGAAGGCAGGTACCCGCGCGAGGTCCGTACGGGGACGAGCCCAACACTAGGGCAAGCCCACTCCCCGGGCTAGGAAGCCCCGGAGCCGAACCAGCCTGACAAGCGGTGGGAACCAGACCCAGCCCGCGGAGACCCGACCCAGCCCCTAGGCGGGGGGCGAAGAAGCGACTTCCGGTCCCCTCTAGCCCGGCATTCCGCCAGCTCTATGGTCACGGAGTTCCTCTCCCGCCCGGGTTCACGGCCAGTGCTGAGAGGAGCAAAGCTCCTCCCCCGAGATGTCCGGGGTGGGTACGTAGAGGATTTAAGAAGACAGGGTGGCGTTGCTGCCATCCCTGTGTTAATCAGCTATAAAAGTTAGAAAAGGTAACAAGAATTCCTGCTGGCTTCATTAAAAGCTTTTGGTTCCTATTCTGTGTTCTTCAATATGAAAAGCTGTAGAAAGAGTAAATAAATCATCAATTTTCAGGCGGTGAAATTTAGATATATTGAGATAGTGTCCAGGTGTATATTGAATTAAGCCCAGGTACGCAAACAGGTGTAGGGACATTTTGGCCACCAGGAAGTTTACTGGAAGTGGAGTGCAAGGGACTAAAGGCATGAAGTGAGAAAACAAAACAAACCAAGTAAACAAACAAAAAACAAGATGAAATACCTGAAGCAGAACATACAAATTAATCAGAAGATACTAGGGGTCGTGGCCGAAGTCAGGGCCAGAACTGGAACCAAGGATTTAATAACTATTATGATCAAGGATATGGAAATTATAATAGTGCCTATGGTGGTGATCAAAACTATAATGGCTATGGCGGATATGATTATACTGGGTATAACTATGGGAACTATGGATATGGACAGGGATATGCAGACTACAGTGGTCAACAGAGCACTTATGGCAAGGCATCTTGAGGGGGTGGCAATCACCAAAATAATTACCAGCCATACTAAAGGAGGACTCTGGAGAAAACAGGAGATGCTAAAGAAACCCATCTTGCAGGAGGACACTGAAGATTGGTCTTCTGTTGATCTAAGATGATTATTTTGTAAAAGACTTTCTAGTGTACAAGGCACAAATGTGTCCAACTGAATATAGCTGCCAACTAGCTTTTACTTTGTCCTTTGCTATCTGTGTTACGACTCAATGTGGATTTCTGTTTACACAAATTTTATTTGTACGATTTCATGTGAAACCTCAAATAAATGCTTCCTTATGTGATTGTTTTTCTGCGTCAGGTACTGCATAGCTCTGTAAGATGTACTTTAAATAAGCAATAATTAAGGCACAGTTTATTTTGTAGGGCGTATGTAGTCTATAAGGAGACACTGTGGTCCTTCATGAACAGCCAGCTACAATGTGACCCTGTTCCCTGTTTGTGTAGATGCATCCTGTGCTCTCCAAGGCTTTGTATGAGGCTTCTACCATATCCCTGAGTAATGTTCTTTCCTCTCTGGTTGCTTGGAGGCTATGAAAGCCATTGTATTGGGATTAGTGGAGGCTTTTCTGGTAGACCTTATGTCTTCTAGATTGTGTTTTCACTTTTACAACAGAACTTGTTAACAGCTCCCATTTGCTTTATTCCTATCTCTGGAAAGCCATTTGAGATTTCCTAATTACTTGCTGAAGAGTTAATTGGTAGTCTCCCTGCAAAAACTTTTGCTAATCTTAATATTCTGACTTTAGTTTCTTCGATTTTAAAAATCTCCAGATGAACAAGAAATATTACTGTAAAATCAGTGGTTTAACAAGAGCATTGACGGGAGCTGGCGCTGTGGCACAGTGGGTTAACCCATATGGGCACCAGTTCTAGTCCCGGCTGCTCCTCTTCTGATCCAGCTCTCTGCTATGGCCTGGGAAAGCAGTAGAAGACGGCCCAAGTCCTTGGGCCCCTGCACCCATGTAGGAGACCCAGAAGAAGCTCCTGGCTCCTGGCTTCAGATCGGCATAGCTCCAGCCGTTGCAGCCATCTGGGGAGTGAACCAGCGGATGGAAGACTTCTCTCTCTTTCTCTCCCTCTCTCTGTAACTTTCTTTCAAATAAATAAATCTTTTTTTTTTTTAAAAAAGAGCATTGACAAGGGTTTTGGCAGACAGGTCTGATGGTATCCATTGAAATTAGAGCGAAAAGATTAAAATTGGAAGTAGTGGCAGAATACTTTCCTTGTGTTCTGTTGGTAAGCTACCAGACTAAATATTTTCTATTTGGGAATTCTTAGGAAGCTGAGTTAATCTGTTAACATGTCAAGTTAGAAAAAGTTACTGATAGCTAAATACCATTTTTAATGCAGTTAGTGCATGAGCTGAGCAGTTAAGTGCTGTTTATTTCCATATTCAGGCACAGAAGGAGTGATGGAAGGGATATACATTAAGTCAGGTGTGTTAATGTTGATTTCATATGTGACTTGAGTCATATCATAATGTGTCTTCCTGGTGCACTGGAGGAAGTTTTATATCTAGGTTTTAGAAAAAGTCCTAGGTAAATAGAAGCTTTTAATTTTAAATGTAGTATAGTTGGGTTTAGGGAAATTGGTTTCCATGGTTCCATATTAGCTTCTGGAGTTGGCATCCATGTTCACATGCAGAGTAATTGGTCTCACACTCTACCACAGTAAGTTTGCTATCCAGTTACAGTGCTCTTGGCCTTGTTTTGCTCCTGCTTTACTATTTGACCTTAGACCTAGGCCAAATACCACTGCTGGCTGTTGGAAGGGATTCTGTTTGTTTGAACATGCAACATTAGGAAATGGAAGAGAGATTTTCAGTTGTTGTCAGTAGGTACAGTAGGGTAGTGAATCCTGTAAGTTCAAATTTATGATTAGGTGATGAGTTGACATTGAGATTGTCCTTTTCCCTGATCAAAATGAATAAAAGCTTTTAAAACAACAACAACAACAAAAAAAAATTAACCAGAATAAGAGATGAATGGAAAAGGACTGAACAATTCAGAAAAACAACATCACTGTGGATGTGGATGGAGTTCCTAAGAGTGTATGGCAGATGTGAGACTTAAATCCTACAGAGTTGCAAATAAATATGCTATATCATGTTAAATTTGGCAAACTGGCCTTAATGTTACTTTGCCTGTGGTTACATTATTTTTTTTACAATTTAAGAAACATATTTTTTTTTCAATTGAATTGTTTTCCCCAAATTAACATACTGAGTTTCCTCAAATCTTTTACATTTATTTTTATTTATTTGAAAGGCAGATTTACAGAGAGGGGGAGGCAGAGAGAGAAAGAGAGATCTTCTATCTCCTGGTTGACTCCCCTAATGGTCGTAATCCCAAAGCCAGGAGCCTGGAGCTTCTTCCAGGTCTTCCATGTGGGTGCACCGGCCCAAGCACCTGGCCATCTTCACTGTGTTTCCAGGTGCAGGGAGCTGGATAGGAAGAGGTGCAGCCAGGCCTCAAACCAGGGCCCATTTGGGATGCCAGTGTTGCAGGCAGGTTTACCCCCTATGCCACAATGCCACCACTCCCCCCTTTTCAAGATTTGTTTATTTTATTTGAAAGGTAGTGTTACAGAAAAAGGGGGAGATAGAGATCTTCCATCTACTAGTTAACTCCCTAAATGGCAGGGATGGCAGGGGTTGGTCAAAGCCAAAGTCAGGAACTCCATCTGGATCTCCCTCATGGTTGGCAGAGGCTTAAGCAGTTAGGACATCATCTGCTGCTTCCCCAGGCACAATAGTAGGGAGGTGGATTGGAAGTGGAGCAGCCAGGATTTGAGCTGGTGCCCATATGGGATACCAGAGTCGCTGGCTGTGGTTTAACCCACTGTGCCACAACACTGGCTCCTGGTTTTCTCAAATTGTTAACAATAATGTCTTGGGGCCAGCACCATGGCTCACTTGGTTAATCCTCCACTTGCGGCACTGGCATCCCATGGGGGCACCGGGTTCTAGTCCCCGTTACTCCTCTTCCAGTCCAGTTCTCTGCTGTAGCCCAGGAGGGCAGTTAAGGATGGCCCAGGTGCTTGGGCCCCTGCACCCGCATGGGAGACTAGGAGAAAGCACCTGGCTCCTGGCTTCAGATAGGTGCAGCGCCGGCCATAGCGGCCATTTGGGGAGTGAACTAACGGAAGGAAGACCTTTCTGTCTCTCTCTCTCTCAGTGTCTATAACTCTACCTGTCAAATAAAGAAAAAAAAATGTCTCAAGTCTTCATACCTTCTCACAAAAATTTAAGAATATGTTCCATAATTGTAATTATGGTATACTTTTTAAAAACACTTTCCTTCTAATGCTTAAATCACTTTATTCCATTCATGTAAATCAAGTATAAAAGTTCCACCTAAGGTGCCTTTGAAAACACAAAATAACATAATTTTGAAGAGTATTTTTCCACAATATTTGTAAGTTTTCCAGCACTAAGATTTGCCATATGTAAAATCAAGTCCTTTAGGTTTAGATTATGTTGTCATCCTCATCACCTCCATCAAGGAAAAGGAATCCAAAGTCCCCACAAAGGTTGAAAAGTAGCACCTGACTGACTTACTAAGACTGCTTTTTCAAACCACAGAGTCCTGAGGTTTTTAAGT